CAGACGGAGGCGGAGCTTTTAGACTCACAATTTACAGTCCTTATGTCATTTTGAATAAAACTGGCCTTGATATCAATATCAAGGCGAAGTCGTTACTGCAGCAGGCACGGACGGCGGCTGGTCAGAAGGTCGTACGCGATCTCCTTGGCGATGATGAGCAGAAGGCGCTACCTTTGATGTTTGCGTTCAGTGGCGACGACCAGCGCAACCGCGTCATTCTCAAGGTTGGCGAGTCGAACTGGAGTAAACCGCAGAGTTTCGACGCCATTGGTAGCACAATCGATGTGGTCCTGCCGTCAGCAACTCAGAATACCGAGATACACGTTGGAATCAGCATCGAGAATGGAGATGGCAAATACAAGATGACCAAGGTCGTTACGCTTGCGCCGAGATTTGTGCTGAAGAATCGCATGAGCGAGGAGATCAGTGCCAGGGAACCGGGTTCGTCGGAGCTCATGACTCTGAGGCCGGGAGAACTGAAGGCTCTCCACTTCCTTCAAAAGTCGGCGGTTAAGCAGCTGTGCCTTTGCTTCCCGGGTTTGAACAACCAGTGGTCTTCGCCGTTTACAATTTCAGATCTTGGGACTACGCATGTGAAGCTTGCCAAGGTCGGTCAGAGACAGAAGCTCGTCCGTCTTGAGGTTCTGATGGAGGATGCTACGATCTTCCTGCATCTCAGCATCGAGACTAAGAACTGGCCTTACTCTATGCGCAATGAGAGTGATATGGAATTTATGTTCTGGCAAGCAAATCCCAACATTGACGAGGAAGACACGGAGGATAGATCAGGCTGGCGCCCAATCCGCTATAGACTTCCGCCGCGTAGCATCATGCCATACGCGTGGGATTACCCGGCCGCCAAGCTCAAGGAGCTCATCATCAGTGCGAATGGCAAGGATAGACATATTAAGTTGGCAGAGATTGGAAACCTGATACCAATGAAGGTTCCCGCCGCGAAACATTCTAGGGAACAGAAGATTATCGATCTCAATGTTGCAGCAGATGGACCCACTCAGACTCTGATCCTGTCGAATTACAAGCCATCGAAGAGTATGTACAAGCAGAGATCACCAACTGAATCGGCATCGAGCGTCACAGAAGGCTTCGAGGTCAAGGATCAAGATACGGACGTCACGTTCCGGGCGCAATTGAAACTCGCCGGGTTCGGGATCTCACTGGTAAACAGCCAGCTCAGCGAACTCGCGTATATTACTTTCAGAGATCTCACGCTGAGGTACAGCGAATCACCTCTGTATCAGACCGTCTCCGCGTCCATTAAGTGGATTCAGATCGACAACCAGCTGTACGGAGGCATCTTCCCGATGATTATCTACCCCAGTGTTGTTCCTAAGCAACACGCTGAGACGGAGGCGCATCCTTCTCTCCATGCTCAAATTACGCGCGTCAAGGATGATTCGTACGGTGTACTCTACTTCAAATACGCTACGCTACTTCTGCAACAGATGACGGTGGAAATCGACGAGGATTTCGTTTACGCGCTGCTGGACTTCTCAAAGGTACCGGGGGCTAGCTGGTCAGAGACGCATGAAGGGACGCTTTGTGATGATAGTCTCGACATCCCAGAACCGAAACAGCTTCAGCAGGGCCAGGATATCTACTTTGAGCTTCTCAACATCCAGCCTATGCAGGTAGATTTGTCATTTGTTAGAACGGAACGAGTCAATGTCGAGGACAAGACTTCGTCGCGCAACCCGCTGATGTTCTTCCTCAATGTGCTTACTATGGCTATCGGGAACATCAATGACGCGCCTGTGCGATTCAATGCCTTGATGCTGGAGAACGCACGAGTATCGGTGGCGGTCTTGACACAGAATATTTCTGCGCATTACTCTCAAGAAGCGCTGTACCAAGTACACAAGATCCTGGGATCCGCTGATTTCCTCGGAAACCCCGTGGGTCTGTTCAATAACCTGAGTTCGGGAGTTGCGGATATCTTCTACGAGCCCTACCAGGGATTCATCATGTCCGACAAGCCGGAGCAGCTCGGTATCGGCATCGCCAAGGGCGCAACTAGTTTCGTCAAGAAGTCAGTCTTTGGTGTGTCAGACAGTTTTTCGAAGGTCACAGGTAGTATCTCCAAGGGACTCGTCGCTGCGACGATGGACAAACAGTTCCAGGACCGCCGGCGCATGACTCGCTCGCGCAACAGGCCGAAGCACGCACTCTACGGTGTGACAGCGGGCGCGAACTCGTTCGTCAGCAGTCTGGCAAGCGGAGTCGGCGGTCTCGCGCGCAAGCCGCTTGAGGGCGCGGAACAGGAGGGATTCGCAGGCTTCTTCAAGGGCGTAGGCAAGGGTGTTCTCGGTCTTGCAACGAAGCCAGCCATCGGTGTGTTCGATCTCGCGTCCAACGTCAGTGAGGGCATCCGCAACACAACGACAGTGTTTGACGGCGACGGCCTAGAGCGCGTGCGCCTAACGCGCTTCATCCCCGCCGACGGAATCGTGCGACCATACAACCAGCGCGAGGCACTCGGTCAGTTCTGGCTCAAACAGCTGGACAGCGGCAAGTACTTCAACGAGCAATACATTGCACATCTAGAGCTGCCGCGCGAGGACGTCGTGGTGATGCTAACGTACAGCCGGATCATGCTTGTGCGCGCGAAGAAGCTGACAAGCGAGTGGGACGTCCCATTGCGAGATGTGCAGACGATCTCGAAGGAGCGGACGGGGCTGAGCTTGACGCTGAGGGGGGGGACGAATGGGCCGTTCTTGCCGGTCGCGGAGGAGAGTAGTCGCAACTTTTTGTATCAGAAGATTGGGGTTGCGGTGGGGGAATTCAATAAGAAGTATAAGGCGACGGAGTAGGAGTAGGAGGGGGTGCTGGTTTGAAAGGCGGCGCGGATTTGAAGGAGAAAGGAGGGGGGTGATTGAGGCGCAGGCACGGCTACGGCTATTGAAAGACAGGTTTGAAGGGGCGCCGGATGGGGCGGCACATTGAAAGTGCAGTAGAGTTAGGCGCCGGTTGCTTCGATGTGGATAGACATACACATAAAAATTACAGTATACAATGACCCGATATCCAGGCATTGAACCGTTCTCGTGCTACTACCATCCATCATACCTGGCGACGCTGGGCGGGTGGACCACACGTAGGTTGGGCAAGGCTAACTCACTCACTAACTTCCGGGGAACACCAGCCCCTACCCGCACGCGCACGCACGCACCATCCCCTGTTCAGCTCGTCGCCGCCCATCGGCGCGTTAGTTGGACTTGCCCGCCGCCAGCTCACCACCCTCTATCCCCGTGATTGATTCGCCAATCTCCCATCCCCTTATCAACACCGCTGTAAATCGAGGCGAGCGAATGGGTGGCGCAGCAGCGAACGTTGTGCTGTCGTTGGCTGTGTGGTGCTGTGCGAAGGTGGCAGCCTGATTGGGGAATCCGCTAGAAGGGGGGCTAGTCATGCAGAGAAGTATGCATGGAAGCCTTGGCGCGGGGGGGGGATCCTGCGGTTCGGAGGTGATGCTGTTTTTGGTGGTTGGCGGGTTCTTGGAGTGTTCTTTGGGGGGGGGAGGTGATGGGTAAGTAATGGGTAGTTAATGGGTAGTTGATGGGTAGGTGACGCAGTGGTACGTGTTTGAGGTGCGAGGATTGACTGGTATGCCAGAGTAGCTTGAGGTGTGTACCCGGTTGTGTGATGCTGTGGTGCGCGGAGATGTGAGGACGCGGAGATGGGGACGAGTTGGAATGCGCGACGGGGAGGCTTCCGAGTCAAGCGTTGCGAGGACACAGCAGCTAGTTAGTGTTAGTGATACGACGGATTCATGGTGCCAGGGCCTGTGAGGTGATGCAGTGAGCCGCCGCCCGCTGTAATCGAGGTGGTGATGGTGTGTGTTGTCATACCAGTGTAAGGGCAGCCAGCCACATTGTTGTACAACCTCATGCTGTCCATCCGTCGCACGCAATCCCATAGTCTCCGACGGATGATACTCACACTCATACGTCCCCTGACGGCGCATAGATTCCATTCCGATTCCAGACTCCCCCATCTCATCAGCTGAATCATGGTCTGTTCACAGTCTCGCTGGCGTCCAATCGACCCCAGTTGGGTTGGCTCTCCTCATCTCTCCATCGCTCCTTCGGACTCCCTTTCCCTGCACAACATAGGCACATATACTGCAAGGCTGCGCTATTGGGGATAATCGTCTCCTCCTCTCCACCATTCTAATCTCTCCTTCCCCACCGCCCAGCCCATATCCATGACCCCTGCCTGGCCTGTTCTTGTTTGGTCCTCCACCTCACCTCATCTCACTCACTTCCAAGCACCCATCTCGTCTATTCACCTCACCGCCCCTCTCCATCTTGCACTCAATCACCCCAATGCATGCCAACCACCCTCCCCTACCATCCCATCACCCCCTTCTGATCTGCGCCGGTCCACTTATCAACCCCCCTGCCTCCGACCCTAGCATGCCCATCCCTGTTCCCACGTTTTCACAGCGTCACATTGCATCTCGCGCCCCATCTCCACCCTACAAATCCCGCATTTCAATGCCCACATCACCATCAAACATCGCAGCTGACAATCTGCAGACTGGGATAGTAAGGAGATGCGGCTATACGAACAGGGTATTCCAATCCAGTGATCGAAGACGTGTGGGGGCTGGGGAACGCCAGCGGAGTAGTTGATGTAATGTTTCGGAAACCATTAATTCTGTAGTGCAATAATCCGAGACTCTGTTGTAATCCCAACCCCAGCAACCGGCCGACGACGAATACCTCCCCGGTCCCTCAACAGCGCAGTACGACCACCCAGCCTTGCGTCCCTCGCAACAGAGCGGGTGGGGTGTGCCGGTTCCACAGCAGGAGACGGGCGATTGCATCGCACGAGCGCCGCCCCTTGGCCCAAGCAAGCTTCCGCAACGTTTATGTGGACGGGTTCTTGCTGACGGGTTGGTTTTTGGGGTGGCTGCGTGAAACAATGGGGAGGATGGGAGATGGTGGGACCAATGGGGTGCTGGGGGGGATTAGGGGATTGGGATTGTGCAGCTCTTCACTGGTCTGGACGCAGCGGAGGCGTGCGTCGATGTCGGTATATACCTTGTAAAGTGATATATTGTGGCGGTCATCACATCTACCGCCTAGTTCTTGGCGGGCTAGTCTGGGGTAGAACATCTGGCGTGCTGGGTAAGGTCTAGCTGGGCGTGGGGTGTGTTGGTGGTTGTGGTTGCTGGCTGATGTGTATAAAGGAGGGCAAGTGTTCCTCTGTTGACTGTAAGTTGTTGTTTATTTCAATCACAAAACGTACTTTGGATTCTCATATGCATCGAGAGATTTCAGCTATTAGCCGCCAATTCAACAACGTGTCTGACCTGACAAGAACTATATCAGTGGATTATCACATTACCTGTGTGCTCACATCACACTCACCTCGATTCTCACAACACCACGGCGCCCAACCACTACTCCAGCACACCCCATCTCCCACAATGCCTCACGCGACCTCCGACGAATGCCCCTCCTCCTCCACTTCCTCATCCTCAAGGTAAACCTCCACCTCCCATCTCTCACCAATCACCCACTCTAACACTCCCCAGCAGCACCCCCTCACGAACACCCTCCCCTCCTCCCTCGCCACTCCACCTCATCGCCCCTCAAACCCCAGACTTCCCGACTCGCCTCGCCTTGCACCTCACTACACCTTCCACACCGCGTCTCTTCAGTGCCGTCATGGCGGAGGAGAGGATGAGGTGTGTGATTGACGAGTTTGATCTCGTTATGGGGGACCAGGGGAGCAGTAACGGCTATGGGGGGACGGGGCGTGGAGCTTTGTGAGAATGTGTCGGGCTTATGATCAGGGTTGGGATAAAGGCGTTGGTTCTTTGTCTCGGTTTGGGGCTTGGTTATGGAGTTGGAGTTTGTGGAGGGTAGATGGGTATAGAAGGTTCGGTCTGGGTCATGTATTATGTACGTACGATATGATGGATGTGTTTGGGCTTGTCTTGGAAGGGCGCAACGTTTATAGATGGTACTGGGGCGCTATAGATTGGATGGGTGGGAGTTATAGAGGGGGTTCTATGATATATCCTGTATTTTTCTTCTTCGGCTACTCGTGGCAGTGATTTTATTGATTCATAACAGCGATTTAATCTGATAGGATTTATCTCTTTACTTCCATCTCTGAGTAACCGGCTAATCAATTACAGCCGTAAGTTCCCAACAAGCATCCGATTCTTCGTATTTCCCAGGACATAATCACATTATCAAACTTCCTCTACGCCTTCGCGCCACCATCGAACAGCCCAAACTCATCCTTCGCCATCCCCGGCGCAACACCCACCAGGAAACCAGCGACCTGTACACTGCCAATGGCATCACCACACACCATGACTTCAGCCATTTCGCCCTCATCGAATCCCATACGCGCGCCCAAACGTCCCCTCCGATTCCGTGGCATATGTGCGACAAAACTTCCCCTCCTCCTTCCGCATTTCCCCTCCCCTCACACCAACAAAAAAAACCCCCAATCAACACCCCCTTCCCATCGCAAACAGAAACAGCAAAAAGTATAAAAATACAACTTGGTCACTACGAGGGTCGAACTCGCGACCTTGGCGTTATTAGCACCACGCTCTAACCAACTGAGCTAAGCGACCGTGTTTGGTTATTTGATGTACGGAGGAGGTGAAAACTGGGATTTGTACCCCCTCGCACCCCGTATTGTTGTGTTTCGGTGTTATCGGCCCTGCGGGAGAGGATTAGCACGATTTGACGACTGGGTTTTGGAGGATATGACGTCTTTGATCTCGTTGATGGAAGGAAGGGAGGTCGGGGGCACGGTGAGGTGGGGGAGAGCTGTGGCTAGAGCGAGGATGGGGTGTCGCGATGTGCTATGGAGACTTATGGGGGTCTATGCTGGGAGTGGTGATATGGATCAGGGTGCTCGTAAGGCAGAGTAAGTCAGAGATGTGCATAATGGAAGTAGATTCTGTCTGTTAAATAAGGGGCTGCATATAAGCATAGCATTAGCGTATCTCTATTACTACACCTATATGCAACCCCTTACATCCTGTGCTATCTGCCCATACAAAGTATCGCCCGCTCATACAACCCCATCCTATCCTACATATCCCCATATCCCTCCTAAACAAGCACAATAACCCCAACCACAGCACCCACAACAGCCATCACCGATCCCCTCACAACCGCACCCGCACCCGTACCATCCGTTGTCTTCGGTGCCGAAGTCGAGCTCGAAGTAACCGTCCCATTGGCCGCACCAGTCTGCGCACCAGTCTGTCCTCCAGTCGTCTGTCCACCCGACGGCAACACAGCCGGCAAAGTCGTCTCCGGGCTGCTGCTCGCAGCCTTCGTCGACTCAACCGCGCTGCTCCCCTCCTGACCTCCCTCCACCGACGACGGCGCAGCAACCGCCGTACTCTCCTTCGTCGCCGGTGTCTCAACCGCCTGCGAAACCACAGTAGTAGCCTGCACCTCCACCGGCGCGGTCGTCTTCACTGGCGCCGCCTCCTCAGTTGTCTTCTGCTCCGCCACCGTCGCTGGGCCAGGCGCGCCGGTGAACCCGCTGCTCCAGCACGAGAGGTATGATGCCGGGCCCAAGGGGATGGTGCCGCAGCCGGGGACGTTGGTCTTGGGGGGTGCGCGGCCGCCGCCGCAGTCGACGGGGTCGCAGATCTCGCCGGTGAGGGGGTCGTACCAGTGCGTGATCATGTCTTCGCAGTGGCCGAAGGTGTGGATGCCGCAGACGGCGTGGATGGGGGTGGTGAGGAGGAGGAGGGTGGCGGTGGTGAGGAGGAGGGAGTTGAACATCTTGGCTTGTTTGTTGGGGTGGTGGTTGTAGTGGTGAGTGAATGAGCGATTGACTGAGTAAGTGTGAAGTGTAACGACTGTAGACTGTAACTGAGTAACGACTGTGATGAAGCAGACAGAACGAAGAAAACGAGGTTGAGTAAACAAGAGGGATGGAAGAAGCGGCACAGCCAAAACTTTAACCAAAAACCTACATTCCCTTCTTTCCCTAACCGAGCGACTCAGCACGGCAAGCGGCGCCACCAAACTGGAATACGAGGCAAATTGCTACATGCCATTTCGGGAAATTCTGAATCACATTGGGGCTTCTGCCTTGCTTGTTTTTGTTGGTGCTCCAGTTGTGACGGGGAGCCGAGACTCTTGACAGGTTTATGCGGGCGCCCCTTGCTTCGTTTAAGATTTGATCGGCGGAGGGGAGGGCACGGCGACCGGATAGAGCAATTTTTACGGAGGGAGATCGACGTTGGATGTTGGATGTTGGATGATCGGTTACATATGAGATACGATATTATTTAGTTTAGTTTACAGTGCATTAGGATTACAATTAATGGGAAGAATGGGAAGAATTGATATGTGAGGTCCCTTTACAAGACACGGCAATGCAAGATAAATTGAAGCTAAAAATAGGGTTTGCTTGGCCGTCTTGGCCCTGAGCAAGGGGCCCAGGCCTTCGCTCTCACCCACAGGGTCTCAGACTAAATATCGCCGAAGTACCACTAGCGATTTTTAGTCTTCATTTCCTCAGTGTTACCAAGGAGGTTTACACACGCATATCTAAGGAATAATAAAGACTTTCGGCGCCCGAATTTCCTCTGCCCTGGCTATCATGACCTTTGTATCATCACCGCGGTTTGATAGATTCACAAGATATACCCATAGAAGACGTGTAGGGAAGACTAAGATACATAAATAGATGCACAAGCCATATTCACGGGAGAAGGTGTGGGGCGAATTCATGGAACCGAGATGCCGTAGATGTATAAGACGGTGCGCGGATGTATAAGACGGTCCGCGGGAGATGCGTGAGGCAAATGCCTCATATGTACAGTGCAGTTGTCCTGCTTCTCTTCAAATCGCAGGCAGCACCAGTACATGACAACTCACAAAACCAATCTCTTAAAATGCGTCTCCCATATCTACACCTCAAGCAACCTCCTCATCCTTCATCCTCGGCACAAAAACAACCTCCTGCGTCAGCAGCGGACCTGTCCCCTTCATCGGGATCGCTCTCTCGAACACGCCGCCCCTCACAATCCGCACCGCGAGACTCACCATCTTCCTCGCAAAGTCGTCGTCCTTGTCGTCTCCAGGGATGAGGGCAGGGTGCATGCGGTTCACGCGGCGCCTTGCAGCAGACTGTATGGGGTATTCTGTCGGCCAAGTGGTGAGGGTACGAGTTGTTATGGGTGACATTGCGGCCGTAGTTTTGGGGTCTAGGTCGAAAGAAGGGGTTGTGCTGTGGAATCTGCGGGGGGTTATGAGTTAGAGGTGGAGGGAGTGAATAGCAAGACACATCTTGCTCAGCAGACAGAGATAGAGGTACTTACTGGAGTACATCCTCAAGCCATACGTCCAGCCCATCACTCAGATCGTTGTTCTCGGAGTGATGGACCATCAATGTACACCACGTCCAAACACATAGCATCGCGACCCCCCAGCCATTACCCCGCAGGTTGCCAAAGCTGTAATTCATCGCCGACAAATCCTTCGCGCTCATATGCTCACTCATGTCAGCATCATGAGAGATGCACAGATAGTCTTTAACCGCATCTTCTGACAACATCGCTCGTGCTACCGCGTTCCAGACAGTGGGGTGGTTGGCTTCTAGGTAGAAGAATGCCGAGCGCACGTCGATGATGGGAGATTGGGGCCATTCTGCTATGGTGTAGTCCTCAGTGTCGTGTTTGATCTTGAGAGTCTCTAGGTATTCATGTAGCACCTCTATAGCACCGTCCAAGGTCGCCAGCTGCCCTGATCGATACTGCTGCGCGACGGCTTCGAACTGAGTAGCTGGCTCACTATTTATGTCAGTCAGTGATCATGATTCTACGAACATCGGAAAAAGTATACCCTAAATCGCTATCTCCGTAACAAATCTTCTCCTTTGCACTCCGCAGCTGTGCGAGAAGGATAGAGAGCGCACAGAGCGCATTCCTCCCCATAAAGTTATACAGAGACGTCTCCAGATTCGACTCAACGCTGTACTCGGGGTTCTCTTCGAGGAACTCCTCTTCCCGCTCATTCGCCACCAGGACGGCGAGTGTATCGATCAGTCCCTCTTCAAAGACGCGGAACTCCTCCACCCTGTTATCCCCTTCCCTAGCGGGGTATGGTCGACTCCTAACGTGGAAAATCCATTTCTCACTCCCCCCTCCCGACGCCTTATACCCATGCCTCTGAGCCCCCCAAATCCTCCTCTTCTCCTCACTAGGACACTTAAGCTCAATAGCCACATCATCATTCCCCGGTATACAAAACCCATATCCCATCAACAACTCCGTATTCCCCTTCGGTGCATAATTATTAAACACCTGCTCCCCCCTCTCTATCGCCTTATCCGTAATAATACTGAAATCCTTGACCGGGCCCTGTGCATTAACAAACCACTCTACCCGCGCTTTGGCGTCATGATTCGCAATATCGAGTAGCGGGAAGAGGACCGGGTAGGGGCCTTCCTCTGCGATCTTCTCGCGCCAGCTCGGATACCCCTCTACCGGCTGGTCCAGAACGTCGCCGTACACCTCATCCGGGATCAACTTCGAGACAAAGCTGCGACTGCTAAATATAGTCGACGCCCACTTATACAACTCCCACGTCCACCTCCCCGTCCCTTCCCCCGCCCCCTCACTCCCATCTAAAATCTTCTTCCCCCCCTCAAACTCCCCCCTCCACATTCCCTCCCTCTGCGCAATAGCAGCCGGTAAATTCGTCCCCCCCAACCACCGCCTCGCCTCCTCAGGATAATAAAGCGGCGTAGCAAGCTTCAGCGGCTCATTCGGCTGCGGTAGCGAGCGGATATATGGCGCCCAATCTGAAGAGCTGCCAAGGAGGTATTGTTGGATGAGGAAGAAGCAGCCTATCACTTTTGGCTGTTGGGTGGTAAGGAAGCTAGCCGGGAAGGGCGTGGAGTGGGAGGGGAGAGCGGGGAAGGCGGAGAGGGCGTTGAGGTAGGAGAGGGAGATGGGGAAGGGGCAGGAGACGATGCGGGAGTTGGGGGGGAGGGAAGTGGAGGGGGGGTTTGAGGTTGTGGACTGCGGGGTAGCGGTTTCTTCTTTCCCGCTTCCTTCGGCGGGGGGTGGGGGGTTTTGCTGTGGGAGAGGCTTGACTCGGAGGGATATGCCGAATTCGGGTGAGTGGTAGACTTCGACGTCGTCGTTGAGGTAGGCGCCGTGGGATTTGGCCCATCTGACGAGGTCGTCGACGGGGTTGGAACCCGCGGGTTCGACCCCGCCAGCCTTTTGGGAGTCCTTTCCACTCATGGCCCTATTGATATAAGACCCAAATGCCAATATATATTATCATAAAATATTGTGTTGTTTTCACGTGTCGTCACTGTACTATTTGCTAGCGAAAATTAAAGGTGATAGTCACGTGTGCTATATATTAAAAGTGTAGATAATAAATTTCAGGTGAAATAATTCGTATACATCTTTTACCTAGAAAGCGCGGTAGGCAGGGGTAGCTTCACCTAATCAGCAGCCTGCAATTTTCCTCTTTTACTAAAAGAGGTGCCCTACATAAGTAGTAGGGTCTTCTATTTTAATTACATGGTTGTAGTATACAAATTATAAGCTATAGATATGTTAAGGCTATGGATAGGGATATAATACAAAGTGGCGATGAGCGCTAGCAGCGAACGTCATTTACTTCTGCGAACGCTCTTTGCTTACCTAGGCCCTATGTATAGGGTCGGTTCCGACGATTATGAGAGTGGTAATATGTCAATTATGTAACAGATATCGTAGTATTAACACGGATATTTGGTTCCTTAGTACTTTCTAACTCCTAGACCCGCATTGCCAGTAAGCAAGAGCGCATCATAGGACATCACTAAATGGCATGACAGGGGAGGGACTCACGATCATCATCTCTTCATCACTATCAGGGGCATACCTACTTTTTCCAGCCCAAACATGGTTCTGGAGATTATGGCCACTTTGGTAGTTACCAGAGTCCAAGCCACGGTCCTTCCTTGAGACATTGCTTCTAATGCCTCCTATAGATTTCGATCCCGATCCCGAGTATGAGTCAGGGAGGTATTGTGCTCCGGCTGCCCCTCTCCTTCCTTCGACATTTAATAGTCCATATATAGTTGGTGCATTGGCAACAAATGCTGCGAAAAATATCTCGATATTTGCAACATTGTGTGATTGGCCAGAACGATGAAACAAAACAACATTCATCAGGAGACGTGCCATAGTCACACCGAGGATTGTAAGACCGACGAGGAATAACGCGAGGAGCCGGAGGCGTTCCATGAAAGGTCGTTGAATCTTTATGAGGTGTGGAAGAGGAAGTGCAATGAGCATGGCATCAGTGACCATGCTTAGGGCTGAGAAGACTTCAAGTTGGATGATTCCCTTCGAACAAGTTCCTGGTCCCTGGTTATTTCAACGCTTGGGAGAAAACGGGTAGGGTGAGTACCTGGATCTGGAACTACCTGCCAGTAACGTTTAAAGGGGTGACATTCGGTGAATGTCACGATGAGAGCGGCGACGAACGTCACTGCTAGAGTTATCCAGTAGAACTTGGTGATCCATTTGGGTCCGACGCCCTTGAGTAGGCGCTGGAGTATGCACATGACGACGCCTTTCTGGAGCCAGGAGCTGAGAGAGAACTTTGTCAGCACGTAGCCCGCCCTAATAGATCCTTTGTAGCCTCACTAGACAGTATAGAATACCCGATTTACGATCGTCAGCCGCGATCCAATCTCGCGCCGATAGATGACTTCAGGAGTGAATGCCATCGTCTTCCTGACCGCCTTGCTGATATTGTTTGTTCCCCAGAGTAAAGCTACATTAATGACGGCCCCTCGTAGTAAAATTGAGACAATGGCTGCAATGGTGATGTAGTCACCAAGTGAAGAGCGTTGACTTCTGTACTGCTTCAAACCAAGTCGAAGCAGCATCATCGCTACAGCAAGCCCGGTAAGGATCCATAGAACGAGAATTTCCGCGGCGGATTCTTCCATAGTTACAGATGTCGCGTGCTAGATACACGGATATCGACTGCGACCGGAATCGAAGGGTTTGAGTTGTGGACGCGAGCGCGATAGTAATACTTTATGTTGCCAGAACAAGCGTAAATCGCGATCCTTCCTGACCTCCTCATCCCAAGCACTCACAATTCTACCTATGCAGCTTAATACTTATAATTAATACATTTCCTTATCTGCGGGGGAAAGTAAACTGCCCCTGGAGCTGCAGGTCTACATTATGGTGTCCTCGCGTTGCAGAAGCGGCTGGCATGGCGTTGCTTTCCCCTTCCCACGTTTCACGGGACAGGACAGGCAGTCGGTTGGGTTTGCCAGGATGAATTCGTGTGATGCTAAGCAGTGGCCGATCCCATTGGCTATGATTACATACATAGGACCTTACGGCTAGACCTCTACATAGACGATCATGCCTGTTGTAGAAACGCCCGCGATCAGACCCATTAGTCGATCAATTTGCGATCCTTTAAATATTACATGCTAATTGCCCAACCTGACTCCTTGACTTCACGCAGGTGTGAACATGGCCACAGTGGTTACGTTGCCGACAATGGAAGAAGGCTTGGGGTATTTAGGGCAACTATACACGTGGGCTTAGGAAATACCTGCAAACTAAAAAGCTTAGCAATCGTATGAGGATGCTTGTTATCCAGCTCCTACTTTGTGCAAAGTATAGTCGTGCGGCCGAGAATAGACGACCGAGTCGACGCTATTTGCTCCTTCGTGGTTCACGGACAAGTGCTCTTCCCGCACTTCCCGCACTTCCCGCCTAGTCGCGGCCTTACCGTCCGGATCCAAAAGTTTCCGTAGTCGTCACTTGCACGATCCTACCATGGGGTGTTGCTTTCACTTCCCTGATCTCCGCGGCAGGCGGCCCCTGGGTCTGTGCTTTTCCCGTACAAAAAGACGCTCGCTCACAGCAATTTCAACACAGACCCATGCAGAAACATGGAAACGTTTGGCGCCATACTGTAGTTAGCCTCCCATCCCTGCATACGGCTTGAAAAGGCTTAAAAAGGCTTAAAAAGGCTTAAATAGGTCAATTTGTACTCATACTTCCTATCTTCCTACCTGGTATCTTTGCGGTTATTGGGTAGAGAGAGGGATTGAGGACATTCTGAGCTATTATGCCCCATAAACCACACGGCTGGTAGAAGTACAGTTCATGAAGAGTTGACAGTTAACAGGTTCTCTACAAAGGGGTCCTTCGCTTACGACTGACGGTTGAGTGCATAGAGAGAACCTGTCAACTGTCAAGTCATAAGCGAAGGACCCCTTTGTTGTCGGAATCAGGGTCGCGTGCCCACCTACCTATAAGAGTCCGTTTCATTGACAAGGCGATCTTGTGCGTTCCGTTTTCTTTCTTCATGCGCAAGTGCAGTCCGCACCGGATTTCAGCTCCCAATACCGTGACTCTAGATCACGCCCTCGCTGTGACGCTCCCATTTCCCTCGTCGGCGTGACCACAGACAGAATATCAAGATGCAGATACAGGCCTCGCTTGTTCGGGCCTCCCTCCTGGCCATCTTGGGGTTTACCACCACGTCCAATGCAGGCTTGGCTCTAACTATCCCGACGAATACGAATGAGACCATCAATTCCCAAGTTCGTCTCGCATATGCCGGTCCAAATGGTGCGTACTTGTTTTCTCAGAGCCTTTGGTCGAGTCGTCGGTTCTGTTCCAACGCCAGGTTCTATATTCGATCCAGGCCCCTCACTCTAACACTTTGTCCTCTAGGCATGGTAGTTTCATGGAACACCTTCGACAAAGTTGCGCGCCCGACAGTAAAGTACGGAACCTCACCACAACGTCTTATATATTTTGCAGAATCAACCGTCTCCGTGACGTACGACACCTCGCTCACGTACAATAACCATGTCCCACTGAAGGGCCTAAAACCAGATACCTTGTACTATTATCTCCCAGAGCCGCTGTTAAAGGATGACTCCACCACCGCACCTTACTCGTTCCGCACCAGCAGACTTCCAGGTGATACGACACCGTATTCGGTGGCAGTGACCATTGATATGGGTACAATGGGCCCGGATGGACTTAGCACAACTGCTGGACAAGGCGTGGATCCAAACAACATTCTGGGGCCGAATGATAACAACACTATACAATCACTAACTGCAGTGGTAGATTCCTATGATTTCCTCTGGCAGCGTAATTACCCCTCCAAGTCCATCAAAGAGCCAACGATTAACTAATATCCATAGCGGGTGATATGGCATACGCCGACTACTGGCTGAAAGAAGAGATAGGCGGATTCCTTCCAAATACTACAATAGCAGACGGCTACAAAGTATACGAGAAAATCCTCAACGAATTTTATGACGAAATGACCCCAATCACGACCAAGAAGCCATATATGGTTGGACCTGGCAATCATGAAGCAAACTGTGACGCGGGCGGCACTACCGACAAGTCCAAGAACATCACGTATGATGGCAGCATCTGCATGCCGGGTCAGTCCAATTTCACAGGCTTCATCAACCACTTCCGCATGCCGTCAGCGCAGAGTGGAGGAACGGGAAATTTCTGGTATAGCTTTGATCATGGGATGGCGCACTATATCCAACTAGACACCGAGACAGATCTTGGTCATGGATTCATCGGTCCCGATGAGCCCGGTGGACTTGCAGGAGAGGATTCGGGACCATTCAACAGCATTATGAATGCACAGACTACGTGGTTGCAGAAAGATTTAGCGGCTGTGGATCGGATCAAGACGCCGTGGGTTATAGTCGCGGGTCATAGACCTTGGTATCTATCTTACGCCAACGTCTCCAAGACTATTTGCTGGACTTGCAAAGACGTTTTCGAACCATTGTTGCTGCAGTATGGTGTTGATCTTGTCATCTCCGGACATGCGCATTTTTACCAGCGCTCGGCTCCTATCGCGAATGGGGTCATTGATCCGAACGAGCTGAACAATCCTTCTGCACCGTGGTATAGTACGTTCTCTCTAAACCTAGCGTCGCTCCACACTTGCTCTCGTCTACATTCAAAGAGTTTAGCTGACAGTTCAAACAGTCACCAATGGCGCAGCAGGCCACTACGACGGCCTTGACTCGCTCGCGACTACTCCGCAGCCTTACCAGCGCTTCGGACTCGACGTCAGAGATGGAATCTACGGGTGGTCTAGACTGACGTTCCACAACTCCACGCATTTAACACACGACTTCGTTGCTTCAAAGAACGGCACAGTCTTGGATACAGCGACTCTGTATAAGAATAGGGTCTGCAGTGTGCCTAAATCGTAAGGTAGGTAAGAGCGGTTTCAAGAAGGGGCGACTGCCGCGCGACTTGAAACAGCTAAATTTATAGGAAATATAAATAAGGTGATAACAATAAAGCTAATTTCAAACTCTAGACACGTCTCGAAAAGTATGTACTGTTGATGCGCCGTTCCTGAAAAATACGCACAGTCCGTGACGATTCATATGGTGTTGTTAGTAGAAGTCTACATATTTAAACTAATGTAAATCTTACACTAGGCAGCATGTAGTGTTTACTGCTTAACGCTATTTTAATGTGGTTTTTAATGTGTTATTTATAAGGATGCCTCCTTACTTAGGCTAGTTATAGTTGTTATATAGCACCCTTAAGACTTAGGGCTATTATAGGTTAATTACAACTATAAGCCTTAGGTATATAGTATAAGGAGGCCTTAGGTAAATAGGGAGTTAGCTAAGTTAGAGGGGTTTTAGGTATTTAAGGTAATATGAATAGAGGGTTATACCTTTATCTTTTTTATATCCTTTATAGTAGACCTATAGGATAGAATATAGCATTACCTCTAACTTATACTCCTATATACACCTATAGAGAGTTATATTCCCTATGTCCTTATACTAATGTAGATGTTCCTTATAATTATACTAGCTTAGTTTAATAAAAGCCTTTAGCTTAGTAAAGAACTCTTTAATTAGATTTTTATCTAGTAAGTATAGTAGTAGATACACTAGCTTTATACTAGCATTATAGTACATCTCCTTTATTTGCTCTATGTAATAGATTAGAGCATTATCTATAATAATAACTAAGTTAGGCCCTAGCTATAGATTTATAGAAGGCAGGAGATGCTCTATGAAATCCTTAAAAACAGTACTATCTATGGTTCCCTAGAAGATGTAGACAAAGAGAACGCCATCCTGTGCATACGCTAGTAATATCTGATATCGTTGCTCACGCTAGAATGGAGAAACCTGAATTAGAGTCACACTACAGGGGGCCCATCCTGTCCGTCTCTATCTAATTCGTTTGTCACAGCTAGATTCGTCTACAAACACATATTGCCACGAGCGGATGTGGGATGTATTATGGGAGTACAGGTCTCGGAGATCAGCATTCCGCGCCTTCACTATACGGCCAATCTTTTTCTTAGACCAACTACGGTAATTTAATGCTCTCCCTATCCTGGAAACGGTTACAAGGACACGGAACTTGTCATACACAAAGTCAACTATCTCATGATGATATAGCCTAGGGTTATTTAGTAAGTGTTAGCATAGAGCATCTAACATCAGAGGCGTAACACTTCGGGACCGTCAGGCACTATTCGGAGGGGCTTTCGTGGTGCTAAAGAGTCGAAATCTTCTTTTTATTCTCTAGGCTCCACGCGTGCTGCAAGTAGCAGCGTCAGCTATTTTAGCAGGAGGACGCTTACGAAGGATCATAGTTTGGATCTGCTCATGCTGCGACTTTGCAAGTGATAGCGCCATTCTGGGGGGTTGGTTATACAGCGCCGTTGAGAGGAGTGAGCCATTTTCATCAACGATGCTGTAGCCAGTGAAGCTTATAGGTCAGGTGGCATGTTCCTGTCACGTGTCACCTGAGGCTGAATTAATTTCTATGCCTGGCAAGTTGCGCCGCAACTCGGCCCAACTTAGCAGGCATACGCAACTGTTGCGGTGTAAACTCTATTCCTACAATGAGTCAGAGCTTCGACTGGAACTACCCAGGCCTAAACTGGTCTCATTTTCACTCTCTTGCGAACCTCCTTTCGCTTCGAAATGGCGGCCAGGCCGAGCCTTCTTCGTTATCTGATAGGGTGCTCGAAGAAGACTGGGATCCCGATGACGATGGAGATGGAAATACGCCTAGCATGGATACTAGACTCGCTAATCAGATATCGGACTCGGAGCATGAGAGGCTTAAACGAAGGTTTCTTGATTGTTTGGCTGAATTCGCGGCTAACAAGAAAGGCGGAACAGCAGTTGCTTGCTCCGCCATGAAGGAGGCTGAAGACAATGTCGCCATCTGGATTGCTCGTAATGAAGGCTTCTCTGATGCGGATAAGCCTACGTTTGATAAATTAGGAAAGGTGCTGGGTTCGTTATCTTGCAATAGTAATGCTTCCTGTGTGACTGCTTCATTTCTGTATTCTAACTCATGCTTCTTGTTCAGCTGATCAATCTGAGATTGTCCTATGGGAAGAGATGGTCTCGTATCATCAGAACCGAATTGAACACAGCTATATTCCTAAGTTGAGGGCAAGCTTTAAAGCTCACGATGCTGCCCCCAGGAGGAACGGTACTAACACACTAGAAAACAGTGGAGTCTCTGATGCTGCCCTATCTGTCCTGCGGACTCTTCTTTTTAATGGTAATATTAACGGTGCAAGCACCCTTGAAAAGCACATGAGTCTTGTTATCGCAGCATACAACCTGCGTCGAACAAGGAACATTGAGGAGGTACTCTACAGCTCTTCAAGCGCGACTTCCAGATCGAAGAGCTTGTGGTCTAATATCTGCCTGCTCGCCCGGCTCCGAGTCTCATTCCAGAATTTCAAGGACATTTCTCTCACACTTCCAAGCTTCGAACAAGTCACAATCATCCTGGTCTCTCGTCCTTTTACGCCTGTAAATCCGTCTCAACGCCCGCTCAACTTGAATGAGACCTTCGGTATCCTCCAACTTAAGCTAGATCCTACCACAACGAAAGCCGTCTTAGGCGAGAATTGGACAGTCCCTAAGATTAAAGGCGAGTTCGCAAAACAGCAGAAGCAAAAGCCAAACATACACGCCGAGGTTCAAATGTTGATGTCTCTGAATACTAATGGATCATCTACGTCAGGTTTGTTCCCGTATTTTGGATGTAGTAAGCTCAGCTGTTTCATGTGCAATCACTTTATTCAATCGTATGGGCGATTCACGACGAGAGGGTGCCATGGACGCCTCTTCAAGCCATGGACCGTGCCAAGTGTGGATCGACTACTGCCTGGTCAGGCCGATCGGATAGCAAAGGCTCTTATATTAGTTCAAAAGGAGGTTAAGAAAAAATTGACGGCCTCAGTCGAGGGCCATATTCGGCATGAACGAACTTCGGTTATCGGGGGAAGCAGTGTCTTAAGTGGTCGGCAAGAGGAGCGCTCACAGAGACAGTTGCAGATTGACCGGCTAAGGATGAAAGCAGAACGCAACAGAGTTACAGAAATGTTTAGAAGGTGAGAAAGTTTTGGATATCATTAGCTTTTTTCAATTACGCTCCCCGAAATATTTGTGCTAAGGGTGAGAAGGCAAACGGAGAACACGACCAGTTCAGCCAGCCCCACCTATTCAACTCCAGAAGGAAATGAGCCGCACTGGGAGGAGTGCGATATATGCATGAGACCGACGACGAGAACGTGCAGCATTTGCAACAAAGACTTCTTCTGCAGAGATTCGTGCCAGGAGAAAAGATCCGGAAGCCATTTGTTCACGTGCTCTAAACGCCCACTTACTTCCGCCGATTATCTCTGGAAGTCATTGATAGACGATCTCATGCCTGAAGATGAGGATGTTCTTGAAGATTTCGGATTCAACAACGTTCTCTTTGGCGGGGACCAGACTTACCTTCTAGGGCTCTACCAAGGCCTCTATCTTTCCGGCAAGTTCTCAGCGGAGGACATACATGAGTGGCGTGTTGGGGACATCCTGGTCGATAAGATCAAGGAGTTCTATTACAGCATTCCGCAGAATTCTCGTGGGCAATACTTTCCCTGGTTTCTGAAGAATTCCTATGCCCTAGAGCGCCATATGACCAAAGAAGAAGCGCAACAAAATTTAATAGCGACCTTCTACGACAAGGCCAGGCCGTACTTAGATATCGAGGATCGCAACAAGACAGCTAGGGAACTACAGCCAGAAGCTAAGGGAAGTAGTTACAACTTGCTAGCGGGAGTGTTATTCCGCGCTAGTCCTAATCCGATTGATAGAAATTGGTACTCTTTCGGGTTTGTAACCTGCCGCGGACAGGGCGAAGAAAGTGTGCTCGTAGATCTCTACCAGCTCCTTCTTACCGAAAGCGACGGAAGTTTTTTCTACGAGTTCCATAACAGTCGAAGAGGTGTCATTAAGCCTGCCACATTCACACAATTTTGGAAAGCATATGAAACGGGAACACTTATCCAGCTCATGGATTCGAAGGGGCTGAAGGAACTACGATCCAGGCTCCCGTTCCTAGAGGGCTTTTTGTCCGTGGGGCCGGCCGACCCCCTCCCATCCGTATGGAACCTGAAGCAGTGTGTTGAGATCAACGATCTGATGGACCATCCGCCCATTCCATCAGTCAACGTTGACTATGGATTTATCAACTGCCATAATTTCGAGGAAACTTGCATACTGATGGAAATTTACGGAAAGGTTTTGAAGACTGCGAATCCACTGGAACTCCACCAGGCGTGTGTGGCTGGTGATTTGTTTCAATATGCAAGTGACTATGTCTGGATGGAGGAGCGGTGGAGGTCTTTGATGAGGAATATTTATCCTTTGAAAGAAGTGGTGGAGTCGGAGCTGGGGCCAGAGCTGAGATCAGACGTAGGGTCAGAGGCGAATGAAGATCCTGCGGGTTTGCCATCGCTATTGTCGAGACTTTGGGAGTTCATTAGATAATAAATAGCTTCTAGTTCTACCTTATACAGCGCTGTATGGGGGGAGTGAGCCATTTTCGTCGACGATGTTGTTGCAAGTAAATGTTAAAGATCAGGTGGCATGTTCCTATCACGTGCCACAAGCTTTAGGCCTGAGGCAGAACTAATTTTATGGCGCCGAGTTCAGGTGTTCTCAGTAAACCCCTAAGTGCAACCCCCGTGGATGTGGAAAGTCACGTGCAAGCACACCGAGTGGTGGAGGTAAGCTAATGCAGCTTTAGGTCATTATAGTACTAGCGCATTCCAAAAATATCTCCAAAACATATAACATTGAATTTTCGGACTGACACTACTTTCGACTTTTACTGTATACATCATATAAAACAGAAATTATATACTCATAAATACTAATATGTAGCAGATAAACAAACAAAAATATCCTCAAGATACAACCCCCCCATTAGTCCTCTGTCCCTCCCTATACACCTTATCCGCCTCCACCCTCCTCATCTTGACCTGCTCCCTCCTCCCAAACAACCCTAAACAAAGCGGCGGCACCATAACCACCATTGCAATCACAGCCTGAAACCACAGCGCACGCTGCATATTCCTCGGGACATCCGACCCGGGCCCGCCATTCTCCCCATCCGTCAACGCATCACTAATAACGATAAACAGCCCACCGAGCAACTGCCCACCCGACCACAAAATCGTACTCGTCACCTCCGGGCTAACAGGATGCGTGAGCTCCGTCACATACTCAAGCGCCACAGGGAGGAGTGTAAACGACGCCGCGCCAAGGATAGCGAGGATAGTATACGGGGCCGCGACGCCACGAGTGGGCGGGGCCCAGATGAACGCTAGGTACGCGAGGGCGATGAGGGGGACCTGTATTTTGATAGCGAGGAGGAATTTCTTCGAGCGATCAAGGATGGGGGATGAGATGGCTGCGGCGACGAGGCCGACGACGATGAGGATCGCGCCGGCGATGCCGGCTTCTTCTTCGGTGAAGCCGTAGGGGGAGAGCATTTGGTTGAGGAGGGAGGAGATGGAGTTGAAGAGGCCGACGTAGACGGTGTAGGGGATGAGCATCATGATGAACTCAGGGGATTTGAAGAGCGTCTTTATGGAGGGGATGATGTCCAGCTTGTGCTCTGTTGATGATGGCGAGGATGGCGTTGGTGGAGCGGCGGGTATGAAGAAAGAAGGGATCGAAGCAACCGTAGCCTGTACTCATTAGCCCCCATTCCAAGAATACACAGGCAAGTGTCAGTACTCACAATAATAGAAATATACAACACCATATTCGGTATATCCCCCTTATTCGGCGCAAAAAACGGATCAATCAACTGCCCCAACGCCCCTCCCAACGGATTCGCCAGCGTCATCACCGCCGTCGCCGCCACACGCCCATTATTCGTAAACCACAGATCGCTATAGTGCGTCGGTGACGACAGCACGAACGGCTGCGCAAACCCCGTCAGGATCTGGCCAAACATGACGACGCCGTAGTTCTGGACGCGGGTCCCGCCGTAGCGGATCCAGTTCCCGACGAGGAGGAGGACAGAGGCGGTTATGATGGCGGGCTTGGGACCGCCTTTGTGAAGGACGTAGATGGTGAAGGGTGTTGCGACGCAGAAGGCGAAGAGGAAGCCGGTGCTTAGCCAGTTTACAGCCGTCATTGAGATATCGAAGTATTCCGATGCCGTCGTCGAGACAGGCGCAAAAGAGAGCCACTGTTGTCGCATTCAGTCAGTTTCCGCATCTCTACATTCGCAATCCCAAGGGAAAAGGTGGTGAACTCACATCCCAACTAACAACCACATTCAACAGCACAAGCTGCAACAACCCAAACCACCTCCTCTTATAAACCTTCCACACCACCTCCCCCTCCCCCCCCTCCAACAACCCATCCCTACTCCCCATATTCTCCAGCGCCTCTCCCTCCGCACTCGCGTTCATCTTCCCAAACCACCCTTTCCGTCTCCACCCCTTCTTCGCCCCGCGCTGCTGCTCTCCCTCAGCCTTCGTCGCAGCGCCCGACGTCGCAGTCTCAAGCGTCGCGCTGTCGTCTCTCGTCGTCGAGGTTTCAATCCGTTCCGCTGCGTCGTTGCTGTTGTCGTCCTTAGTCACCACAGCGTCGTTCTTACTCAGCCCAGCAACAGCAGTAGCAGCAGCATCACTACCCATATCGTCGCGTACGGGCGCACGCGCGCGCGCAAGCCACCGTAAGCTGATCGTGCGCTGCGTCCCACTGTACTCTCTCTCTAGTGGAGATCCCCGTCTCACCGCCAAGCCGTCATAAGATTACCGTGGTACACACAAACTTAATACCAGGTCGTCCTTCCACAATCTCTCACATCTGCAAATCGCAGTTGTAAGCAATAACAGTTTGTCCAGTCAAGAAAATCCACCGTACGTCGTTTCGTCAGTATACCCGGCGGGTCGCTCCGAACTGACTGACTCTGTGGTGGGCTGCGGCGGGCTTTAAGGGCCCGCACTATAGTGGCTTTGGCGCGTGGGTTCCCTCGGCACTACTCCTCACTTTCTGGCTTGGGGGCCAGCCCCGAATGGGAAAGTGGTCAGATTATTGGATTGTGCAGAAAGCCACAAACGCGGGGGATAAGGAATCCTTACTCGTGGTTCTATTATTGCAACCTCATCTTATATTAATGTATCTACTACAAGTACTGAACTGTACAAGGAACATGGTGAGTTGGGTGTATATCTTCGATATCATCCTAGGCATATCACAGGCTTCACATGCAAAAGACAACAGCTATATCAAGAGACAAGAAAGTCATGAATTGTTAAAGCACTCTACTACAGAAAGAAAGCATTTCGCTAATCCCAAACGTCATTCCAAACGCCATTCAAACAAGAAGCTTCTCTTCGGCCAAGTCTATCCCATACAATTGCGCGCTTTTAACCATGTCCATGCCCAGTTTCCTTGTCATTGCTCCGCTTATCGTGTCTACCCCAGCCGGAGAATTATGAGCCAAACGACGTCCTTTACTTGGGTTCCTGTCCCTTGGGTCCCTTCACCTTAGGCCCCTTCACCTTGGGTGGTGCAAGTGGAGTCTTTGGGTCTTCCTTCTTGGGCGGATAATAAACCGGGCAGCCTGAAATGATAACGTTGAACTGGTTGTCATCGAACTCTTGACCCCAGATCAGACCCGAACCATCCTGTCTTGCGCACTCGTAGATGATTCTATATGCGTACTCAGCAATAGTCTGGACCTTGACATGGTTTGCCTGCGGGTTCTGTGATTCCTATCAGCACTGGCTCGTTTGAAATCGCTACATATGAATCTTACATCATTGCACAGCTGGATGCGAGCACGCTCCGCCTCATCACAAGCAGTCAAGTCGACGCACTGTGGGTGATATTAGTAGGTCGAACGACGTCCAAATTCCAAGAGAAGGAACTTACATGGCCATGGCCACCGCCAATGACGACAACGGCACTGTCGTTTGTGGCGGCAAGAGCGCCAACGACGGCTGCGAGCTTATAAGCAGCCCAGGTCTCTCCGTACTGGGCAACCGTCATGTCTTCTCTATCACAAACAATCTTGTCCTGCATTGCAACGTCAGAATTGAGATGGCATCAGATGAGCTTACTGACCTGTGGAGCCTTGGAAGCCGTGACCTTCTTGCGGCGAACGAGGCCTCCAACGTGGTGGACCTGGGCATCGCGAGCTACCTGGACCATCTCATTGCTGACCTCCTGCACAGCCCAGAGTCAGTGACTATCTCAAGCATACTCGGGTATGGGACATGCCTTGAGATTGCCATAGTAAGAGTACACCTCCCCGGCAGGGCCAATTGGGCCAATCCACTCGAGAGCATTGGCAGCGCGAGCGGGAGTAGCAGTGTCAGTATTGCGCTCGCTGGCAAGACTGATGAACCCTTGGGGCGCACCGAAGACCTACATAGAATATGATGTTAGGATGATGACACTTCAAACAACGTTGTCGGCTCGGGGCCAACACCTACCTGGCTGGCAAGTGCCAAAGCAGTGAGGGAGGTAACACAAGTCTTCATGTTGAAGTAATGTAGAATAGCGGTTCTTGATAAGAATTAAGGCGTAGAGCAATAAGTATGGGAAGCAAAAATGTAGCAGAAGTGTAGCTATGTGTTTGGATGGATGCTTGCAAAAGTATGATGTTGAAAGAGAGAGACAGAGAGAAGATCGTCGGAATGCCTTGGATTAAGTACAGCGAGCGAGGATCGTACCTTCCAACATTGAGTCTGTTGAGAGGAAGGAGTAAACAGTGCGATCTCACTTGCCAAAACCAGTAGAAAAAGACATCCACTCAATGTTATCATGGAGTCAATATAGGTTCGTTGCAAAAATATGGCTATAAATTGCTGATATATGGAAATAAATGGTAAATAATCTGGCATCATATCGTCCAACATCAACACATCCTCGATCATATATACCTTACTTACCTGCCACCACCCTCATATCGCTCTTAAAATACGAACACCGACTGCGTCAACGGCAACTCCGTCGAAGGCTCAGCCGTGCAATGCACGCCATCCGCCTCGACCCTATAATTCTCCGGATCGACATGAATCTTCGGCATCTCATAATTATGCTTCATATCCTTCTTCCTGACCGTCCTGCACCCCTTCACAGCCTCCACGCGCTTCTTCAAACCATACGACTCGATGTTACCGCAGTCAATAGACGCCTGGGAAACAAAGAGCACAGATGTGGAAGGAACGTGGGGCGCGAACATAGGACGCCCGATAACGGGCTGCACGGTCGAGATGGACGCGTTGGGGTCGCCCTGGTGATGGTTAGTAAGGAAGGAGCGATGGAGGGGGGTATGGCGTGGTTGCACTTACCATCATAGAATAACTAATTAGACCGCTCTTGACGACCATTGTTGGCTTTGTGCCAAACCACGCTGGATCCCAGATCACAAGATCTGCTAACTTGCCCACCTCGACGCTACCGAGGAGGTGGCTCATCCCTTGGGCAAGAGCAGGGTTAATCGTATATTTGCTGACATATCTCTTTACTCTAAAGTTATCGGCATCTGTTCCCTCATCCTCCTTCAAAAAGCCGCGTTGGACTTTGTTCTTATGAGCCGTGTTCCAGGTTCTGAGAACGACCTCTCCACAGCGACCCATGGCCTGCGAATCTGAGGACATCATGCTGATAGCCCCCATATCGTGCAGTACATCCTCTGCTGCGATCGTTTCAGCGCGAATCCGCGACTCTGCAAACGCAATATCTTCCGGAATATTCTTGCTAAGATGGTGGCAAACCATAACCATGTCCAGATGCTCATCCAAGGTGTTCCTCGTGAACGGCCTCGTTGGGTTGGTGGAACTAGGTAGGACGTTGTCGTACTCAACTACACTGATGATATCGGGGGCGTGTCCGCCGCCCGCACCTTCAGTGTGGTAAGTGTGGATAGCGCGATCCTTGAACGCAGCAATGGTAGATTCCACAAAGCCAGACTCGTTAAGGGTATCGGTATGGATCAAACATTGGACGTCGTACTCGTCGCACACGGTAAGGCAAGAGTCGATCGCAGCCGGAGTGCAACCCCAATCCTCATGGAGCTTAAGACCACAAGCGCCCGCTTCAACTTGTTCACGAAGAGCCTTTGGATCGCTGTCGTTTCCTTTACCAGTGATACCGTAGTTCAGTGGCATCGCGTCCAAAGCCTGCAACATATCGCGCATGTTGTTCTTCCCTGGCGTGCAAGTCGTCGCGGTCGTGGCAGCTGTCGGCCCAGTGCCGCCTCCAAGAAGCGTGGTGACTCCAGTTGCCATGCACTCAGAAGCCTGCTGAGGGCAGATGTAGTGAATGTGGGTATCAATTCCTCCGGCTGTGACGATCATCCCTTCGCCGGCCATAACATCCGTGCAGGAACCGACAATCATTCCCTCCGTGACTCCGTTCATCACATCGGGACTGCCTGCCTTCCCAATGCCAGAGATGAATCCGTTCTTGATGCCGATATCTGCCTTATAAATACCACTCCAATCAACAATAAGGGCATTGATGATGACAAGATCTAATGAATCTTCATCAGACTCGCCAGTGGCTTGGCCCATACCGTCTCGCAGAGTTTTGCCGCCGCCGAACTTGCATTCGTCGCCATATGATGTCAGGTCTTTCTCTACCTTTATCCACAAGTCCGTGTCGCCGAGTCTGATCTTGTCGCCCACAGTGGGACCAAACATGCTTGCATATACAGATCTATCAAGCTCGAAGGGCTTGATGTGAGCCGCGTCGCCTGCAGGCTCGAGAATGTTTCTAAAGTTTCCGGCTTCAATGTTCTTCAAGATCTCATCTGTGCGAGACAAATCGAAGACTCCCGAAGCGATGTTATTGCCGCCGCGTACAATTTTGCGTCCTGCAATCTCTACTAGAGTCACTGTCTTCTCGTCGCCTGCCTCAAAACGGATGGATGTTCCTGCGGCTATGTCCAACCGATATCCGTAGGATCGTATGCGATCGAATTCGAGATGGGGGTTCGTCTCGATAAAGTGGTAGTGTGATCCGACCTGTGGCGCGGTTAGCATTTTAGGTTAAGGGCCATTGACTCTTCTTATTACCTGTACTGGTCGATCACCATGGTTTGTGACCTTGAGCTGGATCCTCTTCCGCCCTTTATTGATCGCGATCTTTCCTTTGACAGCGATGACTGCGCCAGGCATCTTCTCAGCCGTGCATTCCTCATCTTCTGGTACTTTGAATAGGTCCGCGTCGGGGATTGGGAGGAAACTTCCATAGAGCGCCTTGTTCAAGTCTCCATCATCGCTGCTAATTGGGGTCTGGACGGTAACGAGGTAGGTTCCCTGGGGAAAGGTGCCTTCGACCTGGATCTGCTTCAAGGTCGACACAACAGCAGGCAGCACATGTCGCCGCCCCAGCATCGTCGTGCCAATCGACATGAGATCCGCGACATTGTGGTTGCCATCGCGAATGAGCTGTGCGGTCAATTAATATCCGAGATCCACCACACTACGGCGGCAAAAAAAAACACATACCTCTTGGAGATTGTTGGCAATAAGAGCCTGAGCGGTGTGTAACGTCAGTGCAAAGTCTCATATTCTGGTCTCGCGGCTCTACTTACACACGCTTCAGAATGGTTCAGTCTGACACCTCGCGCGAGTCGACGCTGGGCCAGCAACCCCAGCTGCGAGATAACGAGCTTGTCGATCTGACAGCTGTTAGCAGACGTGTTATGAGGCCAGTTCCTGGCGATGCATCACTTACTTCGCGTGGAATTAAGTGCATCTTCGACTGAGCAGCACAGCAGCTCCGCAAATTCGAGGTATTTAGATCAAAGATAGGTACGAGGCTATGAAGCTATCACAGATTTGGTTCCCAAAGAAGTTCAATTCGTCTGGCGGAAGATGGGGAACAAGAGCTAGAGAAGACTCCACTGTGCTATGTCATAGCTCCGCTCCGCCTAAACGTTGGTGGGGGGGACGGGCGATAAGGAATGACAGGGATGGGGATAACCACTTTCCAGTCCTGCCACCATGTTTTTAGTGTGCACGACCCAAAAAAAAGGCTTATAATCGGGAATCGGGAGACACAAAGCCACACCACGCGTTCCTTGTGCAACCATGGGAATCCCTATAGGGTAAAAACAGTTATCATTTTCCGAATTATCCTATCTCTTCCCCTGGATTTCCGAGGACTTTGACTGGTTTTTTGTACGCTGCATGTATGTACAGTACATCTTTTCCCATTAGAATCCCTACCATCCCCCTCAACTCTCATACAGTATGTACCTGTCCAGTCTGTACACCGTGCTTGCTATGCGCTTCGCTCCGGAATGTCCCCAGGTGTCAAACCCTCCAAACCGGTCGATGCCGCTCGCTCCCAATAATCTACCTACCAAACCCAACCCTGCGCTCCAAAGATAAGTGCAAAACACCCCACAGACCCGTCTGTACCTCGAGTTTGCAGTAAAGACTGGTATCGCAAATTGAATAACTCGCTGTAAATCCTCCATCTGGTATCATGCGCCGTTTCAATCAAGACATAACCGTAAAACATCACTATAGTAATTATATGTACCGGCAAACTTATCAGAGTGTCGGGAACACCCTGTGGATAGCCCTTCTCCCTGTAGTTAACGCACGGTCAGCCGCTGTATTCAAATCTCCTGGCATGTGTAGGTGCAATTAACAGCCCATGGAATGGTCAATACATACACTTCGGCCGTGGCCGTTCCTCGACTGCCTCCTCATTCACAACGGCAGTATTACTCATAAGTTCCTGACTCCTGAGTTCCACAATCGCCTGCCTACTTGTTCCTTCCGGGATATACGCCGGGCTGGGTGCGCTCACGGTAGCCGGAGTCGTGCTGTCTCGCCGAGGAGTAGATAGTTCTATACTTGAGACATGGTGAGGTCCTCCAATACGCCGGCGATTAACCCAATGTCTTGCTCTGCTTCGCCAGTCGCCTGAATCCGGTGTCTCGGCATTTTCGTCCATGAGCCTTCCAATGCGTTCGCGACGGACCATCGAGTTGGTGATCACGGGCGGGCAGAACCCTATTGGAAGCGCGCTGGTCTTGCACATTGGGCAGAGAGAGCTGTTTTTGCTGAGGAAGTGGTCGATGCATTCTGGGTGGAAGATGTGCCCGCAGGGAAGTTCTCGGACTACAGCCTTCAGAGACTCGTAGTCGTCGAGGCAGATAGGGCAGGTCGGCTGGGACTGAGGCTGGTACATTTGCGGTTGGATTCTCAGCCCTGTCACTGGGTCGTTGATGACAGGAATGTTGAAGACCCCCTCCTCACTTGTGGCCCCCTTTGCTCCGGACGCCGGTGGCGCGGGGGTGTCCTCGCACATATAGATGTAAACCGGCATCTTCTGTATTGTTTCAACGGGCACGGTAAGGCGCTTGATGCCAAGAACCTCTAGGTTGACTTCGCCTGCGGCAATCCGTCGGCGTAGATTTTGTCTCCGTCGGCGCTGGATAAAGTGCATGAAGAATGAGGTCAACATCAGGGCAGCGCCGAGTGATGCAATCGCTATAAGGAGGAAAACCCACAGCCCTGGTAAGGAGCCCGACGAAGAGTCCGTAGCTATCTGTGTATAAACCCGAACAAAACTGTTGGTTTCCACACCTTCTAAATCGAGGACCTGTTTTCCAAATGGCACAGACGAGGAATTTCCGGAATATCGACTTAATTGATCCATCAAATTATTTCCATAGCTTCCTGGAACAGCGTAAACAGGGAAGCGGTGTGCTGCTTTCCATTGTCCACCATCATGCATATTCCAAACCGGCGAACTGATTGGTGGCGGCATGGTGTCCGCGTTATCAGTTGTATAGAAAATGAAGGCCTGGAGAGAGACCAGCGAGGCCATGTCCAGGAAGGACAGGCTGCATGTTGAGTTGATCCATGGCGCCAGCGCAATAAATTTAAGGTTTTCACCTGGGAAGTCTACCCTTCGAGCGGCAAGCGCTGGTATATGTTGTTTCGACAGGTTGAAGCATGGATCCGTAGCAGCTAGGTCTGGAACATATAACAGCCCCTGGGCTCGTCCAGTTCCATCATTGCCATTTGTCGACAATGTTTGTATATTTTGACCTAGGGTGAGATTACTGACGCTGTTTAAATTATCCTAGTGGAGGTTAGATGGTTCGGATAGCATCATCAACCCGCCCTCAACTCACTGGAATATTCACAAGAACATCGTCAAGGTTGACACCTGGGTTCAAAGTCGCAGGTTCCGGAAAAGAAATACTAAAGCCTCTATATTAGCATGCAGTCCAGGAAGAGACAGAAGGCGGCTAGATGTGGCCATCCCAACACAGCACAACGGGAACACATTTGTGAGTAACACCATAGAGGATCCCATTGTTCCAGCCGGCATTGTTCCAGCCGGTATTGCCGCACACAAAGGATCCCATCGCGGCGCTACCATATTTCGAACGGGCGGAATACATACACTGAGATCTTCATAGACTGGGCCGCTGCAAAACCGTTAGCATCCGCTACTTCCGTCATTCCGAAGAGATGACATTGTCCAATGCCCGAGTGCTGCTCTATACCAGGCGCATATTATGCGCCTTGAATGAGGCCAGACAAGTTCGACTTAAGCAGCGTTTACTTACCCATTATGAGCTGAAACCACAGCAGGGCGCGGAGGACGATGTGTTGGGGCGCATCAGTTGTCGAGTGGCTGTTGTGATGTGTAAGCGCCGTGAAATCTATGAGCCTCGAGGCGTCTCCTCCCACGATCAACGTCCGTATATATATGTAAAAGTATACAGATGATGCTCGATTGTCCTGATCTTCACTATTGCAGTGGAAGCGTGGCACTGATGGATTGTGGAGCAGGCGGGGCGGGGGAGTTTAAGGTCGTGATCTTGAGACGTCGGAGCCGGCTGCAACTGTTTGAAGTTCTTGGCAAAGCTTGTATGCTGCGGTCGATTGCAAAGCACGAGTAAGAAGACCAAATATCTCAGTCCCCCAACGTAGTTATATTTCTACTAGTAATCCGCCGCCATTCCACGTCCTAAATACCAAATATTCTCATATTTCAGACTCATAGGTAATCTTCTGCTAGAGTACTCTAGATGTTCTGGCCAAATTCTTTGTGTGACATCACTGTACCCTTGTTAGTAGTCTTTTGCGGGGAAGGGGAGTACCATACCCGTACTCTCGAAGCATCGGTGTCTTCAATCCAGGTGACATGGCACGTGCGTGATGACTAAAGGTCGCCGGCGTGTCACCCACGTGATATGAACCACAGGCGACAAAGAGCATCGCGACAACACGCGCCTCTCAAACCCCCCATTCTCCGAATCTCCTCAAATCCAATGGCCATTATAGCAACATACTATAACTCGTAAAGCTGAATTGCATCGTATTGCCGTATCCTGGATATACGGACATAGTCCAGGGCCGCCGCCTCCTCGCCGGAGCTCTACCCCGCCGCCGCCAGAATGCCGCCACATCCACCGGCCCAGAAGGGCACTGGGAAACGCTCAGGGGGACACCGAGGAGAATCTCGAAGATCTCGCAGCCGTAACACCACGCCGAGCTCTGCGGGTGCCCCAGGCATCCTTGCGGGTACCGAGAGTGAATCCAGATATCTTGAGCTCACAATGATTCCATTCCCACAAGCCTCATACGACGACATCGTCGACCCCCAGATTGGCTCGTCGATTCCGGACTCGAAAGCCATCGACACAATAATAGACTCAATCAATCGTCTTCTTGATGTTGCAGAAGCAAGAGGAAAAGTTTGTGACCGTGGAATGAGGTTACTTTCGGCTCAACGCAAAGATCAAGTCGAAACCGAGCGCAGAGAACAAGAACGTGTAGACCGAGAAGCCGCAGACGAAGCTGCAGAACGCGGACGTCAAGCCAGCAAGATGAGAAAGAAGAAGGATTCGAGCAAGGCGAAGGAGGATAGACCATTGACTCATGGTGCCCATGTTCTTGCGCCTCAGGATGGTTCAAAGATTGGTAAGTGAATTCCAGTTTTCCGTGGTTGCCCATGCAGCTTGCTGGGTATCACCCATGATATCCTCAAAGGATACTCACCAGCTTTATCAATAAGAAACTAATTATATTACAGAGGGTGCTCCATCTGTATCGCCGGGAAGAGCTTCTCATAAGCCAGGTCGTGGTCGGTCGCGGGGTGTGTCGCGTGAAGCCTCCGCTAGTTCTTCTTTGTCCCCGGTCGAGCAAACGACACCACCACCCACAGGCGCAGCTGCTAAGAAAAAAGCGTCTGTTCCTACCATCCAGGTTGACGAAGACTCCAGCAGTGAAGACGAGCACCAACCACCTCCAGCTCCCGCAGTTCCACACATCATGACCTTTGGTGACGATCCCTGGAGCTATCCTGACCCAACTGAATACGAAATCCGCAAAGTAACTCCAGACATGCCTGAAGAGGAGATCAAGAAGATCTATTCCGTTGCGGAATATCCACACGATGACTTGCACGATCTGATTCCTGGCACCCCCCCCGACAAGGACTTCAGCAACGCCAAGCCAGTGAACCAGGTTCAAGCCACTACCTTTGCAACCCACATGGAGGGGTATTTACGTCCTTTCACCGAAGAGGATCTTGCGTTCCTCCGCGACCGTGGTGATAGGGTCAATGATTTCATCATCCCACCTCGTGGCAAGAAGCACTACACTGAGATCTGGGCTGAAGAAGATGGCCTGGCTGACCCGCGTCAAAACCGTGACAAGCTTCCTGCCAACGAGCCACGCGGTTCCATTGAAGACCTTGATGAGGCCACCGCTGAGACAGACGAGATCTCTGTTGGCCCAGTCCTTGGACGCCTTTTGTCACTCCTCCGTCCAGAGAACAGAGCCCCACCTTCCGAGCAGAGCGCTGCCGCGAACGGAAATGTCGACTCCAACGCCGACCTCGACAGCTCCCTTGGCCTTGACCCCATGCCACTCGATCCACCAGCTGCGCCACTCCCCCCAGCAACCTACATGACCGAATCAACCACTGAGGGCTGGAAGAAGGCGAACCACCCAAAGTTGGACCACGTGCAAGTCGACGAGCGCGTCAAGCAGGAGCTCCGCTACATTGGCCTCATGCCTGAGAGTGCCGATCCTCAGTACGACAACGGCGAGGACGATGAGGTGTCCGCACGCCTGCGTCTCCTCACCGCCATGCTCAAGGAGAAAGTCATCGAGAACAACGCGCGGAAGGCGATCTTGATGGAAAAGGTCAAGGAACGCATGGCTCACCAGGAGTACTCCACCATCCTCGAGGATCTCGACAGCCAGGTCCAAGCATCCTTCTCTAAGCGCACCCGCACCATGGGCAAGAAGACCAAGGCCAAGCGACCAGGCGGCGCTGGAGGTGGGAGTCACGTGGCTTCTCAGGGCATGGCTAGGCCGGGCATTGGGGATGCTACGAAGACGCTCATGGAGAGACGCAAGAAGTGGATTGAGAACATCGGTCCTGTCTTTGAGGGCGACACTGGTAGGGTTCCTCGCGCCGCCGATGAGGGCAGCAGCATCTTCACTGATGAGGCCATGGTCGAGTACATGAAGCGTGAGAGGGAGAACTGGGATGAAGAGGTCGATGATGAGTAATGATGCATTTTCAATGGGAGTTTAGGCGCTATAGATACCAGTCTGGTTCTGCCTGAACACACGAGCATATGAGCATATGGGTACTTTGTTGATGAGGATATCCTACATTCAACGCCTTCATAGTAAGAGTCAGAATAAGAAGGACAAAGTTGATTTTATATGCATTATAAGACTACGTGAAAACGCCAGTGAGACCTATCATAATGGACAACGCATTGGACTTTCTTCTATTGACATGTACATGCCCATCAACAGAGACCTATCATAAATGCAGCAGTTCATAAAGAATACTTCGATCTCAGAAATCATATTCTATATCATCACCAGCCAACCCATTCTATAATATCTACCCACATTTCCAGACGCCCCTCCAAACACCTATCACCCCCCTACTCCTCTTCATCCTCATCCTCATCATCACTCCCCTGCATGAACAGCGTCTTCTCCATCAACGCCAGCGTCGCCCTCAACGGCAACCCAACCACATTATCATATGCCCCCTCAATCCTGTCCACCAACAGCCCTCCCATCCCCTGAATCCCATAACCCCCCGCCATCCCCACCGCCTCCCTCGTCTTCACATACGCAGAGATAAATTCATCGCTCGTCGTCTCATCAAACACTACCTTCGTCTCCTCAACCGAACTCTCCATATTATACCCCGGCGCCCTCGCGTCGTCGCGCGGCACAAGCACGCACACCGCCGTGTACACCTTATGGGTTACCTGGTCGCGCAGCATGCGCAACATAGCGAGATGCTCTGCCTCTGAACGCGGCTTCTCGAGGATGCGACCCGAGGCCGTTACGACGACGGTGTCAGCAGCAATGACCATCGTCGGGTCCGGGATGGACTTCATCGAATTCGCAAGCAGCGTCTGGTACACATCGAGACACTTCTTCTGCGCAGTGCGGAGCACGTAATCGAAGGCGCCGAGGGCGACCTTGTCGAGGTTCTCCGGCTTAGTCGAGGGCGTGATTTCGATGTTCGTGAGCCCAATCTATACCACGCGTTAGTAACTCACTTTCATCTATTGGATTGGGCATGTGGTGGCTCGGGCGGACGGGGGTTCGCGGCGAGGGGAGGCGGGTTCGGTGTTGGAAGGAGGGGTAGGGGGGTGGAGACACATGCCTGACCGAGGAGTTGTTTGCGACGCGGGCTCGCTGAGGCTAGGACAACGCGCTTTCCCCGCAGTTGGGTGAGGACGGGGATGTCCAAGGGGAAGGGGCCGCGGGGGAGCGGCTTGGCCATTGGAGCCGCCGGCGTGACGTGCTGGGCGGCGGCATCTTCGTAGTTTGGAGGAGGCTCTAGGGGTATCTTGGAATCGGCCATGATCTGTTTGCTTTGATGGGATGTTCGGCGATGGGAAAGGCTGAGGATTTTCCCCTGTGGCGGGTTCGGTCGTCGCGGCACAAGGCTGAGCGAGCTGGTTGGTCTCAGGAACAAGATGACGCTAGGCTGGAAGGGGACTGGCGGGGTAAAGCCTTGCGGGGATTTGTGAACTTTCGTTGCATGTGATCAATGCCCCATAACCGCGAGAGTCGATCCCAGAGCCGCTGAAGTGGCTAGATGTGGGAATTGGGCTTACAATCGACGACCGGTCTCCGGGTATACTCTACACCATTATTTCTCATATATAAGGGCATCGCCGGTATGTCCTTAGCGCATGAGTAACGCCCGTGCTACCTTGTTGAGACGAGCGCGAGGGCTGGCGCAATGTCGTCTCCGGCGAATACATCACAAGCTGGGCGAGAGGCTTCGGCCAATGGAAGCGCAACGAGCAATGTGGACGATAAACCGAGACTTTCAGAGCATGAGAAGAAGGCGAACCATATCGCGTCTGGTGAGTGATGTCTATTCTTGCTTGCTGAGGCCGTGGCTGGCGCAATCTCATCTGCGCCGGCCACTGGTCAGGTGGCACTGCATTTTCCTCGGCGCAACGGCTAACTTGCGATCTGCAGAGCAAAAGCGACGTCAGGCCATTCGAGAAGGGTTCGACAGACTTACCGAACTGGTGCCAGGATTAGAAGGACAAGGCAGGAGCGAAAGCATCGTGCTGAATAAGACGGTTTCATACATGCGACAACAACTACGAGAACGCGAGCAACTGGTGGAGAGGATTGAGCAACTGGGGGGAAGCGTGAATGATGGATTCAAAAAATAACAAGATTCGATGATTGAAAGGACTACGGAGTTGGAATGGTTGGAATGGTTGGCCTGAACGGAGCAGCGGTGGAGGCTGTTTTTTATATACGTGTTGTATGAATACGGTGGCGGCACAGTGGGCACGGCGTTTTGAAGATATCCTACTTTGCTTTATGAACTGTCAGCGTAATTCAAATGATCGTTCTCTACATTGTTGAAGGAATTGAACATGGGATAGCATGCTGGTGCATACCCCTTTAGAGACGGCGAAGTGACTGGCGCAGACACCAGACCAACAAGGGCTCGAGCGCTTGCTTTTGATTGAACATTTACATTTACAGTACCGAGGATATAGTTTAAGCACCAATAGCCTTAAATTGACTGTTTGCATATATATTGATCATTTCATTTCCTTAGTGCTTACTTTGAGCTATCTATTTGGATATTACCCCAACAGCCGCTTACTCCTCCGCAATCTTGAGGACCACCTTACCCAAGTACTTACCCTGGAGCATACCCAACCATCCCTCAGCCGCGTTATCAATACCATCCACGATGCCGAACTTCGTGACAATCGACCCCTCCTTGATCCACTTGCTCACATTCTCATCGCGCTCCTTCGCATAAACAGGTCCCATATCTGGGTCTCCAACGATAAATCCGCGAATCGTCAGTCGCTTCGCGACGATCTGCATAAGGTTGCGGACGTGGTACTTCTTCTCATCTGGCAAGTTGTACTCGGCGACCATTCCGCAGCCGATGATGCGACCCTTGTCGTTCAAGGCGTCAATGGCGGCCTCGAGGTGCTCTCCACCGACATTCTCGTAGTAGATGTCGATTCCGTTCGGTGCTAGCCTCTTGAGTGCCTCGCCTGGCTTCTCGTTCTTGTAGTTGAAGCCCTCGTCGAACTTCAAGTCGTCCTTGATGAACTTCAACTTCTCATCCGAGCCTACAGATCCAATAACCGTCAATCCCTCGCGCTTGGCAAGCTGGCCAACAATCTGGCCAACAGCTCCCGACGCGGCAGAGATAAAGATCGTCTCTCCCTTCTTCGGCTTTCCAATGTCATAGAAACTCGAGTACGCGGTCAAGCCAGGCATGCCGAGCGGGCCAGTGAACTCCTTCAGGTCGAGTCCAAGCGGGTTCTCGAGTTTCCTGATACCATACGCCTTCAGCGCCGCCTCCGACAGCGTGGAGTACTCCTCAATCGGCATGATCCCGATAACCAAATCGCCCTTCTTGTACTCTGGCAGCCCCGACGCCAGCACCGTTGCGATACCGCCGCCCTGCATGGGCTGGCCGAGTGTGAAGGGCGGGCTGTAGGACTTGACCTCCGGCTTGCGCATGCGGCCGCGCTGGTAGGGGTCGAAGGAGGCATAGATGTGCTTGAAGGTGATGGCGCCCTCGGGGGCTTTCTCGAGGTCGAAGTCGCGGGCCTCGACTTTGAAGTGCTTCCCTGGGACGGGAACGCCCTCTGGGGCTTCCTTGTAGATGAGGCCCTTGTTCTGAACCATTGCTGCGGTGTTTAGGGATCTAATGGGTGTGGTAGGCGGGGTAATTGGTGAGGCCGGAATGCTTTGGCTTGCGGAATATGGTAGGTTCTTGGGTATGATAATGGGATAGATGACGACAGAGGGGACAGAGAAGCTTAATATATAACAGAGATCATTGATTACAAAATGGACGAGGGGCGGCAGGTGTGGGACACGTCTCAAACCAAGCCACCAGCCAATACTTACAGCACTATTAGCTCATCAACTACGCGTGGCAACGAGCGGGACAATATCTCATGGTATGGAGACGGCAATTGTGGAAATCGATAAAACGTTGAGCTGCGGGGGTTTGGCTTTGTAATCCATTAGAACTGCATAGAATGCAGGGCCATGTAAGTTACTATTTCTATTCTAGACGCGGGGAGTAGATAGGCCGTGGGTGACGTTTCTATCGTCGATTGTCTATGCAAAATAATGCGCCGAGGCTCATTGATATCAACCCCGCCATATGACGCAATGAATGACTAAACACATTGCAAAAAAATATCAACAACTCTCTCATATACGGACAGTGTCTATTTTCTTGGCGGCTTCGGATATAAACAAGTACGGCCGTATACCGTGAAGAATATTTCGATAAGGGGAGTATCTAATAAATTTGAAATCATGTTGGGATGCCGAGGTAGCATTTCGACAAGCCTTTGCCCCTGCATAGGCCCTGAGCGGCGGCACCGTAGTACAGTACAGTAAGCACCTAAACTTTGGGTCCTGCGATACGCGACAATTTCTAGAATAGTCTGAGACAAAAATAAATTTTATATCTCTCACCGAACGTTCCACAAGTCGCGCTACGGTCCCCTCGGACGTCCGATGGAAAGAGTACGGCAGTTGATTTCATCTGCCGAGAGCTGTCTATATGCAAGGGTAATATTTTTATAGTATTGTACAGTATTATCATGCCGAGGCTTATTTGTAGTACAAGCCTTATTGGTAGGCTTGCTCCAGTTTAATAAGAATGCTCCGTAACTGTGCAGGCGTCACATTGACCTGCTTAAGGTCACCTTCCGTAAACTCAAGTGGATCGGCATCGGCCTCGGAGGAACTCAACAAGTCCGCAGAGTTCTCGCCCTTAATGGCTTCCAGGAGCTCTTGCTTAATCACTTTCTGTGATCCTGAAACGCCTCGGAAGTCAACAGTGATGTGGCGTCCGTCCTCGACATTGCTCTTCCCTACCACGGCAATGATGCCGTAGTGCTTCCTCATTGCCTCTGAGATCTTCTTCTTCACGGAGCGTGGCGTGGTGTCGAGGTCAACTCCAAACACGGGACTATGCATGCCGCGTGCTTGAGCTTTGGTTCCAGATTTCGGCATCCCCTGGATTTCATTGATCGCATCTGAGGCAAATGCTACCACAGACGGGTCGTCGTTGACCGTGATGACCATGACCTGCTTAGTGTTCAACCAGAACGGCCATCGTCCATTGTAATGCTCAATAAGAAGAGCCATGAAGCGTTCAACGGACCCCAAGACGGCGCGATGAATCATGACCGGCCTTACTGGGCCAGAAACAGCGAGCAGCTCCGGGTCAGTTGTAGTTAAACCCTTCTGCTCAAGTTCAGGAGCCGGCGCTGTATACTGCAATTCGAATCTCTTCGGCAGCTGGAAATCCAATTGGATTGTGGCTGTCTGATGCTCCTTCCCGTCCGAATCTTTCAGAATAATATCGATCTTCGGGCCATAGAAAGCGCCATCTCCCTCATTGACACTCCAGACTTGTCCACTGGCATCGAGCGCTTCTCGCAAAGCTGACTCCGCGCCATCCCACTCCTCCGCGGTCCCAATATAATGATCCTTAGGTCGTGTAGATAATGCCAGCCTATACGGGCCAAGCTTGAACGTTTCGTAAGCCATCTGCACAAAATCCAGCGTCTTTGAGATCTCCTCGGCAACCTGTGACGGCCTGCAGAAAATATGCCCATCGTCCTGGTGGAAGCGGCGAACTCTCGTCAATCCGCTCAAGGCGCCCGATATTTCGTTTCTATGGAGAGGACTGAAATCCGAGAATCGTATCGGCAAGTCGCGGAAGCTCCGTTGTTTCGAGGCGAAGAGTATACAATGCCCGGGACAGTTCATCGGCTTGAGACCGAATTCCTCGTCCTGGCCAACCTGCTTGCCCTCAGCCTCCCCTGAGGCTCCACGGCCGGTCACCGAGAACATGTCCTCCGCATAGTTCTCCCAATGCCCAGATTTCTCCCATAGGGACTTCTTATATATGGTCGGCGATATAACTTCCTGGAACCCAAACTGTGCATACTGCGCTTTCAGGAACGAAGTCAATCGGTTAAATATCCGCGTGCCATTCGGCAAAAAGAGAGGTGACCCAGGGCTGTATATCGAGGTCGTGAATAGCTCCTGGTCAATAGCCAGTTGTCGATGATCGGCTGGGGGTATTGGTGGATCGGCGACAGCCTTCACTTTCGACTTCGAATTCTTTGCCGGCTTTGCGTCGCAGGAGGAGCAGTAAGCCTTGTAAATGTTAGGTTGCTGCACCCTCCTTGCGTTGGCGCATGGCTGCCGTGAGCCATTCCGCAGTAACTGTATGGCTCTCGAGGAGCGCATCACGAAATCCTTGAGCTCCAACCACAGAAGATCCCACTGCCTCCAGTCGCGTCGAGTCTCAATAATTTTGGACAGACCCCTGTCATAAGTCACGTGGTTGGAGCCTAGACCCCTGGCTCGTGACCTTGGTGGACATGACACCTCAAGTCACCCGCCGACGTCACACTTTAAGAGGCGCGCGCTTCACGGTGGCTGGTGGTTGCATCCATACAAAGTATTATTCAAATGGTTGGTTGAGGTAACAGGCAGGCTATGGTTCTATTTCTTCTTCCTAAACTCTCCTACATCAACCTATTTGCTCTCTTTTACGAAATTTCCTTCTCCATTTGTGCTATTCCTAACTGAAGTTGACATTTATGAAGCCTGCTGTGGCCTAAATAACAGCCAAATAATATCTTCACGCCAGAACTCAAAGTTTCACATGCCTTTAGAAGACTCCTGGCTGGTAGAAGGGGACGATGATGTCCGCAAGGAAGGGTCTGAGAGATCAGTGAAAGAGGAGGAGTACGTCATTCCGCGACACGACACAAAGCAAGACACAAAGGCGACTCGGCGGCCAAAGAGGACCACGAGGTCGCCTGACCCTGAGTTCATTATGCCATCCCTTGATTACAGGGCAATAGATGGCTCATGGGAGGGTCTTTCTAGCGGGGCGTCCCGTTCTGAAGGGAACCCTCAAAGGCGGAAGTCGAGTACTCCGGAGAAACAACCAGACGCGAGGCGACGGAGCTCGCGTCAAGCTGCACAAAATGGAAGTCCTCAGAAGCGTTCGCGTCCACCAAATGTCCAACCACCACAGCGCCCTGCCGAAGGTGCTGGGTCTGAATTTCTAGACGTTTTAGCCGGCCACGCCACGGCTATGGTGTCATTTGTACTGGACGTGCTGGGGAAGAGCCTCCGGATTCTCAAGACGCCCATCTCATATGCACTTGCTGTTTGGCTGTTGCTCGGCCTCAGTATTATGATGCGGAATTTCCTCACTAATTCTATTTACTCTTCGCTGTCGCCATTATGTCGTATCCCAGGCACCTCGCTTCTTAACCTTCCTTTCTGCCCTTCAGGTGGCTATGATTCGAAGTCTGGTCCGTCACCAGCGGCGGAGTTTGACCAGCTGATCTCTGTCCAAGGGAAGTTTGAGGAGGTGCTCGATGAGAGTGCAGCTGGGGTGTCACTTCCTATGGATATGAAGCGAGGGGAGGCGTCCATTCGAGACCTACGACAGCTGGTGAGGTACAGCCAGTTGCATTCAAAGAACGAGCTTGTTCTGGAGTTCGACGGATTTATAGAAACAGCAAGGATTGCCTCGTACGATCTTCAAAAGTTCAACAGCCACATCGGAAGAGCTGTTGATAATGTGCTTGCTACAACCCGGTGGACGACACGAGTGCTTGAGGGCATCCAGATCCGAGATGCTTCTCAAGGAGCAATCAACAATTTCGCGAATAGCTTCGCCAATAAGCTCCTCGCGCCGTTCCAGCCTGTCAAGTTCACTGAATCAGTGCTGCTCGACCAATACATCAAGCACACTCAAATCGTCGAAGAGGAGATCATGAAGCTGATTGATGAGGCTCAAGCCCTACTGATGATTCTGAACAGCCTCGAAGACCGACTCGAAGTCATCCATGGAATCGTGACCCGCGACGGCCACCACGCGATCGCCCAGAGGGAAGAGCTCCTCTCCGAGCTCTGGACCATGGTCGGCGGCAACAGAGGCAAACTCAGCAAAACAAACCGGCAGCTCAATCTCCTCAGGCAAGTAGGAGTATACCGAAAGATTGCCTATGGCCACGTCTCAGCCACCATCCTCAAGCTGCAGCAAATTGGATCGGGGCTTGAGGATCTTCGGGAACGTGTTGGGTCGCCGGAGTTGTTACGGGATAGGATTGATATCCCGTTATCTGTGCATATTGAGAATATTCAGCGGGGCGTAGAGAGGTTGGAGGAGGGGAGGCAGAGCGCGCGGAAGTCGGAGAATGAACATATTGCGCAGACGCTGGAGAGGAGTAGGATAGAGGGCACGTTGATTGGGATAGACTAAGGTTGTGTTTGTATAGGTCTTGGGTGGGAAGGCAGGGGTCACTATTAGATAGGATACCTAGATAGAACCATAAATTGGTTAAACTCTCAAATCCAGAGCCGTCTTATAACTGTACTTCACTCTAGTTGCTACCATATGGCCACACTCCAGTCTTGTAAAACCTCACAGACACGACTCCCCGCTCCGGCTCTCACAGCGTTCAAGAACCTCACGGCTTATAGATACAAGCTTCACTCAATTGGGAGACTATCCATCCACCTATCCTACACATCCTACACGCGCTTCCGCGCAACCCAAGCGCCAATCTTAATACAGTAGCACACACAACCCAAACGCCCATCCATGCACACTCCCCACCCCTTACCGATGCCTATCCTTACTCAACTGCCCCTCATCACTCTTCGGGAACCCCCCCACCCTCTCCGCATTCCTCAACACCGCCTTCCCCTTCTCCCCCTCCCGATCCGCCTCCGGCAATCCCCACCACTCCCTATGAAACTTCTCCTGCTCCTTCCGCCGCCTATCCTTCGCCTCGCGGTCTTTCTGTCGTTGAAGCCGCAGCCCGAACCACTCTTCTCGCGCGTTATCTTGTTCCGCTTGCGTGGCGTGCGCAATCATACAGCTGTTCATTCCTAGGCGTTGGGCGCGACACGCGAAGGGCGCTGTGAATGTCCTGCCGACAGCGCATTCTGCGAATTCTGGGAGAAACCGGAGTTAGCTAAGTGCACACGACCTCCCCCCGCGGAGCTGGACAATTGACCCAGCAGCTCGGGGGAAGTAACAGTAGCAGGAGCGAAAAACGAACCTTTAATCTCCGCCGCGCAAAGGGCGCGCACACGCGCAAAATACAGGTCCCGCACCTGCGTCTCCTGGCCCGCGGACAACGGTAACGGGTTCCGCGAGGGCATGGGGAGGCGCTCTACCGGCTCTACCGGTTCGGCGGTTGGGAGGGGCGCCATTGCCGCTCGTGTGTCGGTGTGAGAGGGTGAGAGAGAGGGCCGCCTTTGCGGGGTGTTGTTGGGGGAGGGAGGGCGCTGGTGGTGTTGCTGGCTGGCTGGCGAACTGGGGATGGGGTCGGGATTGGATTTACATACAGATATAATTGTCGCTGGAGCTGGAGGTGCAGGGGGAGGAGTTGGGCTAGTTTCCGCGGCGGGGCGGAGAATTTGGGGTGCTGTGGGGCTTGGCGGGCGGTGTGGTGTGTGGTAGTAGTAAATTTTGGGATGGGCGATAAGAGAAATAATATATCGCGAGGTTGAACGAGTAGTATTCAACTTCAACTTCATACCTTCGATTCTACACGAATTACTACGACGAAACTCTTGAACACATCCTTGATTCTATATCTCTGGCGCCGCACAATCTATTCCTGATACTTGATACACAGCCATCGCCATGTCGTCGATGCGAAATGCGGTTCAGCGCCGCCCGCATCGTGAGCGAGGACAACCTGAAGAGCGCGCAAAATGGGGATTATTAGAGAAACACAAGGTAACTCCCCCCATCCCCTCTCCCCTCCAATCCCACAAGCACCCCCTCTAACATGCCACCCCCCAGGACTACTCCGCTCGCGCGCGCGACTTCAACGCCAAAAAAACCAAACTCAAAGCCCTCCGGCAAAAAGTCCTCGACAAAAACCCCGATGAATTCTACTTCGGCATGGTCTCTCAAAAAGGCCCCACCACATCCGGGAAGAACAGTACCGGTACACTAAACGGCGATAAGGGGAACAAAGTCCTTGACCAGGACGCGGTGCGGTTGTTCAAGACGCAGGATTTGGGGTATGTGAGGACGATGAGGAATAAGACTGCGAAGGAGGTTGAGAGTCTGAGGAGGAGAGTGGTGGGGATTGAGGGGGAGGGGAGGAGGGTGGTGTTTGTGGAGGGGGAGGGGGAGAGGGGGGAGAGGATGGGGGGGGATGAGGAGAGGGAGGATAGGGAGGAGGAGAAGGGGGAGGAGGAGGGGGAGAAGAGGTTGAGGAGGGTGAGGGAGAAGGAGGCGGGGAAGTTGGAATCGATGCTGGAGATTGCGGAGAAGAGGTTAGAAGCGCTGACGGAGGCGGAGGAGGCGCTGGATTTGCAGAGGAAGAAGATGGGGAAGACGATGAGTGTTGGGGGGGTTACGAAGGGGGGGGTCAAGTTCAAGGTTAGGGAGAGGAAGAAGTAGGGTGTGTGTGTGTGTGTATGATGGGAAGATGAAAATATTGATACGATTTCCTAGGTAGTTGAGCTATGGACTACTTTCATGACAAGACTATGAGAGTCTAAAAACTCCAAAACTCCGTGACCCCCTTCCGTGCCCATGACGCCTTACATCACGCTCTATGTACTAAAGAAACAATGAAATTAACGTGCAGTCATCCAGCTGCTCAAATCAGCCAAGCTAATTCAGCCCCTTCTTCGTCAGACATCCGCTGATAGAAATAATCACACTCGCCAACGTCTTCACCGTAAATGTCAAGATCCACACCACAAACTTCAGCGCCCAAAACAGCACCTTCAGCACCCCCTTCGTCGGCTTTGGCAGATTAGCCTTCTCCTTATCCGATAGGCTCTGCTGGCTCTCGAGATCCATCTCCATCTCCTCAATCTTCGGCTTCTTCGTCTTAGCTGCCGGCGGCGCCGTTGTTGGTGGCGCCTCAAAGCGCTCGATATTGTGCGTCTTCTCCTCCGCTAGAGCCACAATCATGACTGCGCAGATCGCAACATCAACGAGGAAGAAACTATCAATCCGCGCAGCGACTCCAGTATCGACCTCGAGGTACCCACCCCCTGACCCATCGCGCGTCAGCTTCACCATGTTATGCGGTAGCTCCGGGTGCTCGAGCGTGTACTCGACACGCGACCAAGCGGGCGATGAGGCGATGGTGACGCAGAACGGCGTCGACATGGACGGGTGTACAAGGTAGTACTTCTCGGTGTCATTATCCCAGACAAGGCGACCGCATTCGAATTCCGCAGCTGCGCGGGCGGTGTCCTCGCTAGGGTTATTGTTCTTAGCGACCATGTCAAGGGCCATAGCGGCTGCGGCGCGGGGGTAGAGAAGGGCGACGAGGCCATCGCTAGGGGGAAGGCGGCGTTGCGGGTCTTCGAGGGCGGTGGTGAGGACTTCCACGCCGGCGGGGTCTTTATCTTTGTTCTTTGATCCGCCTATGAGGGGGGATGAGCTCTTGGCGAGGGCTTTGTTTGGGTCATGTCGCGTCATTGCTATCAGGGCAGAGGTGGATGTTGGGTCGAGGCGGAGAGTGTAGAAGGGGTGGGTAGCGGAGGAGAGGGTGTGGACGGGTTCTTCGACTGCACTCGTCATTTTCAGACAGAATGAGCGGCCCTCGCTCGCTGATACCCTCCAGCCGTTTGTCACCTTCCACAGCTGCTTCAGCTCTTCTGTGGAGCATGTCGTTGGCGGCGTTGGGATCTCGGTCACTGTTCTGCGAGGGCCCGTAGGCATACCGAGGGGTGTTCGACCCGATCCGCTGCCAGCTGAGTATGGACTTCTGCTGATAGCCGATTGAGGGATATGAGTGGGGCTGGTTTGTGTTGGATAATAGTCTTGTTGCTCAAGAGGAACATCCGGGTTATATCGAGGAAATATCGATCGGATCATGGGCTGTTGACTTGAGCCTGCCGCATTGTTCTGGAGCGGTGGCTTCGCAATGGAGCTGCGTGAAGAATTGCTGTGGCTCCTGACAAGAGTCGGGGCTTCTGAGAACGCTGTTTGGGACCTTGGGATCTCTGATCCAAAGGGATTCGGTGAATTGCGGCCACCCATCGCAGATTGTGGACTGTCGAAAACAGAGTGCTTGTTGCTCATTGCAGACTGACGGCCATCGATGGGTGCATCGGGTGTTTTTGGGCGACTCGACGAGGCCTCCTCAGCTTGTCCTGGCTGAATGGCCCCACGTCGGGTGCTATACTTCCCTTGGCTCTTCTTTGTTGGCGGGGGAGGAAACAACTGTAATCCCGCATTCGCAGTCATCTTGATATGCGTCTAGTATACCGGATACTAATCAGATGAAGGGAAGAGAAGACGACTTCCAGCGCCCAGGATATGTATATGAAGAAGAATACAACAGCAGCACGCCCCCTCCATGAAGAACAGAGAGCCACTTGTGGCAGATATATGAGAGAAATCTGACAACCTACCTAGGGAATGCACACTTCGACTTACTAGTGAGGGGTTCAAGGGTCGGGCGTCCGAGACGCATGCACAAGGAGGCGCCTGCAACCCGCATTCCTCGAGACATTCTGCGCAATGGGACGACATGTGTCGACGAGCATGGTCAATGAGGACAAGGGAAACTCAAAATAGAATGTCGCATTTGGCTGGGGGGTTGGGAAAGGCGGATAAGTGGACGGAGGGGATATGTCGACCCTGGTGCCAGCGCTTAGAGACATAATGTGATAGCGGTGTTGATTGGTCCAGAATTGATTCAAGCGCCCAGGGAGACATAAGGGCGGGAAACAACATGTTTATTGCCATTTTCAGTCTTCAGTCTTTCGGTCTTGGCTGTCATTCGCGGTCTTTGCATTTCAAGCTGACAGGTGCATTTGTGCACATACTATTGATGACAGCGTCTATGATAACGTGGAGTTGTTGCCGTTGAGCTCCACCAAATACCTGGTTTCGAGTCACGTGGTTAAGATATGATTGGATCACGTGATTTATCACTGCAAAAAAGATGCAAGGCTGAAAACAAACAGGACAGACAGACCAACCAACAACCCCTCCCTTACAGTCCAACTTACTCAAGTACCTCCACAGATATAATGTGCACTCAATCTCGCCCTGTCTCAGCATTTCTTCCTACTTAAAGCTATATAATTGTACTGTAGGAAATGCTGACCACATATACGTACTTGTATTGACTGTCGTGTAATGTTGTACCCGCAATTTCTACACTTCTAAAGCGACATATCATATAGTGAGGCAAATAAAGCAAGGTACAAGTATGGTACATGTAGTCCCAGGACAAGAAGCGGTGTCGGCGGGGTACTCGATCACAACCCACCAATTTTGAGGCGGTGAGTCTGAGTCACGGCTGGCAGAATTCCCCAACCAAGTCACAGTGCATCTCTAGAAGAGTCATTTCTTTTGAACTTTTCTCCACGCAAAACAATAATAACCTATTCAATTGCAACTCCAAAATGTCTGGAATAACTCTTCATCTCCGCTCTGAGTGTATGCACCCCTCCTCGCTCTCCCACAGACTGCAATTGCTAACGCCCCCCCGCAGGCAAGGCGCTCGAGCACCGCTCCGCCCTCACTCCCACCACCACCAAGGCCCTCCTCGATGCCGGCTACACCGTGCGCATTGAGCGCAGCCCAGAGCGCATTTTCGACGATGCCGAGTTCGAGGCCGTAGGAGCGACACTCGTGCCCGAGAACACCTGGCGCGAAGCCCCCGCCGACCACATCATCCTTGGCCTCAAGGAGCTCCCAGAGGAAGACTGTGAGTCACCACGAACCAGAATCAACACATCTATTTATCCCATACTGACCGAAATCCAGTCCCATTGAAGCACGTTCACATCCAATTCGCCCACTGCTACAAGAACCAAGGCGGTTGGGAATCCGTCCTCTCCCGCTTCCCCCGCGGCAACGGCACGCTCCTGGACCTCGAATTCCTGGTCGATGAGCGCGGCCGCCGCGTCGCTGCTTACGGCTTCCACGCTGGATTCGCCGGCGCTGCTCTCGCCCTCGAGAACTGGGCTTGGCAACTCACCCACTCCGAGCCTTTCCCAGGCGTCACCGCCTACCCCAACGAGACTGCGCTGATTGCCGATGTCAGGAAGGCCATCGCTGAGGGCGCCGCGAAGACGGGAAGCCAGCCACGCATCCTGGTTATTGGTGCGCTGGGAAGGTGTGGATCTGGTGCCGTGGAGCTGTGCAGGCGCGCGGGCATCCCGGAGGATAATATCGTGAAGTGGGATATGGCTGAGACTGCTAAGGGCGGGCCATTCAAGGAGATCATCGAGAGCGATATCTTCGTGAACTGCATTTACCTGAACTCTAAGATCCCCAGCTTTGTGGATTACGAGAGCTTGGATACGGCGGATCGCAAGCTGTCGGTTATCTGCGATGTCAGCGCTGATACTACCAACCCAAATAACCCCGTCCCGGTTTACACTGTCGCTACGACGTTTGATAAACCTACGGTCCCGGTTGAGGTTAAGCAGGAGCCCAAGTTGAGCGTTATCAGCATTGATCACTTGCCTTCGCTGCTGCCGAGAGAGGCGAGCGAGGCGTTTGGAAATGATCTCCTCCCGAGCTTGTTGGAGCTGAAGGACTGGAAGAATGTCCCGGTCTGGCAGCGCGCGGAGAAGCTGTTCCAGGATAAGGTCGCTACGCTGCCAAAGGAGTATCTGCAGTAGAGAGTTTTGGTGTAGATTTAGAGGGAGTTTGTAGAGTTTAGACAAAATGACTGAAATGAAATACCACACTTTACATCCAAGCTTACCGGTTTCCAATTTGAGTGTAACAATGCGCCAGTACCAGAAGTCATATATAGCTAATTTCAAAATCAATATCGATTCGATTTCCCATCCAATCCCCTAATTTTCAGTAACTCAGCCTCAAGGGTCCATCCCTTCATTTCGTCGAAAAAAATTCCCGTGACTCGCTTCATCCACCACCAAAAAAGTTATCACCAAAAACAATCACCCCGCCTCACCCCGCCATCAGCTGGAACGAAATAAACTTACCCCTCACCCCCTCTCCCCGCGCAAATAAAAATGGCAAATTCAAAGTAAGAAATCCAAAAATCAAACCTGTATACTCCCAGCGATCTAATACAAGGATAGATATGAATACGTCAAATCCTTTGAGCAGCCTGATTTGCTCTTACCAAACACGTGGATCGTGATACGGATTGATGGACGGGGATTCCATAAGTAGCATACCCCCCCAGGCGCACTATTTAGTAGTAATACTATGAGGGTATACTGACATACTGGCAGATTCTCAGATAAATATGCGTTCAAGAAACCGAATGATCGCCGCGCGCTGGATCTCATGAACGCCGCTGCGGAGAGGGTGCTGATTGAACTGCCGGATGTGGTTGTGGCGTATGGGATTAGTGATGAGTATAGGTATGTCTCCCCATGTATGGGAGTGACAATGGGAGTGTGCGATCTTATCTGATATGGTGAGTAGTTTCGTGCTGCATAGATCATGCACACTATTCGAGCGACGATCGAGGTAAGTCACCCATCATCATCTTCCCAGCGATGCCAGTGACAAACATGCTCATACTGCCGCAGTAAACTCGTCACAACAATCGTCTCCATGTTCTCAGCATACTACGTCCACCTCTGGCCCTCCTTCTTCCCCTACTCGCCACTCACGTTCCCGCTTCCAGGCTTTGATGGGAGGGCGGTGCAGTATCCGACGGTCCAGAATTTGAGGGATTATATGAGTTGGAGGCAGGTTGACTGTAAGTTCTTCTTTGCCGGTTTGGGTAGGGGTGTGTGCTGATGGGGGTTTGTGTCTAGGTCATATTAATAATCTGTATAATACGACGTTTTGGACGTTGATACAGCAGGGGGGTATGGATGCGAAGGCTGCGGAGGCGGAGTTAGCGGTAAGTTTTTGCTATTTCTTGATATTTGAGGAATTTTGCTGATCATATATAGGGCACGCTGGCGGCGGATAAGAATGAGATATTGTTCTCGAGGTTTGGGATGAATTACAATAATGAGCCTGATATTTACAAGAAGGGGAGTATAGTTTTCCGAGATGTAAGTGCGCCCCAGACCGATGGCAGTTTTCAATATTCTTACAAAGTTTCTAGTATGAATTAGTAGAGGCTACCACATCTTCGCCAGCGCTCAACGAGGAAGCTCTGACGGCCCCAGAAATAGCTCTATCAAAAACACAGGCAGAGAAGGAGAGGAAAGCAAGGCAGAAGGCAAAGGTCGTCGTTCAGCATGTTGATTTCATAAAGGATGACTTTTGGGAACAGAGGCCCTGGATATTATCTAATCGCCCCGGCAAGATAAAACGCGAGCCGTGAAATTCATACATATTCATCTCTATCCATCCAATCCACCGACCACCTTGCTGTGTCTATATGTGCCCAATAACAACCCCCGTCGCCGAAACGCCTGCAATGATTCGCTGATGCTGCTCGAGTGCCGCCGTAAAACATTAAATTCCAAAAGGGTAGACAGGACGAATGTCTAGTCTTTCCGCTTCTTCTTCTTCTTGTCGTCTTTTGAGGAGGGCGTATCGGAGGAGTCTTGGGACGCGGCGGCTTCGGCTTTGGATGCTTTCTTTAGCCGCCTCCGTTCTTTTCGCTGTGCTTTCGTCTCTACGGAATCGCTTTCGTCGGAAGGGGTATTCGACGATTCATTCGCGCTCGACTTCGCGCTCGACTTAGCCGCCCTCTTCGCCCTCTTCTCCAGCTTTCTCTCTCTTCTCTCCTCCTTCGTTTCCCCCTCCTTCCTCCTCTTCTTCTCCGCCTTCTTATCCACCGTCTCCTCTCCCATAGCCTCCACCTCAACCACCTCCTTCACACTCCCCACCAACGTCTCCCCCCTCACAAAACAAGCATACAAGCCCCCCGTCCCCACATACTTCCCACCCCCCCTTTTCACCATATCCAACCCTCCCCCCGTAACCGTCTGCACCACCTGCCCCTCCTTACTCGTATCCAGCCCCTGCAACGACTTATCAAACGCATTCATCCACCACATATCGCTCGTCCGATGCTGCTTCTTCCCCACACCAAGCGTATTCTGCTTCTGCGACACCAGCAGCGGGCGCGCGAGCCCGATCGAGTCGCTGTGCGCGTGCAGCGAGTGGCCGGAGCCGCGCCAGCCTTGCGAGGTGAGGAGGGCGTGCGCGTTCATCGTGGTGCGTTGGGCGCCGCGGGCGTGGTAAGATGGGATGGTGGATGAGGGAGTGCGGATTGAGAGATAAGGCTGGGAAAATAAAATTTTGGCGGGTATCGTTGGTGGTGGAGCCTAGCGGCCGCTGTTATCGCGGAGCTGGGCGCGCGTTGCTGGATTGGGGATCGGGCCGTGGACGACGTCGTCAACTACAAGGGGGAAATGTGATCCACGACGTCGTTGCGGATGGAGTACCGTGCTAGTCTTCTGCAGTTCTGCTTTGTTCATGGAGTATTGTATCTACTATTTAGTTAGTTAGGCACCTTACAGTATGAAACACTCATTTTGAAGTCAAATCAAGAGACTCCTGTGTGGCATGTCGCCGTTCATTTGGACCTCAATTACTGAACAACTCACGACGGCAACAGCGACAAAAGACGCACGATCACATCAAATTTGTTTATTTATATCTAGCATACACTCCCCTATTACTGTGACTTCTGGCTCCCCGCTTCATGACTAGGTATTAATGCACGATGTGCACCCAGCTCCACGTCTCCCTCGCGATATGTCACCTTAGCGTACTGGTATGAATAAGAATAGTGTCACTTCTCAGAACCTACAAAGAGGCAGAGAAGGAAAAAGTAAGTTGTGTCTCTTCCGCATTGCTGCAGAAACACTAAAGTCAACAAAGCCAGATCCAAACCCATCATGTTGATTGACTCAACAAAGACGAGCCTCACCGCCTCCAGCACAACAGTTGACAAAAGTGTGAGACATCAACAAACTGAAAATAGTTACTCAAGGTCCGTTGGAAGAGGAGGAAGTGGTCTGTCGGGTGGAGGACCGGGCTGGGGCGAGCGGTATTTGGCCAGCTCTGCGGCGGAGAAACTGGAGCCTCCCTGGGATCCAACTCCGCGGTTCTCAAGGGGGGACTTGGCGCGCTTGTGGCCGAGCTTGGGAGGGGCAAGCATGGTGCTACTGCCTTGGGGGAATTGGGCGACATAGTCCCCAAGGGGGGACTTGGACTTGGTCTTGGTGAGCTTGAGAGGAGCAGGCATGGCACTGAGGCCCTCAGGGAATTCGGCGCCGCGGCTCTCAATGGGAGACTGAGACTTCTTCTGGCCGAGCTTCAGGGGAGCGGGCATCGCACTGAGTCCTTCAGGGAATCCGGCGCCGGAGTTCTCATAAGGAGACTTCGATCCAGATCGGCCGAGTTTGAGGGGGATAAGTCTTTCACTGAGATCCTCTGAGGCCTCGAGAGCGCGTTGCTTCTCGAGTTGAGCCTGGCGGAGCCTGGGGCCAAGTTTGAGCGGGGCGGGCATCAAGCTGCTCTCTCCGGGTAATCCGGGGCTGCTCTTCCCAAGGAGAGGGGACTGCGAACGAGTTTGGCGGATCTTGAGCGGAGCTGGGATCACATCATTGCCGACACGGATGAAACGACCGTTCGGGTTTGTTGGCGCCTCTCCGGCGTTGCGGCTGGTCCTTTTGGCGCTGCGGATCGTGCTGGACCTTTTCTCACTGCGGCTTGTGCGGGATTCTCCAGTAATGCGGCTGCTGCTGCCACTGGAACTGGCTTCTCTAGAAATTCGGCCGCTGGTGGCGGTTTCGTCTCCAATTCTGCGACTGCGGACACGGTTGGCGTGGGCTTCTCTGTAAGCACGACTGTCTCTGCCATCTCCAGCTGGGAGGCTTGCTTCCTCAAACCTGACTCTGGGACGAATGTTCTCGTCGGTGCGGACTCTAATGCTGCCGTCCTCCAGCTGGACAGTAGACTTTGACTTGGTTGATCCGCCGTTGATCTTTGCACCATCGGTGGTCGATATTCTGTCGATTTCGCTACGGCCAGGGGGAACCTGCATCTCGACGCGGCTCTCGACGGCCACGAAGCGACCCTTGGCTTGGGTTACCATGTGGTCGTTCGCCTCCAAGAGCCGAACGAGGGCCTCGGGATTCTTTATGCCTTCCAGGCTGGATCCAATTTGCTGAAGAGTCAGTTCGTCCTTTTCAGAACGTTTCTCTTGGATTCCGGAAGTAGATTTTTTCAGGACAGAGCGGCGTTCAACGCCCTTTCCTTTTACGTCCTTTTGATGCCTCTCTGGTCCCTTTCCCTTGTCATCCTTTGGGCGACGGTGTGATCTCACTGGCGCGATTTCAGTTTTGGGTCTGTTGTCAGTGAGGTGTGCGGATGGGAATGCAGGGTAGCTAAGGTAGCTCCCAGTGTTGCTGACACCTCTGATTTGGGCCATTCTAAGTGGATCCATCTCCATATCTTGATCGTTCATCTGAAGGCCACGATGTAGCTGTCTGCTGTATCTGGCTGCCATGTGAGCTTTGTAGGCTCTGTTGGAGCCTGTTGGCACAATATCCTCGTCGTCTTCGAGGTTTTCAAGCGCTGTCCTCTCAGCACAACGCTCGGAATACTCCCTCTCCTCAAGCTCTTGGTATTCTTTGTCTCTCTCGAGCTGCCTGCGCTCCATTTCATTAATCACATTTTTCTGTGGGAGAAAGACGCTGGGCCCTCTTGTGCGAGGCTCTTTTGGCGCTTTTTTTAAGATGGGTTTCGTGGTGGAACTGCTGGCCACAGCCGCGTCCTTTGCCTGTGCTTCAGGTCCGCCCTTGCCGACTTTCCCGGTGGGGGTACTATTCTTTTGAGAACTCCGACTTTGTCCTCGAAATCTAGGAGTTTTAAGCTTTTTTTCTATCCACAGTTTGGCGCGATTGACATCCACGGTGTCGGTTTCCTGGTCGGACGCGTCTGGATCATATATATCTTCCAATCCGCAGCGCGTACTATGACAGGGGGGGTCAACGAGCTGAAGAGCCGTGAAGTTGAATTATATTATATATTACTCACATGGTAGCGGAACGCCATTTCTTTGCGGTTTCTTTGGCCATCAGAGCGGTTCTCTGTGTCCATGTTGTTGCCGAGAGGCCCAGCATGCTGTCCAGCATGATTGCGGTGACCTTTGTTCAGGTTAGCATCAACTGCACTCAAGGGGGAAGTAGGATACTTACGTTAAGTTCTTCTCCCATAATGCGAATCCTGCGGGCCAACTTGAGGCCATCTACTTCATGTATCAATAGGTCGGTATGACCACGAAACATTACATCTGAAATAGTCTGCACAACTCCCGTGAGAGGCTCAAGAATCTACACCAGTAAGTCAGCGCTCGGTGCGAGGAGGTCCGCCTCAAAAAGGGGCAGCAGCACATAGTGGGAACACTTACATTTTGCCAAAGCACATCGTCTTCCTCGAGACACTCGACAGCCAGTGCAGCGGTCGATACCATATAGTCTTTGCGCAGTTGTACGAGCATATCACCAACATTTCGAAGAGCATGCATCAGCACATATTTCTCTCGAAAACCTACGTGCTGCTTCGCGCGCTTCCAGCCGCTCTTTTGGGGAAGTATCATACTCTTCGTCACATCATGGGCCTTAGTGCTGTTGTATGCGATAGCTGCAAGGGCGCCGGCGACGAACTGGTTCAGATTCGGCAGGATCTCAGTACGGCCAATAGTCTCGGGATCGACGCCGAAGGTCTCGTTAAAGCGGTTATTGGCATGAGCTGTGACGAGAGTTGCGTTGTATGGCCCCGATACCGTCTTTAGGGTTCCGTCCTTGTTCCTGATGGCGCCTTTTGGAAACTTCGGTTTCTTCGGTGGGGTTTTAGCTTTCTTGCCTTTTGTACGCCTATTCAGGCTATTGTTGCGATATATGAGAGCCATTGTGAGGCTCTACAGAAATGTTTTGATGTTCTTGATTTGGGTAGCCCGTCGTGGAGCTTGTTAGAACTTGGAGCTCGGTGCCAGGGAGCGGCACGAGATGCACCAAGATGAGAAGATTTGTCAAGACTCTTGACCTACGAGATGTTAATGGGTGTTCTAGGAAGGATCAAGGCTGTTGATGGCGTCCAACAAGCAAGAAACAAAGATAGGAGAAGGGGAGGTTCTTACAAGTTGAATAGAACACTGACCACAGATCGTGTGGAGGAAATACCCAGACCTTGTGGATCTAGTATCCAAGTGTCCAAGCTGTAAGTTGCTTTCTTGAACTTTCACCTTTGCATTTGTTAGCAGAGTGCTCGATGAAGGTTCAAGAAGACAGATGATATCTCATGAGGTGGAAGGAAAGATCGTTGAAGGGTGGAACTTACAAGTGAAACTGAACACGGATGGTGTTGAAGAAATACACAGATCGTGAGTTTCTTTTCTCAGGTCTTCTCCTATTACATGTTAACAAAGTGTTCAAGGAAGGTTTGAGACTGCTGATGCTGTTGATGATGTCTCGTGAGGTGGAGTCAGGATTGTTGAGGGGTGGTTTTTACAAGTGAAGTTCAACAGGGATAGTTTCGATGAAATATCCAGATGGTGAGTATATTTCTTGAACTTGAACACTATATGCGTTGAAAGCGAGCTCGGTGAAGGTTTGATATTGTTGATGGTGTTTAGGAGAAAGAAAGAAGGTTCGGTGAAGGAGTGAAGGGGTGAGGGTGTGCGGAGGAGAAGGGTGAAGGGGTAAACGTCACAAGTTGAACGAATATATGAGAGGTGGTGTCGAGGAAATACCCAAGATCGAGGGTTATTCCACTCAACTACCACCCTCCGATGTGTTGGAAAGTTATTCGGTGAAGGTATGAAGCTCTAGATGGTATCTGGAAGAAAGAAGAAAGATTGTTGAAGTGGTGGTTGTCGGAAACGGAATTGACCAAGGTGGTGAAGGTGAAATCAAAACAAGCTGTGTGAATTTGGCTTGTAAAATTACCCAACGTGGCTAGCTCGAAAGGGGGGGGGGACTCGAGCTGCGATCCTTTGTTGCCGAGGGGTTGTGTTCACGAACTAGGCGGCAGGGGTTGTTGGGAGCAGGGGCGGCAGTACAGCGGCAGGCGTTGCTATGGCGGCACACGCTGAGAATCTCGCCGCACCAAACCACAACCATGACGGACCTCTACGGCGGCCGCTCGCCTGGGTCTACAATTGAAGCCTCCGAAATGGACGCCGTGGGAATCTCGGAATACGGGGATACGGATCGCGGTCAGCTTCGCTGTGAAAGGTAGATAAGCTCCCGTACGTTTGTATCATTACTACGTCCACGGCGATTTCAATTTGGTGTTGTTTTGGAGAGGATCAGTCTACGTTGTTGTTGAGAGTTGAATCTCCTTGGTTGTGATTCAAGCCTCTCCAGAGAGTTTTTATATGGCCTGGCCATCCTTATGGTTTTGTTGACTCCTTTCTTTTCTACTGTCTATTCACCCTGGGGATTCCTCTGGCTATTAAATCCCGATATTTGATTTAATGGCTCTTGTCTACATTCACAATTCAGAGTCCAGTATATCTATTTCCAAAGGCAGCCTGTTTTGTAGTTTATCTACAAATTGTTGATGATTCAAGCTTATTAGTTTGGTGTAAGCTTTGTCTACGATATCTTTATTACAAGCAAAGATCCCATAATTACAGCCACAAGCGAAATAGGTAGTGGTCCGAGTATATGGAAAAGAAAATTACACCATCTCGTAAAGATATTAATATTGAAAGGTTTGAAGAAAATATAAATCCATAAGCTGTATATGTATTGATTTGAATAGACTAAATAGCAATGATTTTATAGCGGGCTTCAAGAAAACAAAGAACAATAGGTAGCATAAATCCAGATCTGGGTACACTAGGAGCGGGAATACAATTTTATGAAAGGTTGAGAAAAGAGTTCCCTTCCAAAGGATTAATTTATAGTCTGCTTGTCAAAACGTCTCGCACTTCAGTAAACCATTGTTGATTCTATACTACTTCTTATTGTACTACTTTTTGGGGTCCACGTATTCAGGGTGCTTCTCCCTGTACTCCCAGTCCTTCTCCACCATCCATGCGTGCTCCGGTCTCAACCCAACCTCCCGCAGGTTACAATCCCTATGGCCCCATTTCTCAGCATATACCAGCCGGCCGTGATCAATCGTCATCCAAAGCGCTGTTTCAAAACCAGCTGGGTCACGATAATACGGTTCCCCTTGACCTCCTGTCTGGCGATGCTGCCAAATATTCCTTCCCTTTGGCGAGCGATACTTGGAATGATCCATCCCTTCAAAAGTGCGCACAATAGCTTTGTATGATTCACCCCCTCGAGTATATTCAGGCCATAGTGAGTCTGTTGACTTGCCCCTCTTGGTTTTTGGCCCTTTTTTGTCTATTTCGTAAGCCTCCGGAGGATTTGGATCAACAAATGACGCCTTTGGGCCGACTTGCTTTCGATACAGGGACAACAGATCAGAAATTGAAGTCCCAACATCGTTGATTTGGCCTATTTTCTTTTCGTCAACCCTAAATCCAGCCATGGAAAGTCGCTCGTGCATGTCACAATCAGTCAGGTAGTATGGGATCTGTGTATCCCACGCCCCCACCTCGGTATATGCAGCTGTGTTGACAAGTGCAAGGCGGTCGTATGAAAACAGGACTTGAGCCCAGCGTCCATAGTCAGGAACTGTTGTATTTCGCAGAGCATAAACAGCCTTCGTATACAGAGATTCGAACGGTTCTTCATCTTCAAAAGAAGCAACCCCTACGTCCATATGCGACCAGAAGTATTGAGGCCAGTGCTCTTTGAGAGAGACATATAAGAAGAAGTTCTGGAGCTGGGAGAAGGTGAGGAGCGTTGGGGCTGTGAGGATATTGACTCCGAGCATATGCAATCGAGTATGGTTGAGGAAGAAGGGGTTCTGGAGGCTAAGTTTCCCATGTTCGTTGGCATCCATTGTTCCAGTGTTTTCGATAACATATATGTCTTCAGGTGGCCATCCCGCAGTTATATACGACACCACTGCCTGCTGCAATATTCGCCAGTTCCGGGTGAAGCCGATGAAAAGAGGTGTCTTTTCTGGAACATGAGGCCGTGGAGGAGAATTCCAAGAAGGAATGGGTGGTAGTTCTCGAGCTGAAGCTGCAGCTTGCGCAAGGGGAAAGTTGTCGACCACCGGCGGGTCAATCTCTGTCAGGTTGGGCTTGAAGAGAGGATGTCGTGGAAGCTCGAGTGGCTCTACTATATCATGGTCCTCTACCACCTTTCGAATCCGGGCTCCCAATCCACGGTTATGAATGTTCAAGTAACATGCCGTGAGATATACGCAAAGCAGCGGTACGCCGACCAAGATATATCGAAATGATACTCGGGTCATGGCAACCAAGTTACCAGTCGACCAGAAGCGACTGGCTCGACAAGATGTGATAGAAGCATCCAAGAGGTGAAATATAACAAGAAGAGAGTTGTTTTTGCAATTTATATGATACGATATGACCCGCAGGTGGCATATCGTATGATCAGGGTCACAGGGTACACTACTCTGAGCTAAGAGGGTCGCAACTTCCCATATAAGGGTTTGTTTACCTGCACGTAATGACGAAATAATGACATTGGTTGATAATACTACCACTATCTAGCTTTCAGGACAAAAAGAGACCAAGCCGGGGTACTTTAGAAGCATTCTCATTTTCCTTGAAGCCCGAGGCCGAGGGGTGATAAAGCGGACAACACTGAGACAATTCACCACCCCTCAAAATACCAACAATAATATATTATTATTAATGAATAAATACTTATCATACGGCATGTTTTATAACAGACATCAATCTGGGTTGGTAGAGTTGAGTATTTCCTTTATTTACGTGGTTTTATATAACAGAGTGATAGCCCAAGATATTTTTGTTACCACATCGTCCACCTTTAGTTTGTGCCTTAGTTTCCTTAGTCAGTAACTGGAGTTTGGACCATCAGAGTCAGGAGCGAAAATGCCACCTCAGCTGCTGCCAGGACGGTTGTCTCCCCAGTATTGTCATAAGCCGGTGCCACCTCAACGACATCAGCACCGATGACCTTCAACCCCGTCAGGCCATCCAAAATCGTGAGCAATTCACGAGTGCTCCATCCGCCAGGTTCGGAAGTTCCAGTTGCTATGGTTCACGTGTTAGCCGCCCGCACCCAGAGAAACATATATTGGACTTACCTGGAGCGAATGCTGGGTCAAGTACATCAATGTCAACACTAATATACACCCGGTTTTCTCCAACACGATTTTTAATCGAATCAATGATGCCCTGGGCGCCGATTTTATCAATATCTCTAGCCGTGATCACGGCGAAGCCGCATCGTCGGTCATTCCGCATGTCTTTCTTCTTATTCATCACAGGAGCCCGGATGCCCGCATGAACAGAAGAATTCAAAATCAAGCCCTGCCGCTAGGTAAGTGGCCAGTACGCAGATTCGAGTTGAAAAATACGTACCTCCTCGTGGGCGATGTGAAGAAAGGTTCCATGGTTTACACCCGCATAGTGTGAGAATCCTCCACCGAGCACTTCTGGATCCCACGTATCTTCACTCTCATGTTAGTAATTGATGCTCGTGGCGTGGAAATTCGGGAAGAGAGTCTCACCTATATGGCTATCAAAATGAATCACTGACACCGCTCCCCAATGTTCATGGGTAGATCGTAGAGCTGATAGGGTGGTGGTATGGTCTCCCCCAAGTGCAACGATTCTTGGCACATGTCCTTTTGATGGATTGGCCGGGGTACGGCTTGAGACAATCTTGCGATGTTAGTAAACTTAAACAAATTGACGGTAGATGGGTCACCAACTCTGTGGCCTTCGCCCAGCTGCTTCAGTGCAACAGTGTTATCCAGAAAAATCATGGGTACGTCGCCACAATCCACAATCTTTGCCCATGAGTCTAAGGTATTTTCCCCTACAAAAGAAGGTTATTTATGCCTAAAATTTTGAAGGGCTAAATAATTAACATACCTGTGTAAACACTGTATCCATTCTGAATCCTCTGTGATCCCCGTCGGATGCCTGCCGGTCCAAACCTTGCACCAGGTCTGCCCGTAGTAGACTATGAACCTACTCGTCAGAACGAACCCTCCTCTCGGTTACACTTTCAAGTTGTTACTGACCGTGTCGAAGGGTGCTCCAAGAATAGCAATATCATACTGTTCAACCTCATTGTCTTTCCCCGCAGAAAGGCAGTGCACGTATGGGAGGTTAGCATATGTGCTTAGGCCGCGGAATTTGCTCCCGCTGACATCAATGGCACTATCATATAGAGGTATTTGGCCATGGCCAAATGTATGAGCATGGACGCCGAGAGGTGACAGCAGCAGAAGGAAGCCCGCGGCACTCCAAACCGAGGTTCGGGCCATTGGAGATTGGAAATAGGATTCAATGACTTAATTAACACAAGAAAGAGTGGGTGACTGTCCAAAGCAACAGTCGACGTTGATTGATGGTGATGTACGAATTGCCTTGTCTCGCCATTCATCCAATGCTACACTAGCTGGTAGTCTTGGTCATGGGCTATGCCGTCAGGGTATTTCGTTGCCCTTCTTGGCGGTCCATCTCCGCACTTGCCGCGTCCCGAGAGCAACTTGTCAGAAATAGCGTTCTGGGGATGTATCCACAAAATCAAGCATAATAATACCTCCAACTACACTCAAGCTGACGTCCTAGCAGAATAAATCGCAATGGAGACAACGGTGCATAACATACGTTGGTAACGTTGTCAACACGAGGCTTCTTGCACGGCCTCACTGTTGACGACGCGATCGGCGTAAGCAGTAAGCGCACACGTCCCTGTATAGAAACTCCAATGCTTGCTGTCTTGGCCATTCATGATTATGGACTGTGGAAGCTCTAGCACGGACTATGGGATGGAAATACAACCTCCACAACAATTCCGAGCCGACCTATCGGCTTTGTTACAGTAGGTACTGTGTTTCCCAAACCCCAGTGAGAATCAACCCTGCGGTTAAAACCACGACGTTACTTACGCGGTGTAGGATCGCGAACGGCCTCATGGGGTCTAAAAATAAGGTAATCAATTGATTGACATGAGTATGTAATACTCTCTTCCCGAGCGTGCGAATCACAATGCGCCGTCTTCAGCGGGCCTTTGGAGACTGGGCTGGGCCTCGCGGCGATCTCAAAGGATATAAGTACGATAAAAGCCTTGATTGAATTGTAGCAAAAGGCATCTCTTTCATCACTGTCAAATTTCAATATGCATCTTTCAAACACCATCTCCCTGGCCTTCAGCTTATTGCTCGCCGAATCTGCCCTCGCCGAGTATCATCCTTGTGTGTTGATTGGACCAGATGTTCCCATCCCAAAAGCTGTATCAAGCACTTCCGCCTTCAAAGATGGCATTGTTTCCATGAAGAAGGCCATTTCTGATGCTATAAGCTCTGGGGTGACATCATATGGTGATATGGACGCGAGTTCGACTTCCTTTTCCCTGGAGATATACTCTCTCCACGAAGAGGAACCCCTGTTCACTTATCACTACGATGCACCTGGGCTGGCAGACTCCACGGATGGCGTGAAGAAGATAGACTCAGACAGCATCTATCGACTGGGCAGCATTTCCAAACTCCTGACTGTCTACACATTCCTCGCTACTGTCGGGGATGTCTCGTTCAACGAACGCGTCACCAAATACATCCCGGAGCTCGCGGAGTATGTAGCACAGCATAGAGGAGATGATGAAATCGATTTCATTTATTGGGATTCCATAACGATCGGGTCTCTCACCTCCCAACTCAGCGGGATGCCGGCCCAGCTCGCTGGTTCTCCCGGTACTGACGAGGCGCTCAAAGCTGGTCTCCCTCCAGGCGTGCCACTGCCCGTATACGACCCCGTCCCAGAAAACATCACCGATACCAACTGTCCAAACCCCTATGGTGTGCCTTGCGACCGAGCGGGCATATTAGGGAGCATCAATTTCCAGCACCCGGCATTGGCGCCTTCCTGGGGGCCGTCCTACTCAAACACGGCGTATTCCCTGCTAGCATTCGCGTTAGAGACAATGACCAACGGTTCCTTCCCCGACCTCCTCACCTCTGAAGTCATCGACCCACTCGGCCTCAAAAGCACCTACTACTCCAACGCCCCTCTGGACCAAGGTGTGGTCCCGCACAACGCCGCCGTCTCGCAGTACACCGTCGATATCCTCTCCGGCGGCCCAGCCGGCGGCTTCTACAGCTCCACCAACGACATGCGCAAGATCGGTCAGGCTATACTGAACTCCACCTTACTCCCTCCCGCACAGACCCGTCGCTGGCTCAAACCTCTAACCTTCACTGCCAACGACGGCGCCCTCGTCGGCGCTCCTTGGGAGATCTACAAAGCGCCCCTCGCCGAACGCTCCGTCTGGATGTACACCAAAGGCGGCGACGTAGGCGCCTACTCCATCAATATCATCCTCCTTCCCGACTTTGGCATCGGCGTCACCTACCTTAGTGCCGGCGATGACACGTTAGCCGTAAAGGACGTTATAAACGATATCGTGGTTGCCATTGGCGTCCCAGCCTTCGAGAAGGCAGCCAAGGAAGAGGCGACCAATGTGTACGCCGGCACGTATAAGCGCGCGGGGAGCAACGATACGCTCGTTATTTCTGTTGACGCTAATCCAGGGCTGCTGGTTACGCAGTTTATCATCAATGGCACGGATGCCGCCAAGGGGTTCTTGGCCGTGGGTGACCAGATCAGGTTGACGCCCAGTGGGCTAGTTAGCAAGGGAGGCGCGCGGGTAGGGTTTAGGAGCGTGCTGACGAGGAAGCCAATACCGGAGGGGGCGTTTGTGAGGAATTGTGTGGATTGGTTTAGTGTTGGAGGGACTCCGATTGGGGGGGTGTCGATGGATGAGTTTGTGGCTAAGGTTAATGGGGATGGGACAAGGGCGCTGGAGATCGAGGCGAGGGGGTGGCGGGTGTCGTATTCGAGGGTGTAGGGTGGATGGGGTGAGTAGAGGAGGGCTTTAATATTTTGGATATTTTTTTGTCTTTGGTTTATGTTCAGAGTTTGCGAGGTAAACTCGTTAATGGCTAGGTCTACGTATTGTGTGGCTAGTTTATACAGAGAGATAGATCGACCAAATTGGTTCAATAACAAGTACTCCATCATTCAATCCTTATAATATTCTCACTGATTGTCCCAAACCCACCGGGTTGGTTAATATAAACTATCACAGTGGTCCGGCGGGGGTCCGTGACGAGGGGTCGGCAATGCGGGGTAAGTGGAATAACCTTAACTGCGAGCTCCGAGCATGTTAGCCCGCTGCTGTATGTTTATTCCGTAGGTAAGCTCAGGATATATCTAAAGATATGTACCGCCTTGCTATGGAGACCATTAGTGGGAATTTATTTTCCCTCCGGAGGCGGAGCAGAATCATTCTGTACTAGCAAAATGTGCACAACTGGAAATGACCATATAATGTGGGTTATGCCGCCGAGAAGGTCTATTCTCATGAGTTTTGCTCTATAGTAGGTTCTCTAAGAGCTCTATGAGATCTACTTCCTCTATCTCTACTACTATCTTCTTGTCATTATGTTTCTCCTCAAGGCCATCTCAAGTGCGCTCTTAATTCTCCCATCCCTTGCCTCAACAATGGCCAAAAACTCCTCATTCACGAATCCTATACTGCCCGGATGGCACTCCGATCCAAGCTGCATATACGTGGCCGAGGAACACAATGCCTTCTTCTGCGCAACCTCATCATTCCTCACCTTCCCAGGAATGCCAATCTACGCCAGCAAAGACCTGGTGAACTGGAGACTCGCAAGTCACGTATTCTCTAAGCCCTCACAGGTCCCACAGATTGGAGACACCGTCTCCCAGAACGGCGGTCTATGGGCAGTAACACTTCGTTACCACAAGGGCAAGTTCTATGCTATAGTCTCATATACACCCCTTTCACCCTGGGCAGTCACGGGATTCCTTTTCACAACAACAAACCCCTACGACTCCCACGCCTGGAGCTCCCCCCTGGTCTTCCCCCTCCTCGACATCGACCCAAGCATCTTCTGGGACGATGACGGAACGACCTACCTCCACTTCTCCGGCATCCACCAACAAACCATCGACCTCTCCACCGGCGCCCTCGGCCCAGCCTCCATAATCTGGAAAGGCTTCACGGAATTCATCCCCGAGGGCCCACACGTCTACAAGAAAGACGGGTACTACTACCTCATGATCGGCGAAGGGGGCACCGAGCTAGGCCACCACGAAGTCATCGCCCGCTCCCGCAACATCAGCGGCCCTTACACCAGCGCCCCCTCCAACCCCATCCTCTCAAACCAGAATACAACAGAGTACTTCCAAACAGTCGGCCACGCAGACCTCTTCCAGGACGCTAACAAGAACTGGTGGGGCGCCGCTCTAGCCACCCGCTCCGGGCCTGAATGGACTTCCTACCCTATGGGCCGCGAAACGGTGCTCTTCCACGTAACATGGGAGGCTGGCGAATGGCCAGTCCTCGCGCCCGTTCGGGGCCGTATGAGTGGATGGCCGCTTCCGAAGCGCACTCGCGATATTCGTGGTAGCGGCCCGTTTGTGGGGGATCCAGATGTCATTGATTTCCACCCTGGTTCGAAAATCCCGGCGCATTTTGTGCATTGGAGGTTTCCGCCGAAGGACGCTTTTGCGGTGTCAGAGAGGGGGCATCCGAATACATTGCGTATTCGTCCGTCGGTGGCGAATCTGACGTCCAGCGCGCCGGCGAGTAAGGTGGAGGAATTGAGCTTGGTGATGCGTGTGCAGACTGATACGCGGTTTGTGTTTAGTGTTGATGTTGTTGATTTTTCGCCCAAGCTGGAAGACGAGGAGACGGGCGTGACGGCGTTCTTGACGCAGACGCAGCATCTGGATTTGGGGATTGTGATGTTAGCTACTGGAAAGCGTGATGCAAAAGGTAAGGAGGAGTTGGGATTACATCTTAGATTCCGAGTTACGAATGTGCCGAGTTCGGCGTCGAATTTTGACGGGAGTATACCGACGGTTGTTAAGCCGTTGCCGAGGGGCTGGGAGGGAGCGCCTATCAGGCTGATTGTTGAGGCGGTTAATGAGACGCATTATGAGTTTTCTGCGGCGTCGGTTGGGAAGCCGAAGGCGGTGGAGATGATGGGCGTAGCGCCTGCGACGATATTGAGTGGTGGAGATGGGCCGTTTACAGGTAAGGGATTGGATTTTCCTTTTTTATAGCCCGGGAAGGCATGGAATGCTATGTTTGAGGACGGATTCAGGGGCTTCTGACTGACAAATTTATAGGCACGCTTGTCGGGGCATATGCTACGAGTAACGGCGGCGCGGGTAAGACAGAGGCATATATCAGTAGATGGCGATACCAAGGGAAGGGCCAGGACATTGGCAACGGGGAAACCGTGCCCTACACCCCATTCGTCGTAGGATGAGCAGGGAGAGGCTGGCATAACATCATTCCTCTACTGATTAGACTTTTAAATATCTAAACCCCAATATACGCACCATCTAGACCCTGCAAAGCCTCCCATTCTGCGTCGGCAGCCACTCAATCTGATCCGTAACATACCAATCCTCGCTCCCCACCGCCGTAGGCGCATAGAACAGTCCGTACGGATCCATCTTCTTCTTCAGCGCATACAGACGCGGGTATTTCGAGTCCCCATAGAATGCTATAGTCTGTCAGTCATGGTCTCCCCCACCAAAAAAAAGACAAAGGGGTGAAATGGGTGAAATGGGCAAATGGGAAACGAAGAAGAAAAAGGAGAAAACATACACTGCTGCACATCCGGCTCCGTAACATCAGCCTCACTAGCATACGCCCCCGCCCCCGGGCTCACATCCCTCCACCTCCCCAACCAATCCATCGTCAACCTCTCCGACTGCACTGCGATCGCCTCCGGACTCGGATCGAGGAGGAAAATAACCGCGATGGCATGCAACACCGTCTCTCTCCACGCCGGGTTCACCGCGTTATCCGGCAACGCGCTACCACGTCGTCCGAGTCCGGGGGCGGCGATGTTGAAACCGAGGAACATGCCCCCTTCCTCAACAGGGTACTTGATAGCGTCGAAGGTGGCGTTGAGAGTTGCTTCGTCCTCCCAGTTCTTGCGGGGGAATAAACGACCGCCTGTCTTGGCTGCTGAACCACCCACTGCTTCGAGGGGGAACCCAGCGTCCCATGCGTCGTGGAAGTTGTCAGCTGGGAAGTAAACCGGGTCCACCTCAATCCCGAACCCCTTCAGATCATCCAACCACGGCGCGAGAAGCCCAGCTGTTTCAGCTTGCGTCATATTAGGCGCGAAGAAGGGGAGCATGTTGAACAAATACTCCCCCGGCGCCGTCCCCACAATGCTGAAGTACGAGTAAGCACCCGCCTCGGTGTGGGGGATGAAGTAATCAAAGTACGCCCTCGCCCCCGCCCAGAACGCATCCACCGACACACCACCGGGAGCGGTGCTGTTGCTGGCGAAGGAGAATTGCACAGCAGTCGCCTTCATGACGGGGTAGACTTTGAAGACTACCGATGTGACGACACCGTATGTTGCTCCCCCGCCGCCTCGAAGCGCCCAGAAAAGCTCGGTGTTGGAAGTCTCGCTCGCGGTCACGAATCGGCCGTCTGCGAGGACGATCTCGAAGGCCAGGACGTGGTCAGCTGCTAGCCCGTAGATGCTAGAGAGGGGGGAGTGGCCGCCGCCTGCTACGTAGCCCCCCGCGATCCCCACCGTCTTCCCCTCCCCTCCCACAGCCGTAAATCCGAGTTTCTTCCCCGCCTCATAGAGTTCAAACGCCTGCACCCCAGCTCCGATCTTCACCGCTCTCCCCTTATACGAGGGAGTCTTGTACGACTCGAGGAGTTTAATATCCTTAAGATGATGCGTCCACACCGCCAGCGCGCCAGCTCCGGCAGAACGACCGTTGAAATCGTGGCCGGTGTTCTTGATTACTAGCCGGATGTTGGTGAGGCGCGCGAAGTTGACGGCGAGTTGGATTTGTGAGATGGTGGTGATGTTGAGGGCGTAGCTGGGGTATCCCCCTAATGTGCAGGGCTCCGTGGGGGTTGCAGAGGGGAGGCAGGTGCGGCCCTGCCAGAGGGGCCACATTACTGAGGTCGGGTCTTCCATGCTGGGGAGGGGGTTAGTTATCAGTTATCGGTCATCGGGATCATAAGAGTAATAGTGGCTGTGACTATGAGAAAAGAGGCGGGGCTGGAGATGGGAGAGAAGGGATTTGGAACCAACTTACTGGAAAAATGAGTTCGTCCAATTGTCAGTCACATACTCGCACTCCGCCTCATCCTCATCACCCCATCCCTTATAGCAAGATGACGCGCTGGGGATGGTAGCTATCAATTGCCCGCCGGAGAGGAGATCAAGTAACTTCCACACCGGCTTCGATGGCCACGCCTTGTCGCCTGGGAAGACTTTACATTTCCCCCCTGTGCGCTTGTCAAGCGCAATGGCATCGGAGGGGGTACCGAAGGCGAAGAGGGAGGTATCGACGCCGAGGGATGTTAGGTTGGCGAGCACGGCATCGGTGAGCTGGAGGCGCTCGGAGGGGAAGAGTTGGGCGTTATCTACAGCAGCTGCGGCGGGGGATAATGTGGTGAGGTCAATGGCTATATAGAAATCAGCTACAGCGCAGAAACGTGGGTAAAATAAATATCAGTACTCACCAGCAGTGTTCCCAGCACCATTTCCAACGTCCTGAGCGCTGGCGGCTGTGGAGAGAAAGAAGGTCTGTGCGAGCACCACAGCTCCAAGCACTTTTGGCGGGGATGGGTAGAACATCATGATTTCACTTCCGCGCGTCTGTAACAACCACGTAGGAACCTCAATGGCTTCTTTTTCCTCCTACCATTTGCAAAAAGAGGGGGATCGGCGGGCTCTTAAATACTACTACTGTACAACCATTTTAATCTACCTCACCGCGTCGTGCCTGCTTACACCCACCTCTGCGGCCCCCAAGCCGGTAGATTAATCAAGACTAGTTAGGGACAGGTTATGCAATCTAGGTATGCATCGTTACCAGGATCCGAATTATCCCAGGCTACCCATTGGACCACTATAAAAAAGTATTGGATAAACCCCTCTCAAGCCCTGCTGTTATATGTGATACTTATTATCATATCTCCGAATAATAGCCTTTTTACACGTGGTGGGTGGTAGTGAATTTTTTATATCCGCCCTGTGGGCTTGGACCTGGGGTGGGGAAGGGGAGGGGAAAGTTGGGGGCTAAGAGCTGGGGGGTATTAAGGCTGAGGCTGGTTATTATCAACAACGACGCATGTAGTTGGGATCAGGGTCTAGGAAAGTCAACGAGGTTTTTATTTTTCATCCCCTTGCCATAAACAATCTTTTCACTATCAACATCATCACCTCATCCATAACCATCAATTTTCCATAACCATCATACCCATCATACCCATCATACCCATCATCACCATCATCACCATCATCACCCATAACCATCACCACCCCCCCACTATTCAACATCTAATACCTCCTCTCCCCCCTCCCATACTCATCCCCCCTCCCATGCTCCCTCCTCTCCTCCCCACCACCATACCCACCTCCTCTACGCTCATCATCATCATCCCTCCTCCCACCACCGTGGTGCTCGCGGCGGGATTCTTGACCGTATCCACCGCCTCCACCACCGCCACCGTACTCCTCGCGGCGGGATTCCTGGCCATATCCACCACCACCACCACCACCATACTCCTCACGACGGGACTCCTGACCATATCCACCGCCGCCGCCACCACCGTACTCCTCACGACGGGACTCCTGGCCGTAACCGCCACCACCACCATACTGCTGCTCCTGGCGCTGCTCACGGCGAGGCTCTTCGTAGCCGCCTCCACCACCACCGTATTCCTGACGCTGCTGTCCATACCCACCACCACCACCACCACCATACTCCTGACGCTGCTCCTGGCGCTGCTCTCCATACCCACCGCTGCGCTCCTCATGGCGGCTCTCTTGGCCGTATCCACCACCACCACCACCACCATAGCCCGAGGACTGCTGCTGCTGCTCCCTCTCTCTCTCCTCCCTCTTCTTGCGTTCCTTCTTCTCCCTCTTCTTCCTCTTATAATCCGAATCATCCCCGGAATCATCATCATCCGAGTCCTTCTTCCCCCCACGCCCCCCGCTGTGATACTCCTTCGTCTTAACCTCCGTCTGATACTCATCCCCCCCGGCAGTACGGCCCTGCCTCCACTCCTCAGTCCTAACCTCATTCCCGCGCTGTTGCTGGCGCTGCACGTGTCCCTCGTACGCCTGCCCCGACTGCGACTGCTCGTAGCGGCCGTACTCGGATGTCTGGGCCCCGCTCGGGTACTTGGTCTCGGAGTACTGCGCCTGGGCAGTCTCGTTCCTGTTGCTGCCGTACTCGGTGTACGACTGCGTCACGCTGCCGTCGCCGGACTCGTATCTCTGGGTCGTCTTCTTGGTCTCCTTGTCGCCGAAGACGTCGCTGAGGAGACCGCCGCCGATGCCACCGGCCAGGGCGCCGACGATGCCGCCGAGGGCTCCACCGCCCGCTGCCTCGGAGGCGAACTTCTCAATCTCGGAGTTGGAGGATTTAGTTGGGCGACCGTAGCCGGAGCCCGCGGAGGCAGCTTCCTGACCGCCTGAGAGCGCGCCGACGAGGTCGGAGATCATGCCGCCGCCGCCGCCGCCGCCGGCACCCTGGCTGGCAGAGCTCTTGGCCATGCCAATGGGCTTGCAGCAGCCGTGGCCGGTGTCGACAACACCCTCCTTGTGGTTCTCGCCATTCTGGATGCCGCTGCGGCTGAGCTTGCCGCGAAGCTCGCGCTGCTCAGCCGAGCCCTTGGAGGTCCACCACTGCTCGACGACGGAGAACATTTGTTGGCGGCCGTCGGAGGCGCCGTCTTGGCCCTCGTGGCGGAGCGCGGGGTGGTGGAGGACGCCCTCGATGATGCGGGTGCAGGTGCGGTCGATGTCTTGGCGCTCGTCGTCCCAGCAGGCGATGAGTTGGGGGACGACCCATTTGAGGACGCCGCTGGAGATCTTGCCGGCGGGCTCGTTGAGGATGCTGCTGAAGTGGTCCTTGGAGAGCATGGAGTGGGTTGGGTCGGAGCTCTGGTCATCTTGGAAGACGTTGTGCTGTTGGGCCTTGCTGCTGCTGATGATCTCGGATGAGCCCTCGTTGAGCTCGTTCTTCATCTGGTTGATGAGAGGGAGGACGAAGGGTGCCAACAGGCTGAAGACGAAGATGTTGACCTGGTTCTCGAGTTGCTCGATCAGCTCTGGGAGAATGGGGATCTTCTCGATGGCACTGGAGATCTTCTTCATGAGGTTGTCGTGCCACTCAATGATAGGGTATATCTGCTTGACGCACTCTTGCATCTGGCGAGTAAAGGCCTCGGGCTCTCTGGGAGACACGCGGATCTGGTTCATCTGGGCGGTGGTGGCGTTAGTTCGGAGCTCCTCGGCCTTTCCAGCCTCGTCATCGTCACCGAAGATTCCGCTTGGGATCTTGTTAAGAATATCCCTCAAGAAGCTCGTGTCGGCATTCTTGCCATTCTGCATGGTCCCCTCAAGCTGCTGGATTTCGCTCTGGGTGGCCTTGTCATCGAATTCACCCATGACGGAGTGGAGGAAATCGACACCGCCGAAGGTACCGGTCACGAGAGGGTAGACGGAAGAGCGAGCACCTTGAAGACGGATCTGGGTGTTGCGGCCAACCAGCGGGAACACGTCGGTCTCGCCCATCTCGATAAGAGCAAGCTCGATGTAGTTGGAGTGAGCACTGAAATCTTCCAAGCAGTGCAGACCGGTACCAAGAAGACGGAGAGCTTCATACAGCTCATCCTTGTTCTTGCTGCGTCCATATGATCGTCCGAGTTGAATGCATTTCGAGAATAGTTTTCGGACGTGGCCAGCAGACGTGGTAATGCCAATCTCCTCGCTCGCAATATAGTTCTTCATGCCACGTCGCTGATCGATTGCCAGTTCGACACGCTCGTCGACGGGGCCACGAAGGCGGCGGTCGTACTGGGTAGCATCAAGGTTATCGGCGTAGTCTTTTGGGTTGTCGATGTGGTCTTCGGGGCGGTAGCAGCCAAGGCGTTCGGCGGTGACTTCGAACTCGCCGGTGCCGTAGCCGAAGGTCATGAAACCAAGGACCCAGAGGAGAATGCGGATGGCCTCGGCGGAGACGTACTTGACCGTGCCGACATCAATAGCCTGGGCTGGAGAGAGTGGGTTAGGATATGGTGCGTAGTGGGGGAGTGAAGTACGTACAGTAATCTCTCAGCCAGTTACCAAAGTAAACACGGGAAACGCTCATTTTATCAAACTTCTTGCCTCCCGCAGCGCGAGACATGGCAAGGAGGAGGAGGGTATCTTCGATATCGCCATGGCGCCCTGGTATAGTCAGTATGTTGATCTCGGGGGTATGTGATGGCCGAACGTACAGTTTGTGCCCTCAATAGCTGAGGTTGCAGCGATGTTACCTGCGTCTGTTAGGTCATGGCTCGACGAGATGGATCAACAGAAGGCATACCTGCGCCAAAAGCATGAGCGGGACGAGCGAAAAGGACAAGCAGAGCAACGGCGATGGCCAGGTTGGGGAAGTTGAAGGAAGGCATGTTTGAGGTTGGATAGCTGGTTAGCTATTGTTGGGATCGAGGGGTAAAGAGCAGATAGAAGCCAGTCGTGGAGCTGCAGTTAGATGCCAGCTGTATCGTATGTATATAGGTATGGAAGTGACGTATGTGTTATAGGAGAGTGAAGCTGTGACAATGCCACGAAGCTAGAAATATGAGGATGGAGATGAAGAAGCGAGTTTGATGAAGTAGAGTAGAGTTTATGTGGGAAGGGGACGGGAGGAGGAGGATACGAGGGTACAAAGAGAGGGTAGGCGTAAGAGAGCGAGAGAGGGGTAGAGTACATAGAGGGGTAACTTGAGGGCAACAGTAACAGATCTGAGAATTCAGGTGTCAACTAAGGTGTCAACTACTCCGTAGCAAGCAGCTAAGCTTCATAACTGGAGCATAACTGGAGCATGACTGGAGTAATACCGGCGCATACTGAATTACTACTGGGGCGCGATTGGAGCACTACCAAAGCGCCTGCCCATGTCCAGCTGCGCCTCGCGTTTCGGGGTCCAGGGGGAACTGAGGCCAATCAGGGACCAACGCGACGCTAGGGTGTAACCGGGGGACAAGGGGACAAGCCACAGCAGCTATCCTTTCTGTACGCGCTATACGGCGGGAGCACGGCAATGTCTTCTTCACCGCCTTTTCCACGTGACCCACACCAGCCACGCGCCTCATCAACCCTCATAAGCGGCTGCCACTCAATTCAAAACAGCTTTCGTGGCTCAGTTGGCTAGAGCGTTGGTCTCATATGTTGAATATGACGTCATTGAACAAACAATCACGTGATCCAAAGGTCGCAAGTTCGAGCCTTGCCGAGAGCAGTTATCTTTTTGCATTTTTTGGTGTTTGGTCGGCGTGGTAGGGGATTTGGAGACGAGAGGTGAGGGGAGGAACTAAGGGGTTGAGGGTTCAGTGGAGGGGAGTGGAAGGGTGTGTGGGATGTGGGTGGGTGGAGGTAGGTGCGAGGGAGGTGAGACAGTGTGTTGCATACAGGTTGCTTGCTCTGTGCATTGACAGAAGGAAGGAAAGAAAGTAGAGTAGCACGATGGAGGTTACAGAGACATGCCACGTGATGGTTTGTGCGATTTTCTTTTGGGGTTTGGGGGTGTTGGGTGTTGTTGGGTGCTGTGGGTGGGTGTAGATGGTCTTGTAGTTGACAGACTGTGCTTTTTGGCCATGGCAGTGATCTTGGTGGCTGTTGGTGATCATGGCGGTGGTGGTGGTGGTTGTGGTTGTGGTTGTGGGGATATCGCAGCATATCGTAGCATATCATGGCGCCTGTAGTGGAAGTTGAGCACGGTGGTGATAGCCACGGCAGGGTCGGGTCGGTATCTGTGGTGTCTGTGGTAGAAGGTGGAAGGAGGGCGGTAGGAAGGGGGAAGGGCGGCGGTAGGAGGGCGGTAATAGAAGTTGGAGCAGCGGAGTGATAGCAGAGGCCTGTGATGGAGCTGCTGTTCGGCCCTTTTGTGCTGGCTGTTAGTTGACTCGGCGCGTGCAGACTCTGAGTGTGCAGAGAGTGTGAGGGAAAAGACTGTGGGCGTGAACGTGGAGGTACCACTGGCGCTCTGCTTGTACCCACACTGCATTTCCTAGGAGAGATACTTTGATGGTACTGGCACGGATGATGGATGGATGGGTGCTGTGGTGTGTTTGTACTGGTAGCCGTAGAGTGAGTGTGGTACTCTGTTCTGTGGTACTCGCAGTTAGGTCAGTCAGCAGCTCGCAGCCAAACCGGGTACAGTCTGGCGCCCAGCTGGAGCTGACTGAGAGTACCACAACACACACTCTAACACTCCTCTAACTCTGTAACAAGTATAGCGAGTAGTAATAGTAATAGTAATAGCAGGTGCAGGTGCAGGTGCAGGTGCAGGCGCAGATTAGCAGATTACTCGTTACAGAGAGGTGCAGCGCTACTGCACCCTGCCACCTGCCCCTACAGCCAACCAGCAAGCCTAAAATCCAGTTAGAGACCAGGCTCAGCGACCAGGCCCCAGACCAGACCCAGACCAGGCCTTGTACCAGCCAGCCCATACCAGGCACCCACTTACTACTCACTCACCACCACTCACCAAGCAAACAACCAGCCGCCTGTCTCGCTCTCTCTCTCCCTCACACACACAACGCTCCCTTCCCCCCCCCATCACCGATGACCGCCGTCACGCCCATCCCATCACATCACACCAAAAACACAACACACACCAGCCCCCAGTACCAAAAACTGTACTAAAAACAGCACCAAGCACCAAAAACACTACCAATTACCCGCTCCAACCCCAGCGAAATCACCCACAACACAGTCCATCACACACACACACAAACTCCCTCCCTTCCGTCTACTCTAACCCGCCAGCTTCCCTTGGCCCAACTCATCCCTCACCTCACCCACCCACCCATCCGCCATCATCCCCCATTACGCCCATCATAACCCCCAAAAGACACCCCCAACCCCCTCCTCTCCCTCCCAACTGGCCAGCTCGCGTCGCTTAGCAAAACATGCCCTCCCTTCCCTCCTACCCTCCAAAAAAAACACAAATCCCTCCCTTCCCCCCCAAAATTCCAATTCCCCCGGCCCCCGACTCTGCTCTCCCGCTGTTTGCTGTCCACCCACTCCCACTTCCACTGCGAAAACTCTGCTGCTGCTGGTGCTCGCTAACTCGCTAACCCCATTAACGTAACCTCGCTAACACACACCACCCCATCACCCACCACTCACACCCACTCACACACCCACCTCTACACCCATTGCGCTATTAAACCCCAGCCACTCCCCCCCGAAAAGAATTCAACACCCCCCTCCTTCCCCCCCCAACTTCTTCAATCTTCATCATCTCCAGCGCACCACCCACCTCACCGCCATCCACCATCAACCACTAAACTCTTCCATCAACAACACCACCACTTCCCCCATCACCACAATTATCACCAACCCACCACAACCACACACACAACTCACCAACCACACCCATCACTATGGCACGCCAAAAGAAAGCCGACGCCGAGAAGGCTAGAGAAGGTCCTGCCACCTTGACCATTGACGTCGACAGCTTCGTGCGCACAAGAGACTCGGTAAGCCCATAACACTCTCTCTTCAGTTATCATCACCACTCCTCCCTCCCCAACCCGCATCATCACATCCATATACCTCGTTATCGTCGCGACACACCACCACCACCACCACCCCGCCGCGAGTAAGTATCATGCGCGCGCGCAACAGCGACCGAAACACACCCGGGCTCGAAACACCTCACCACAACATCACATCGCGGCGCATTCACCAGCACCGGGCCGGCGCGTCATTTCCACCGCGCGCGCATTTCTCAACGATGCGCTCGCTCGCCTACCTCCGCTCGCTTTCCACCTCCCCGACCTCGCTCACATCAACCACATCCCGCCGCGACGCGTAGCCCATTGTTTATCCTCCACCACCCGGCGCGTCCAGCACACCCCCACAATCACAATCCACCCCCACCACCACCACCCCTGCACCCCAGCACAGCACAGCACTGCACAAAATCACCCTGCACATTTCCATTATCAAAAAAACTTAATTCAAAGTACCAACCCACTAACACCCCCCGCAGGTAGTAACCGGCCTCGCCACCCTCCAAGACGCAATCCAAACCCTCTCCTCCGCCTACATCAAGCACACCAACGCCTACCTGGGCGACAACAGCGGCGTCGGACTCGAAGTCGAATCCGCCCTCTCCCGCCTGGGCGACAACCCCCTCCTCGCCGGCCTCACCGGCTTCCGCGCCCCCACCCCCGCCATCCAGACCCCAGCCGCCGACGCCAAGAAGGAGAAGAAGAAGCGCGTCCACGACCCTAATGCGCCCAAGCGCCCCCTAACCCCGTACTTCCTGTACATGCAGACTGCGCGCCCGATCATCGCGGGGGATCTGGGACCAGAGGTCGCGAAGGGGGCGGTGAGCAATGAGGGCGTGAGGAGGTGGAGGGATATGGAGGATTATGATAAGAGTCTTTGGACGGGGGTTTATACTGAGAATCTGCGCTTGTATAACGCGCGCACGCATGCGTATAAGTCGGGCATTTTGGAGGCGAAGGATATGACTGATGACCAGGCGCGCGCGTATGCTGATACCCACAACATCTCCACTGCCCCTGCGGAGATCTCTGCCAACGACCAGCTCAACGCGGAGTCCCTCCTCGACCTCCCCGCTGCGGATGCAGCATCTCTCCCTTCATCCCCTGAAGCTGCTGCGGCGGTGAAGGCGACGCCGAAGGGGAAGGCGAGGGGGAAGAAGGTGGGCGGCAAGGTGATTACGCCTGCGCCGGAGCCGGCGGCTATTGTGCCTAGCTCGGCGGCGAAGGCGGGATCTCCGGATAAGAAGAGGAAGAGGGTTAGTAAGAGGGGGGAGGAGATTGCGGCTGCTGCGGTGGGGGAGGAGGATAAGGGAAAGGGGAGGAAGAAGAAGGCTAGGGGAGAGTAGAGCCTGTTTGATGGTTGAGAGAGCTCTTGATGTGTTTGTTCAGGGTTTATATGCTTTCCTTTGTTCATCAGTTTTCTTTTGTCGTTTTTTTCTTCTCTTTTGTTTATGGGTTATGGGGGTCGGAGGAATGGGGTTTGTGTTGATTGATGATGAGATGTGGGGTTGTGCTGGTTGTGCTGGTTGTGCTGGTTGGGTATACCCGTTGTTGGGGGTCTAGGGGATAGTGCAAAATGGGAGGTATATGATGGGGTATGGGTATGGAGGTAGAGGGGTAATTGAGTGGTATAACTTTATTGTGATTCTAGACTGTGATTCTGCAAGGTTGTATGTGTGTGAAGTGTTATGTGAAATGCGTGTTTGGCTTACGATTTAGCAAGGATTGAGAGGCTAGATGTTTTTACTAGGTGTACTCGCGGTTATCACATCGCACCTAGGGAGTTCGCGGCAGTTAGACAGCTCCCACCCCGCATACCCCCCTCCACTCCCGCAGATCAGATAGCGGGGTCCAGTCTCGATCAACCACCCCTGGCAGATCATTTGCATAGAATCCTCGGTCATCAATGCGCACCTACGATTATATAAAGTATTATCCAAAACACCCAGTTCCCGCGCTATCTACTCAGTGTCCGTAGAACTACTGAACGAGTTCCAACCCAAGGCGGACGAATTTGATGAGTCCCAGAGATAGGGAGAAGGTGATTAGTTACTGCTGTGGAAGATTGCTGGGGGCCCACTGTCGTCACCGTTGGTAGATTGATTCTCACCGCTGGGTTCTCACCACCGCCGCACCGCTCTCACCACCACAACCATCCCCAACGACCCGTGGAACGCCCTCACCTCTCCCGCCACAGGCGCAGTCATGACAAAGGACGAAGAATTATTCCAATCATCTGGGTCAACCATAGCGGGAGAGGAGTTCCATTCGCTCTGCAGTCTTAGAGACGCTGGTGAAGTTCGCCATTGCGTCCCCTAGCTCCCCTCCCGCGGATCGGATAGCAGGCGGGTCCATTGGAGGGAGGTGGGAGGGAATATTGTGGCGTATATACCATTCTCGGTCTTCACTGAAAGCATCATCGCAACTGCATCCAACGATACGAATCCTCCATCCCCTTTTCCCCTAGGTACCAGTGTTCTTAGTTCCAGCTCCCTTACCCTGTATATATGGGCGGACCTGCTGAATCAGAGTCCAAACTGAGTTTGTAAATATATAAAATGCCATTCCACGATCGCAAGAATGGCATCTGGTAAAGTCCAACAGGGCTTTATTGAAATATGGCTCAGACAGGTTGCTGGCGCGAGAATGGAGGTTGAAAGGGGGGGGGGGGGTGCTGTCACCAGGGGTTCTTCCTTTCGCTATCATTCCTGTTACTATTCCGCTCTCACCACCGGCCGTCCCTTCTTCTCACTGCTCCCGCTATCATTGCGTCCCTCACCACACCACCCCCCCCCCCCAACCCTCCCACCAGCACAACCCGTCCTCAACGACCCGGGCGATTCTGTTCGTTGTCGATACTATTCCCCTTGCAAATAAAATCCTTCGTTTTTTCATCATTGTGATTAGCTCATGCACACATGCAGGTGTATATGGGCTGCTGCTGGGGCTGTTGCTGGGGCTGGCTGGGAGGGGTGGCGGGGAGGGGGAGGGGGAGGGGTATTTTGCGTATGTTGGTGGATAGGGTGTGTTTGGATGGGAGAAATAGAAAGGGGGGGAGGGGGGGAAGTTGAAGAGCTCCCTCCTGTAGATCAAATAGCGGGGTCTATCAACCAGTTGCGTAGAGAGCGTTCTCAGTTCTCACCCAAGGCATGCATGCATCATCGCGGCTACAAATGGTGATGATATACCAGATATCCAAAGCGCTCAACTCTGGCCTACGGAAGGGAATTCCAGAAAGCTCTTGAGTTGACAAACGTGGAGGGCGAGCGGGTGCGGGTTCGAGAGAGGATCACGTTCTTCGAGCAGCGCATCGCGTTCTTCGAGCAGCTCATCGCATCTCGACACGATCGACACAAACGATGCTAACCGAAATGTGCATCATCGATGCTCCTGTCTGTTGCTGTCGTGCTGTCATGCTGTCATGCTGCTGTTGTCACCGCTAGATTCTTCCCACCACTATCATCTTCTCACCATCATGCTACTCTCACCAACAAGACATGCATGGGCTCCTTGGCGACAAGGTTCATCTCTTTGAACTGAGCGGCTGGCGTTAGCGTTCCGATTCCCAAAATGTCAGGGTTTCCGGCCATCGTGGCATAGAGATGTGCTTAGAGTATTGTTATCGTTCTCTGATGCGGTCTGGAGTCCAGGTACTAGGTCAGATCGGGACAGGCCTCTCATGTGTGGCCTTGGTGGTATTGCCATTGCTGGTGAGAGTAGGGTGGGATGGGGTATTGGGGAGGTGCGGGGGGTATGTTTGCATCTCCTCGTTTTTCGTCGGGGGTTGGCTTGGGGAATAGCTTGGGGCCCCCCGGGGGGGGGAGGGTGTTATGTACGGTTTTTGTGAGATACATTGGTGGTGTATGTCTGGATGGTACGGGTATATATAGATGGATTTGAGGTCGCCAGAGGGCGCTGGGGACGGCAAGGTACGGCGTAAGGGGTAAGTTGGGGTATAGTCAACTAGCTGTCCGTTGGTTGTGTCAAGCGCATCCTTTGCCGCCTCAGATGCAGGCCCTATGACGATAATAAACCTTTGGAGTGCTGTGGTGGAGCGGACGCTGTGATCGTTGGAGAGGGGGGTTATGCTCCCTGCGTGTTGGGAGAAAGTACCTAGCGAATGAGGGGTGGTCTGCACCATTGTGTAGAGATGAGGGTAGTTGTGTGTGATGCAAGTACTTACTGTTTTCATAAGATCTAGATGGATATATTCGAGACTGGTTTTAGATAAATTAGCATGAATATCAATCAAACCTTAAAAAGGTAACGAACTTATTTGATCTAACTTATGATACAAGCTTCTACGTAATTATTAAAATGATAAAATAAAACAAAAAACTCCTACTATAAAAACTATAAAAACTACTCTTCCTTAAAATGAAATTACTCTTCCTAAAAATAAAACCACTTAATACCTATGCTTATAGCTATGCTTATAAAACGTAGAGATAAGTCTTCCCTAGTTGGTAGCTATAATAACTAAAGTACCTTTTATTATTTTCATTTCTAACTATTTATTAGAGAGAAATTAAATAGATAACATTTCACGTTATATCATATAACTACCTTCCTTATACCACTTAAAAGGATCACATTTTTAATAGAAAAAATAGTATATATATATATATTGGTATTTCAACTCCTACGAGCCAGTCCTCTAGAATCAAAGGAAGGGGACCAACTGATAACGATATGTCGTCACTTTGTACACCACCACCACGTTGGCGGGTTATTCCGCAAATCCCAATGGAACTATAGCGCAGATCCCTTCCCCGCAATCTACTCCGCGCCGCGAATCTAGATTTGTTGTTGATCCCAGACAAAAGTCCAATTGCAATCCCCACTCCCATCCAATGTATTCCTAGGCGCGCGGAGTTAGATCATCATGTTCGCGGTGTATTGATTGAGTCCAGCAAACCACCCCCAGCGCGCGCACTCGGCCAGAAGGAGGAGAGATCGACACAGGGCCACCTCATCCCAGCATGAGTAGCCCCGACGACCCCATAGGGTTGCCTACGCCTACATCCAATGAAATCTCGCGAAAACACAATCGGCCTGATGATGATGAGCATCCGCAAAAGGTTCAGCGAAGGCGCATAGCCTGCCAGAGGTGTCGGGGGAGGAAGGTGAAGTGCGATAATGTGCGGCCTAGTTGCGGGTCTTGTGTTGAGTCGGGGAGGCAGTGTGTTTATATTGATGGTGGGAGGGAGAAGTCACCGTGTGTAACCTGCTACTTTATTTTCATATCGATATACTGACGACGTATAGGGAGGCGTCTATTCCGGCACAGCTTATGAGCCGGCTGGATCAGATATTGGCGGGGGTACAGGGTATAACCGCATCACTTCGTCCTCAAGGTATGTGTTATTAAAAAGCCCGCGCTATGTTGAATTGCTGCTAACTAAATATACAGACTCTATCCATGAGCATCGGGTACAAGATCCAGTTTCCGGATCCCCAAGGCACTCCGATATTTCCGGCATGACGCCGAGCTTCCAGCATCCAGCCACGATAGATGATGCTCAAAAGGACTATCTCAGGATCCCCAGCACCAATACAACTGCCGATACCATTTTGACATGGCCTATTTATGCCGGCGAATACCCCCCAGGGTATCTCATCGAGGCAATCCTTGGAAAAGGCGAGGATGACAAGAGTGACGCATTTGTTGTCCGACATGGCGAATTCGAGTCATTGTCAGATGAGAGGATACCCTCTTTAATAGACAGGTTCCTGCGCAATGTGCACACGAAGAATCCGATTCTCGACGTTGATGCTTTAATTCAATATGGACAGACGGCGGCTGCGAATGGGCCGGGGTGGGATGCACAGTCATGCCTGGTGCTCCTAGCTTGTGCCCTGGGTTCAATCTCATATTCTTTCGAGACGTCCATTGCAAATCAGACGGAAATGGGCTTAGCCGGGCCACCACCCACGTCTGCTTCGACTTACAAAAAAGAGCTCCGACAGGGTGAGTCGTGCTATGCTTTGGCTTGTCGGAGGTTGGGTTTGTTGAAACATACCATTCTTGGGGCGCAGTGTTATTTTTACTCTGCTGTATATCTCATGTACACTTTTGCTCCTTTGCAAGCTTGGAATCACTTTTGTCAGGCATCGACTTTCTACCAGCTCAGTTTCAGGAAGATATCCAAGGTGTCTGAGAACCCCCGTCTAGACGGACTGAGTCTGACGCATCGGAGACTGGAGCAGAGTCTCTACTGGTCTTGCTTCAAGTCGGAGTGTGAGATTCGAGTCGAACTACCGTTACCACAATCGGGGATAGCGAGTATAGAGTACCCTCACCTGTTCCCTTCGCCCCCATCTCATTCGAGGAATTCCTCGGGAAGGACACTGCACGGCAGCGAGATGCTGTCAGACCCTGGCTTGATGCAAGATAGCGATAAAGACCTGAACGAGGAGAGAAGCTGGTATTACTATCTTACCGAAGTCGCATTGAGGAGGATCAGCAACAGGATATTAAGCACATTTTATCGCCAGGACCACACGGATTGGAAGAATATATTGCCATTGATCCCCATCGCCAAAGAATTCGAGTCGCAGATTCTGGTCTGGTCGGCTAATCTTCCACCGGCAATGCAATACGATGTCAACTTGACAGAGGAAGGTCCTTCCAGGGAACTAAGCTGGGCAACAGGGAACCGATTACTGGAAATGAGATCTTGGCTCTATCAGCCATTTCTCTACCATGCCATACACGCTGATACCCAAACGGATCACGTTCGAGAGAATCCAGTCCTACAGTCACTGGTCGAGGCGGCGATGGACTGTCACCTCGAGACAGTCCAGAAGCGGTGTTTCAGACATCGACACCACGGGATTTGGTTTGATATCCGCGCCGTCGTAACGGCGGCTTTTAGCGTCATTGCGGCGGCTAAGAGCGGCAAGGTGACTGTTCGGGAGGAGTGGGCAGAGCATATTCCGACTGTCATAGGGACGTTGGCATTTTGGGAGGATGAGTCCCCAGATCTAGTGAGGACGCGACAGGTTCTGGAGAGGTTGTTTATGGAAGTTGGGTATTTCAATACGCCGTAAAGGAGAAGATTGATTGAATAAACATATTGTCTATTATTAGAAGTTTACACGATCTACGATCTATGATCTAAGATCTACTAACACATAAGGCATACACCGTTTCCTGGAGTACTCAAGCACTATCCGATCCGACACCCTTCTCGCCACCATCAAGAACCGCGGAGTCCGACTTGGGCACGTGAGCCGCCGTCGACAAACCACCCTCATCCATGAGCTTCTTGAAGTTCTTCTCCGCGTCCCAGTTCCACGGGGAGTCGGCAGAGAAGAGGAGATCCATCTGCTCGAGCGTGCGCTGGTTGGACTCGGGGTAGAGGGCCCAAACCATAGGCAAAGTAATAGCGTTTGCGATACCGAAGATGTACAGGGTCTTCTCTCCGATGGCCTCGAACATGACGGGGCATAGGAGGGTCAGCCATCCGTTACCGATGGACCATCCAACAACACCGAGTGCGTTACCCTTGGCGCGGATGGCAAGGGGGAAGATCTCAGCGGGGTAGAGCCAAGGGACGGTCAACCAGGTAGCACCAAAAGTCGAGGTGAATATGAACACCATACTAGCTCCTGCGGCGCCGAAAGCCGATGCTCTGCCAGTGTTGCCTGCGGTGGCAGCTTCGAGACCGATGGCGGAGAATCCGCCGGCGAGTAACATGGCAATACCTTGGACAATGGAACCCCAGTAGAGGGTCTTGCGGCGGCCGATGCGGTCGAGGGTGAAGACACAGACGAGAGTTGCAAACTAGACTGATGTTAGAGATATTGAGGGGCGTTTATCAGCGCGGAGTTGACATACCATGTAGAAGATATTGTTGAGACCCGAAATCCACTGACTCTTGCGAGCATCAAAACCGGCCATACGGAAGATGGTTGGGGCATCTTTGGAACTTGTTAGTGCGGCTCTTTGTATGATGGGGATTTTTAAATAGGATACTCACAAACTGTAACACCAGCAATACCAACCCACTCCTGCATAATCTGCAGCCAAATAACCAACTGAACACGGCGTCCAACGTGCAACTTTCCAAACCCACGGCCAGTGACGATGTTGAAGTAGCTGTCCGACGTAGTCTTCTTATTGTTGAGCTCGATAGCCATGGAGTTGCGAATATCCTGGAACTCGGCCTCGGCCCTGATAGTATCCTCCTCGCTGTTACCACGGAGACGGCCCAGGAGCCAGCGCGCCTCATCCTCACGACCCATCTTGACGAGCCATCTCGGGGACTCGGGGAAGAACCAGCAGGCTCCTAGGAGGATGAGGAGGGGGAGGATCTGGAAGGCGATGGGGAAGCGCCAGATGATTGCTGCGTTGCCGTTGTCGATGAAGGAGAGGCCGCTGGGGTGGGGTTAGTGGGTGTGCACGGAAATGGTATATGGGGTTGGGGGGCTTACAATTCGAGCCAGTATGCTACGACGACACCGAAGATGTTGAGGGTGAACTCAATGGCGATGAACTGTCCACGGCTGGTGTGCTCGGCGGTCTCAGTTGCCCAGACGGGGACGATGGCGTTCAGGATACCGGTTCCGACACCGTTAATCAGACGAGCTGTTATGAGAATTAGTGTAGCTCTTAGAGGGCAGAACGTAGGGGTAAGATGGGGGGTTAGGCATACCGAAAATCATCCAGGTGTGGTTCTGGGCCGAACACTGCAGGGCGGCGCCAAAGATGGCCCAGGTGGCTCCAAATGCAATAGTCTTGATTCTGCCAACCTTGTCTCCGGTCCAGCCTCCCAGGAGGGCGCCGACCAGCGTGCCAAGGTAGTAGACCGCGACGATGCCGCCTTGGAGCAAGCCGTTTGTGACGACGGGGGTGTTCTGTCCGTTGATGACTTCAGTGTAGCCGAAGCCCATGGTGTCGATGTAGTCCTTGGAGTTGTTCACTCCGCCCATCATACCTTGGTCATAACCAAAGAAGAAGATGGACAGGGCGGCAAGACAGTTGATGGCGATCAGGAGCTTGCCCTTCTCGAAGGAATGGGCAATATTCCATTTCTCTATTTGGTGGCCCATGGCTGCGGGCTCTGGAGGGAGGAGGCGAGAGGTGAGAAATCAATTGAGTAGGAGGCGAAGAGAGGAATCCATTGACTGGCAATGACAATAAGATTTTATTTTCGAAGGGATGTGAAGTGGCTAATATAGTAAATGGAAAATACCCCACGACTCCGCATTATGGAATACCCCAACCTGCGGGGGAGACAATGTGGGGATTTTTTGTCAGAGCGGCCCTGGGGATTGGGGTATTTGGTCGGACTTTCCCCGAGGACTCCCCGATACTAGTGCCGAAGGGACTGCCGGACCAATGGGCTCGTTTGTTGCCACCCAAGATCTCTCGGCGATCGGAGGTGGACTCCGAACTCCCCGATACGCGGCAGTGCCGCCGCGTAAGTACGAGTTATAACATTTGTGGAAGAAAGTAAAGTGGTCCGTCCAGAGAGGATTATTGTATTTAACAGCTATGGTTCTTGGTTTTCAATCTTATTTTTTTTGTTATTTTATTTATTAAAGCAAAATAATCATAATGGCATCAAACGGAACAATTGAAGGCAGCGTTGAGAGGCATGGTGGCCTTGAGAAACTCGGTGCAAACGTAAGTTAATAGCACCTACGATTATCACCTCTGTCTAACAGATATTTAGAATCCGTCTTTTGTCCTCCAAAAGATTCAACATGTGGTCTTTGAGAACAGACCAGTACCGACGATTTCTCCAGAATCGAGCGATGTGATCATTCAAATCAAGCAAACGGGTATCTGTGGCAGTGATGTTCATTATTACAATCACGGGTCTATTGGCAAGTTTATCGTTAAAGCCCCTATGGTGCTCGGCCACGAGTCTTCTGGTGTTGTCGTTGCTGCGGGATCTGGCTGCCAAACCCTCTCGGTCGGCGATGCCGTCGCACTGGAGCCCGGTGTACCATGCCGCAAATGCCCTCCTTGCAAGGAGGGATTATACAACGTATGCAGCGAAATGGCATTCGCAGCCACACCTCCATTTGACGGAACTCTCTGCAAGTATTACACGCTCCCAGAGGACTACTGCTACAAGCTTCCAAAGCACGTGTCTTTTGAAGAAGGCGCGTTAGTCGAGCCGCTAGGTGTTGCGATTCACATTTCTCGCCAAGCCAAGATTATTCCAGGGAACAGCGTCGTGGTGTTCGGGGCTGGTCCTATCGGACTTCTGTGCTGTGCTGTCGCGAGGACGTTTGGTGCGACTACTATTGTCGCGGTTGATATTTTGCAATCGCGGCTCGACTTGGCTAAGAAAACTTTCGGCGCAACTCATACGGTTGTGGCTGGGGCCGCACCGAGCAAAGAGAACGCTGCGCGGATAATCAAGGAGGCCAACCTGGGAACCGGCGCCGACGTGGCTATCGATGCAAGTGGTGCTGAGCCTAGCATTCAAACGGGCATTCACGTGCTGCGATCTGGTGGCACTTATGTCCAAGGAGGAAATGGGAAATACGACATCAACTTCCCTATCGGCGCCATTACCGAGAAGGAATTGACGGTCAAGGGCAGCTTCCGGTATGGAAGCGGTGATTACAAGTTGGCGATCTCTATGCTGGAAAATAGACAGGTTGACTTGAAGAGTCTCATTACAGCACGGTATAAGTTCGAGGATGCGGAGCAGGCGTTTAAAGACGTGGATTCTAGGAAGCCTGGATTGATAAAGGTTCTCATCGGAGGCGTGCAAGATGAATAGACATAGCGCTACTACACCTACATGTTGATAGATAGTTCTCGGATGAGCGGAGTATAGATGCTGGTAATCACAATGATGTTCAAAATTATAAAACTCCCACAAGTCAAACTGTTAGCGTGAGGCGTCAGAAGTAAGTTGCATATTCATAGGGTTCTAGCTACACCTACATGTTGATAGTTCTCGGATGAGCGGAGTACAGTTGCTGGCAATCACAACGATGTTCAAAATTATAAAACTCCCACAAGTCAAACTGTTAGCGTGAGGCGTTAGAAGTGAACTGCACAATCACAGGATTCTAGCTCTTGGCTGGTCTTGCAATCGTCCGTCATATCCTCATCTCATTATGATCGGCTGGCGTAGCCGCCAGCAAGCATCTGGGTCGGCAGAGTTCCGACGCCCAGGCGGCCTACCAAGACTGAAAATCAAGTAAAAACGTGAGAAACGACTCGTAAAATTTCTTGGCCTAGCTCACCCGAACCCCAGTTGGAGAAATAAATGGTCTCCACTAAAAGTTGGTGGAAGCGCTAGTGAACCCCAAAAAACGGAACAAGAAGCGGTATCGGGCTCGAGGCCGAAACTCGCCGTGTGGCTTTATTGACTCGGGGGCCCCGGATTTAATTATCACCACGTGAAGAGTCAGGACTTTCGACCCGCTTGCATGTCACATTTCAAAGGTGCCTGTCCCATCGATTGCGGCTCTCGCTCCTTTCTCCCCGAGCGAACCTCGAGACGAGGACTGTCTTAGATCTTGTGGAGAAAGTGTTACTCGTGAGTGCGTGCATATCTGTACTAACCAAATCCGAAGACAACCAGACTTCTAGTCCATACATCGTAGACGACGTGGTTTTTTTAATTACGGGCTCTTATAAAGACGCGTCTCTTCCTCACTCACTCTTTTCTTCATCTACGCAAGTCCTGAGCTGTGGAAGCCAATTAATCTTAAATCCCCGAGCTCACAATGCCTACAATCGAAGCTGAACATTATATTGGCGTCGACATTGGGACTGGGAGCGCCCGAGTCTGCATCGTCGACCGCACAGGCGATATTAAAGCGGTCGCATCGAAGGACATTCGCACGTGGCAGCCACAAAATACTTTTTATGTAGGCCTGCTTCAACAAAACTCAAACCAAAGAGAAACTTGCTAAGATGTGCAGGAACAATCTACATCTGACATTTGGAGCTCTATCTCGACTTGTGTTAAACAGGCCTTGAAAGAGAGCAATGTCGACCCCACCACAGTCCGCGGCATAGGGTTCTGTGCTACCTGCTCACTTGCAGTCTTTTCTGAGGACACAAGTAAGCCCGTATCTGTCAGTGGCCCTGACTTCAGTAAAGCCGACCAGAACGTCATTCTGTGGCTGGACCACAGGGCTGTCGAAGAGGCAAAGGTCATAAATGCGACCCACGATAATGTTCTAAAGTATGTTGGCGGCCAAATGAGCGTTGAGATGGAAATCCCAAAGATCTTATGGTTAAAGAATCATATGCCTGCTGATGTTTTCGCGGGCTGCAAATTTTACGATTTGACAGATGCCTTGACCCACATGGCTACCGGGAAAGACACGAGGAGCTATTGCAGTACAGTATGCAAGCAAGGTTACCTTCCAAGTGGAGCAGATACTGGTGAGACTGGATGGCGCGACGATTTCTTTGGCGCCATTGGATTAGGATGCTTGAAAGACAAGAAGTATGCCCCTCTTGGGGGTATTGAGGGGCAGAACGGCCGATACCTGAGCGCTGGCGAGCTGGTAGGAAGTCTTTCTGAAAGCGCTGCAAAAGATATGGGATTACCTGCCGGAATCGCTGTTGGAAGCGGCGTCATTGATGCTTACGCTGGCTGGATCGGAACTGTTGGCGCCAAACATGAGCCCGCTCAAGCTACCAAAGGTGACATTTCGGATGCATTCGGCCGGCTGGCTCTTGTGGGCGGCACGTCGACTTGCCATCTCGTAATGTCTAAAGATCCGATATTTGTGAACGGAGTCTGGGGACCATATCTTGACGTATTGGTACCGGGCATGTGGATGGCCGAGGGTGGACAATCGGCAACTGGCGAGCTTCTACGCTTTATAATCGAGAACCACCCAGCTTATAAGGAGGCAATCAGCTTAGCAAAGCAGGACGGAAAAGATAAAAGCATCTACGAATTCTTGAATGGCCATCTAGAAGAGATGACTCGGAAAGCTGGCGCACCATCCGTTTCATATGTCGGCCGACATTTCTTTTTCTACGGCGACTTCTTCGGCAACCGCTCCCCACTTGCGGATGTGACCATGGCTGGTTCCATTATTGGTCTCACTACCGACCAGAGTGTGGATAACCTGGCCCTACATTACTACGGCGCGATGGAGTTCATTGCTCTGCAGACCCGACACATCGTCGACGCAATGAACACCTCGGGACATTCAATCGGCTCGCTGTATATGTCGGGCTCGCAATGTAAGAACTCTATTCTGATGTTATTAATAGCCACAATCTGCGGACTGCCTGTGGTGATTCCTGAGTATGCAGGAGCAGCGGTCGTCCACGGCGCAGCTATGCTAGGCGCGAAAGCCGCATCTGCCAATGCCAGCGGCAATACTGAAGACTTGTGGTCCATAATGGAAAGGATGAGCAAGCCCGGAAAATTAATCCAGCCTGGCACGGATGCTGTAGAGAAGTCTCTCTTTGAGATCAAGTATGAGGTCTTCTTAGATCAAGCCAAGATGCAGCAGCTGTACCGACGGAAAGTAGACGAGGCTATTGGCAGCTGGAAATGATGATGTAAATCTCAGAGTCCGTTAGTTATCACGATTACAACGACAGTAGTCATAATCAAAATCATTATCACATATCACATCCATGAAACTAACCCCAATCCAAAATGTAACAGACAGAACACTTCTTCGTTTTATTTCGTTGATCATAATAGTCATCATCCATCCCCCACAAGCCCCTCTCTCTCATAAAGAGACCAGGTGAAATCATTACACAACCCATCCTTCTCCCTCTCCACCAAAATTGAAAATAGAAAAAAAAAAACAGACAAGAGAGAAGAGAAGAAAACAAGAAAGAAGAGAAGCCAGTAACCCAAACAACAGAACGCCCCAATAGCCCCCTTCCGATCCCATATGCACGACAGACTCCAAAATAAGTAATACCCATGACAAAAACCAAAAAAAAAAAAAGGCAATCCCCTAAAGCCAGCCTCCAACCTCCTCCTGCTCCCACTTCCCCCCACCACTCTCTCCCAAGTCCAACCCCCCCAATCTCGGCGCCTCCTCCCCCTTCTTCACCTTCCGCGGGCTTCCACTCCTCGGCTCACTCCTCTTTCCAAATCGCACCTCGCTCACCTCCCATCCATCCGCCAGTGCTGCGCCTACCCACTCACGGAGCGCGACGTGCACACCGCCATAAAACTTCTCCTTGCATGTCCTCAGGCTGCCGCCCATACAGCGTTCCCACCCGCTTATCCTCAATTGCGCGCGCAGCTCCGTGCGCCGAGAAGGGGGGAGGCAAGAGATGATGCCATTGACGAGAAAGAGGTGCGAGGTGATGTAGTTTGTAGCCTCCCACTCCACGCCGCCGACGTATGGGGCGGTGGGGAGAGGTGGCAGGGGGGTGGGGAAGTGAGTGCGCATGTATGCGAGCTCATCATCGCCTGCGGTTAGGGGCTGGGCTGAATCGTCTGGCGCAAGGACGACGTTGAGTGTGTGCAGGAAGATCCAGAAGACTTCCTTGGTGACGTTTACGACCTCTTTGCACCAGACGCGGTAGGGACGCTCTTGGTGCATTTCCAGCACGAACGGCACCGGTCGTTCTTCCTCGGAGGGCATTGGGTCGCGGAGGTGTTTTAGAAGGGTCTCTGCGCGCGCTTGGCGCTCGGGTAACGGCGCCGATTGGAGATACGTGAAGAGAAGGGAGCTGATAATCGTTCTTGTTAAAAACTCACTCGGTCCCTTCTTCTCCTCATCAAAAAGCATACCCAGCAGCGCGGGGAAGAGCGAGGCCTGGATAAGTGCCAGATGCGACAGTGCGAGGGCTGTGGTGCACAGTGCCTTGAGGCAGAGAAGTGACTCGTGAAGGAGTGCGTCCTCGTGCTCCTCTCGCCACTCAACAGCCATTATGCGGTGCAGTAAGGCGATAATTTCTGTCATCCCACCGAGGGTGATGAACTCGTCTGTCCATGCTACGGTTTCGTTGCGGAGGAGCAGGCGGAGTTTGTGCAGCTTGCCGACCTCGACAGACTCAGGCTTCTGCACTTTGCGAAGGTAGGCAACGAAGTCCGTGGCCAAGTGGCCCTTAGCTTTGGCAATGAGGTTGCTTGCCGCGCTGACGGTGGCGGAGAGGGATTTACCCTTATCGGCTGTGCTATCTGAGGATTTTGTACGGGTGTGTCTGTTAGATGTCTCAGGCTTTGTCTCAGCGACATTTGCTCCCTTCTTGCCGGATTTTGAGAGTGTGAATCCAGTGAATGTGCGGCTACGCGGGCGTTTGCTTTTTTGTGGCGAGGATTCAACTGTGTGTGACCCACTAGTTGTGCTCTCCATGCTGCCAGCTGTTGTTGGGGGCTCTTTTTGAGAGGCTGCGGTCTCGGCCCAGTCCTGCCTTATGAAATCGATTTTCATCGTGTTGGCCAAGCTGCGCATCTTGTACCTCTGGTTCTCGGGTATATTTCTTCGGTCCAGCATAGCTTCGAACTCAGCATCAACGTCTCTCATATCCAGGGATGCTTCTGCCCCGGAGTTGTCTTCCTTCGGCTTTGCCTTCAAGTCCTGCTTGGACGGCAGCTTCTGTTCGGACTTCAGCACAGGTGTGGGTGCCACAGGTTGCTTCTGGTAAAACTGCTCTGTTGGAGACTCAGCGGCGCGAGTCCCTTCAAAGCTTGCAGGCCCAGCCTTGCTAGCTGGCCTACTGATATCCTGCACGATATAGCTGGCTGGAATCGACATGGAGTTTGGGCGTGATCCATCGCGCTGGCCCAGTGTAGGCGGCAAGCCTTCCTCAGCAAAGAAAGCGTCGTGATCATCAGAATAGCGTTCGTTTCCTGTGGGCACGTTGGTATCATCCTCGAGGAACCGGCCACCGAACTGCTGAGTGGCGAAATGCTGGCTAGAAAACTGTGTGTAAATTGGAGGTCGGGTAGGCGACTCCGGCGGCCTCGAGTTATTTGGTGGCTGGTTCTCTTTGTCTTTAATTGACATGAACCCAGCATCCGCAGCTAGCTTTTGGCGACTTTTGGAGGACCGCGGTCGTGTTAGAAGGGCTGCCAGATTGGTCGATGACTTTGACTTCTTCGGCTTGCGTTCCTTCTCCTCCTTGTTCTTATTTTCGTTGTCCTTGCTGGATAGTGACTTGAGTGAGATGGTGCTCAATGTCTTCTTGTGCAGGTATCGGAAGCCTTCCTTGTCCTTGCTCCGCTCGGCATCTTTGGACTTCCTCGGAGACGGAGGCTGTTCTACAGGCTTTTGTTGATTTTGATTGATCTCCCCCAGAGCTCTAGAATGAAAATAATCGGGGGGAGACACTGTCGCAGAGTTTGGTTGGTCATATCCAGGGGTAGCAACGAATATATCCGTTGGAGATGTCGATAATGGAGCTCCTTTGGAAGCCGATCGCTTGTGCATGAACGACCGCAACGCGGACTTCGTCCTCGTATGGTGGCGGGTGCTGTCCGTGGAATTCGACATAGTGGCCATCTTTATTGATATGATAATATATCAGGAGAACACTCTTGAATTTTTATTTCATGATTCCCTCAGTCGATGTTTCAGTCGTGGCGGTGAGTTGTCTTGACACTGGGTCGCTGGGTGCGACTTTGTTTTGCGAGACGTGGTTGTCACGACAACAACACATATCTTATCACCGAAGTGGTGGGGGAAGGGTTCAACGAACCACGGCTGTCTTTCGGCCCAGGGACCACATCAAACATTCCCTAGCAACCAGTCTTGCAATTCACGAATCTCCATTTAATAACATTGTATGCAACAGCAAGGGTTCTTTATATTTTGGTTCTAGCTCAAAATCTAAACAGCTACCAACTGAAAACCCCACGCGTTCTGTCGAAGCCACCTCTAAGCTGCCGCTCTGGCTTCACAACCTTTCCTTGGAGGATTGTATACTTGACGATGTTCTCGCAGTCATTAGGGAAGACTCTCGCAAGCCAGATGCACTGAGCAGCACTATCCTCGACAATTTCGGCGTCAGCAGGCGTCGCTGGGACGTGAAAGTCGCCATTAGCTGTTGCCCTCTCCACGTCATCCAAGCCCCACGGGTTTTCTTTCCTGTACACCATCATATTGGCCGAATATTTGTGTCCACCAACATGGCTGATAAAGTAGATTCCCACACCGCCTGGCCTCTCATCATCAAGGTCCCGGAAGAGACCCAACGGCCGCAAATGCCTCTCCAGTTCTTTCCGTAATAGCGGCGCGCTTTGCCCGCAACGGGCATCTCGTGTTCTTTGCGAGCATAAAAGTATTAACGCTTTGTGGGGGCATGGGCGAGCGACCAGCTCTGAGGCTGTTGGTAGCGGGTCTGGGAGTGATATAGGGACTGAATTCGGAAGTAGGCTCGAGGTGGTTGTTGGAGAATGATTGATGAAGGATGTGATTAAGTCGGGGACCGATGAAGGGGTGACATTCTCGACAATTGTGAATGCGGGGAGGATTAAAACTGTCGTCGGTTCCGCATAATCGTTATGGTGTGTTGGGGTCGGAATATTCGACGCGGAGAGCTTTAATTTCTGCAAGCAACCAGTTTGTTAGCAAGCTGCTGCTTCGTCTAGTAAAGGGTTGGCGACGGAGGTATCTTACACCATTACTTGGCTTGACGGAGGTCTTGTCAAACGCCTCCATTATGCTCCCCTTCTCGTCCCCGACGTCTCGTACCCAGTCCGTCTTTCCAGTCGCTACCAGTACATGAGTGCTCCATGCTTTAATATTCCCATAGATCTCGTCGCTTTCGTCAATTGAGAATTTCCTCGGGTACTTTATATCGCAGCTTGCGCAATCGTGGTTGCAATCGTCGCCATCAACAGAGGGATCGACCTTGGTAAATAAATTGTCAACCGCTGGTGTTTTTGATTCCGTCACAGTATTTGGCTCCTTCAACCCCAAAATACTCCTCTTCGCATTGTCAATCAGATACCTGAAATCCGGCATCTTCGAGAGCTTAGCTTTCTCGTCGTGTAACACAAAAAGATGATGTTATTGGCGGGGAAAGTGCGTGGGGGGGGGGGGTAATGGCTTTATCTGATCTTGCGATGATGGAGATGGCGCAAAAGCGATTATCTAATCACCGCTGATCCGATCTAATCTGATGCACTATACCAGAGTTTGCCTAGTTAACAACGAAATCGCCGACAACGCCGATGAGAGCCCTCTGGAAAAGACTCCGAAATAACTGTGCAGACAAAAGAGTAGAGGAAAGACGTCAAAAAAATTCAGAACTCATAGCTTCTCGCGGCAGAATTGCTTACTATATCACTGCATCCCAGTAGTGAAGTTTTTGATGGTGTGACGCGTCATATGCGCTCTCGTCCGACTTGAGTCCGAGACCGAGCCGCGACGTATGGTATTTTTGAGGCCATCCAACGCGATTACTCCGGCCATAACTCCGGGGCGGGTAGAGGTATCCGGACCCGGCAGATGATAAACCCGGCCAAAGTAGCCTTGCAGGGTACTCAAGCCACAGTCACTCACAAAGAGACACGGTGAATGGGATTTTATGTGGCTTGAGAGTATGGCTCCAAATATTCTCGTCTTCGCCGGTGCACCAATGCCTAGCTCCTTGGACTGGGAATTTGATGCTCTTATTGAGAATTTCTTGCCCCCAATCAGTCAATTTGCCGGGCTAAGCTACGACGCACATCCTTCGCCACTACCCACAGCATCTCATGAACATGTGCGGTGGCGCTCGTTGAGGGCTGCTTCTGAGCCACTGGTATACAGTCAGCTCCAGGCTGGTGCTTCACCGGACGAAGACAAAGGAAATGCTGCCGCTCCTGCAGCTGCGGATTCGGCTCTTTCGTCATTTGGCACGGATCAAAGCTTATCCTCTGCTCGGCAAGTTGATACGCAACCCCTCACTACTGAATTTACAGATGATATTACATCTCAATTTTATGAAGACTCGTTAGCTGTATATGAAAACCTCCCATCCTCTGCAATACCAGCTCCAGGGCCTGAGGATGATATATTACGACTAGACGCAGAGGCTGGAACCACTGCGTCCAATGCCACTTCATTCTCTACCTCACTTGGGTTCTCATTCAACTCGCACTCAACAGCGCCATCTAATTTGCCGGTGCCGGATGGAGGACGAATTAATGAGTTGGGGTATATCCCTAATTCAAAATACCTCCACTCAATTCAACCGCAGACCATGACAGTCAATATCATCGTTGGGATTATATCAATATCGCCGCCTCGGAGCATACAAACTCGCGGAGGATCTACCGTCGAGATTGTAGAATTGCTTGTCGGAGACGAGACTAGATCAGGTTTCGGGATCAACTGTTGGCTTCCACTGAATGTTGTTTCGAGGCCTACGGGAGGCCATCCTGATCTGAGGAGTTCTCTCAGTGGCCTTCGCCCTCAGGATATCATTTTGGTCCGAAATGTTGCCCTAACGAGCTTTCGTGGTAAAGTCTACGGCCAGAGCCTCAGGCGCGAGGTGACCAAGGTATATCTCTTGTTCCGGAATAGGATCGACAGAGAGGATGAGGGTGGCTGCTACAGTGTCCGAGATTTGAATACTACTATCGGCAGCGATACCCATCCCCAAGTTGCAAAGACAATTCGAGTGAGGGAATGGGTCCTTCGATTCGTTGGGCATGGCGCGGGCGCAATGAGAAGGACCGACGAAGGCAAAGTGGAAGTAGTCGACGAAAAGCTTCCGCCAGACACACAGTGAAACTGTTTTATACAATACGTAAGGCCTGTGCAAATATTATCTCCTCAGGTGACTACAGCAGTGTAATAATATTGAGTTGTATACAGATACTCTTATCAAGTGAAGGTCACTATCTATATATCACTACATCAGATCTTGGATTTCGTGCGCCAGTCATTCTTTGGCGGATCGGCATCGATCTGGTTCCACCATGGCCACACCGAAGGTGCATCTTTCGGCACTGTCCCCTTAAACTGTGCCTGCCGTTTCTCCAAGAACGACTTAATACCCTCCGCATTATCCTTGCTCTTGAACAAGTCCAGGATAACCCTGGAAGTGATCAATTGAGCTCCCTCAGGCGAGTCAGGTCCACGCCAAATCAGATCCTTGTTCATCTGTGTGCTGACAGTGCTGGTGTTCCTTGCGATGTCATCAGCCAGCTCCAGAGCCCTCGGGAGGACCTTCTCTGGGTCAACAATCTCCGAAAAGAGACCGTCGAGCAGAGGCGAGGTGGACGGGTAGACGTCGCCCGTGGTAACAACGTGCGTGGCCTTGCTGTACCCGAGAAGGCGGGGGAGGAAGAAGGCCGACGCTGCCTCCATGACCAGGCCGCGACGTGCGAAGACGAATCCAATCTTGGCCTTGTTGCTAACAATACGGATGCTCATGGGGAGCGTCATGGTGATTCCAACGCCAACAGCCGAGCCGTTGATGGCAGCGATCACGGGCTTCGTGCAGCGGAAAATGGATAGGGAAGTGATGCCACCTCCGTCACGGTGCGTCCTGTCGGTGTCCTCGCCGAATTCGAAGCCAATGTCAAGATCTGCGCCAGCACAGAACATCTTGCCGTGGCCGGTGACGACGATAGACTTGACACGGTCGTCTGCGGAAAGAAGGGCGAAGGCATTGCTCATCTCCCGTGTCATAACCTCTGTGTAGGCATTGTACTTTGCAGGTCGGTAGAGAGTGATGAGAATGACTGGAGTGGGAGTTGGAGAACTTGCTGGGACGTGGGAGACGCGGATCTGTGTGTATGGCACATCGGCGTAGTTCGCCGGCGGCGCAACTGGAAGATTAGACATCGTTTTTTGCGGCTGTATGGTGAATGAATATAAAATCGTAGATGGATTCTAGTATAAGATCGCCAAACCTCACCTTGGGCTACTCAAGCTACTATAGCTTTAGTTGTTAAATAATAGAAAGCCGCAGAGTACCTCGGCATAGATCCAACTGGATGATGGAGCACCAGATGTCAAGGTACCCGGGTTGGTCTCCACCAAACAACCGAGTCCAGAATGCGGGGTACGACGGTACGTACTTCTTAACCTGGAGACGACCCGTCGCTTCATCAACATGCTCGCTCCTGATATCATCATCACAACGAGCATTCTGTCCAAAGAGCAACTAAGGGCCTGGTAATATATGATAGATATCCGCTTGCGTCGCTCGCTATGGATTTTCTGCTCTCTTATGACAAAGGGAGGCAACGACCACCGAACCCGTCTGTTATGATCTGCATATGGTAAGAGCAATTTCTTTGTTTTCTCATTTCTATAATCATATAGAAATATTCTTTGTCTGATCATTATATCACCCGTCATCCATCCAGCACCATCCTTTTCATTATTTCCAATACAGTTGGCAAAAAAACGAATTTCAGGCCTGCATTTTTATATTTCAAAATGAGAACCCCTCCTCGTACTCTGCCCGGCCGCCGGGGCACCAGCCCTCCTGGCCCTGTTGAGACACCGCCGCCTGGAGGGGAAGGTGCCAACACTGGCCCGGTTACACCGCCGAACAACAGCCCTCCATTGCCGCCGCCTGGAGGGGGAGGAACCAGCAGTGGCCAGATTACACCGCCAGACAACAGCCCGCCAGTGCCGCCTCCTGGAGGGGGAGGTACTGGCAGTGGCCCGATTACACCCCCAATTCACAGCCCGCCACCGCAAGCAAACGCCCAGGAGAAAGGAGTGCGAATAGGAAATGTACCATTTACCATGCTTGACAGGAAGTAAGTGTACCAACGCTGTAACAGGTGTAAATGGCTATGTATAATCAGCCTGCTAACCACACCAGATTTGGGAGAAAAGACCAGGACTTGCTTCAACAACTGATCAATGATCTACGTCATCGGGGCCAAAGGCCAGAGCCTGCAAAAAAGGGGCCCTTTTCACATCTTCCCCCTTCTCAAATCAGACATGTCAAAGGACGCCTCGGGAATGTAGTCATGGCCCCAGATGAAGACTTTGTTGTCAGACTCCTTGAACCCTCTCGTCATACGGATGGCCCCCAGTCCGATGAGTTCTTTGATAATTTGTTCACCGAGGCCAATAAAATCGTCACCAGCTTTGTTGTTAATAACTTCGGGGGTTTCGATATCAAACCTGACGAGCTTGAGGGGAAGCGGCCTTGGAACGAAATGAACGCCTCACCTCTCTTCATAAGTCTGGCGGAATTGGTTCAGGATGTTGACCCTGATGACTCCAAGAGCTGGGACTCGTTGCTCTACGACGAGAGGAAACGATGCATGATGATAATGGGCATGATCGCACGCATCTTCGTTGATAAAGTGTTTAGCCCCCTTTTATTCGGATGCACACCAAATCAAGATACCATGCTGAATGCCCTCGAAACGGATATGGCTGAAAAAAACTCGGATGATGGTATGTTTCACTCCCCAACTGAGGTTTATTCCATCAAACCTGACGTCTATTAGGATTTGTGCGCACAAAAACTCGCAGCAGGGCTATCCGGGAAGTCCTTGACGGCGAGGTACTTCCCGTAAACTTCTACGATGAAGTAGAGTTGCTCTCACTGAACATATTTGGTCTGTTCAACCCCGTTTCCGCCTACCTGGAGAAATATAGGATGAAGCATAACTTGGAAGTGTCAATACCAACTCGCGAGGAACAATTCGCTGCACTATTTGATATGGTCAGTGGCACAGCTTGGCTATCAATCTGCCGACGACTTCACCCCGATCCCATCATCCTCCGTATGTCGGAGCTTGGTGATGAGTTCAAGGAGGATTTGCATGTAGTCGCTAATTATGACGAATACTGCGCGAACAAGGGCAGGGTCTTGAAACTTCAGTACGATAGACTCGGGCAGGAGATAGAGAATGGGCTTCTTAAGCAAAAAGGCGTGAGTGTAGAGGAGTTACCTCCCACTGAGATTTTGAAGGATAGGACGTGGCTGGTAAGAACAGTGGTATGGCCATCCGTCAACATCTATTCGCCTGTATATGGAGATGGAGCAGGTGGTCAAAGTGGTGTTTCAGACTACAGTATCCAAAAATGTGAGGTAGCTGCCCAGTGGGTAGTGCCGCGGAACAATAGGGCGTCAGTCAGTCCTTCTTTACGAGAATGGGCTAAGTTAACATGAGGCGGAGTAGGATGGGAGTCTGTTTACTACTCTAGTGGATACTGGCAACAGGCTACCGAAGACGGCATTGGCACCGTGGAGTACGGCGGAATATGTTTTATTGCAGTACAGTCAGAGTATAAGTGGAGGAGTTTAAATTTGGATACTTTCTTTCATACGTTCATAAGATGTGGTATAGTTTGTCTGTGGTAGTTTTGCCAGGTTTTGCCAGAAGTAGCTTATTATTATTATGACCTCCTCTAAGATAGCAATATAACTGCTGGCCAAATACTATATGACCTCGGCGATTGATTGCCTCTCAATGATGCTCTTCTGTTTATCGTCCCTACTAATACGATAATAGTGATCGCAGAAATCAGCACACTTCATGTATCGCAGAAATTCTTCGTCGTGAGTGATGACAATGAGTTGGAAGTTGGACTGTGCCTGTCGGGTGCGGATGATCCCGTGGAGAGACTCTGCAAGACTGCGAATGTTGTCGCGGTCCAGGTTAGTGGTAGGTTCATCCAATGCTATGAGCTGTGGATAACAGTTAGCTTCTGTTGTTCTTCGAGACAGATGTTTACATACCCCGCAATTGACGCCGAAACATTCCGCGAGTGCAAGTCGAATAATGATACTGGCCAATACTCGCTGCCCAGCGCTACATCGACCTCTCATGTCCATTTCGGCATCCTGCTTCACCATGCAGACTCGATAGTTATAATTACTCCTTCCGGCTGCATTTTCCGCGTCGGAGCGGATGAGAATTGTGTCGACATCAGTGCCCTGATAGGTACTTTGCCAGAGCTCTCCGGCGATGCGGTTGATCTCCTCCATCTTCAAGCTGTGATACTTCATGATCGCCTGATCCAGAGCAGTTCCGTAGCGGGCCAGATCCTCAATAGCTGCTTTGGTGGTCTCGACCTTAATGTGGGACTCTCGATAATTCTTTGCTGCATCCTTATACTCAGTCTCCCAATCATGAAGAATGCCACGCAGTTCATCGTCCTTTGCTCTCATGGCACCGAGAATTGGGCCACGGTCAGCCAACAGTTTTTGATGCCTCATATTCTGCTTTTCTGCCTCACGGCTGAGTCGTAAGAGATCTTCGTTGGCATTCCGCAACTCAAGTTCCACAATCTCGGCATTCAAGACATCTAGCGCCCGCTTGAACTTGCGGTATTTGATGTTGTCTGATATGTTTCTCTTGATCCTTTCACTGTTGTCGATCTGCTCTTTTATGGCGTTGGCCTTATCGGTAATATCTGATATATCTGCGTCAATCCGCTTCATTTCCCGTTCCAGGTCAATAATCGACTGCTCGCATGCTCTCAGCTTGCCTGGACCATCATCATCAATGTAGTCTCGTATGGCTTTGTCTGAAAGTCTGAGCTTGTTCACTGTTTCAGATATTTTGAAGGATTCGTCACTGACAGCCTTTTCTTTGGTTTTTCCCTCATTCCGAATATTCGTGAGCTTAGCTTCGGCATTCTTTATTTCCGGTTCGAGAGATTTGAGACTGCTATCAGCTCGATTTATTGCTTCCTGTTGTCCAGCATTGACTTCTTTCATCTCCTGTATTCGCTGTAATAGTTCTTCTTTCCTCTGCATCTGGTGATTGGCCTCGACCATTTTACTTCCCGCATCGCGTAGGTCGAGCTCGAGCAAGTTAATGCGAGATCGAGATTCGTCCTTCTCTTTCACAAGCTTGGCAATTTGTGCCTTAAGCTCGTCCGACTTCCTGTTGCATATCTCCTGTTGGCTCTGGATATCACTGACGCTGAGATGGCTGCCTGACAACTTTTGTTGTGACGCGATCGAAGCAATTTGTTCTTCGAACCCAGAGATATCTGTCACATATCTGACAATTGTACTGACTGATTTGGCAAGAGATTCAATGTCTAGTTTGGCGGACTCCTCCTCACGTACGGCGTTATCCTGTCCCTCCAGGCGCTTAATGAGAGTGCTACGTTGATCGTCAAGCTTCTTGATATCTTTCTCGAGGGCTGGAAGTTCCACTGTACTAAGCCGTACGTGCGTCTCATACTGTGAGCGAACAGCCTGGGCATCACCGCACATTTCCTCCATCTCTTTTAATTCCACCGCCAAAGTGTCTCTCGCGTCTTTGGCGAGCTTGCTCCTCAGCTTTGATATGGTCGCGGACTTTTCTTCTGGCTGGAACTTCCGATCGCAAAGATGGCACTGGTTTTTCCGCTCGGCGGTCTCTATGCACCCAGACCAGAATTTATTCAAGTGAGCAAAGTTATCGATATCCGACTTGATGAGATCACGATCACTCTCCAGCTTTGAAAGCTCTGGTAAATAGTCTTCTATGGTTGGTAAAGCTTGGCCCTCAGGACTCAGAATTGAGTTAAGCACAGCCTTTTCACAGGACTTCATCTCCTCGAGCTTTCGCTTGCGGGAGTCCCGGGCAGTCAACAGCTTAAATTCCACTTGTTGCACTTCTTGGACAGTAACATCACGCTGGATCTGAGCTTCTTGCGTGGCGGAGCTCTTTTGGTCCAGCGCGTCCTGGAAGTCCGCGGCCAAACTCGTGGGCTTCCAATCGTCGCCAACAATAGAGGACAGTTTGTCTCCATATGTCGCTTTCATGGTGTCAAGGCTGCGCTGACGGTCTTTGAGTTCCTTTCTATAGTAGTCGAGCTGGGCACGGTCTTCTGCCATACGACTAGACTGCACGAGTTGGTCATTCAACGTCGATTTCTCGTCTTCTAAATCTCGGAGCTTCGAGTTCTCTGACTGAAGAAGCTTATCCCACCCAGCTTGCTCCGCATCATTGGTGGACTTGTTTAGCTTCTCCCGGAGTTCGCTAAGAGTTGATTCCAATTTGGCCTTTTGTCCTTCATCAATTTGGATGTTTCTAATATTGTCTTGCATGCTGACGATGCGTTTATCGTTGTCGGTGACCAATTGCCTGGCATTAACCTTATCTTGCATGCCTGCCGAGCGACGACTCTGCAAGCTGGACAAAACAGACTGCGCCTCATGAAGGTCGTCTTCTAAGGTTTGTTGGATGCGTTCTAGCTCCCGACTTTTATCCTTGGCAAGCTTGCCCATCCGGTCAATGAAGCTGTTTATTAGACCATCATCGATGTCTCCTTCATATCCTCGGACCTGGTGTTTTCGTGCAGCTTCTTTTACTAGTTTCTCACGATCCGTAATCTGACGGTCATAGTTCTCCTTTTCTGCATTGTACTGCCCTTGTTCAGCAAGTTTCCTAGCCTGTTTCTGTCTGCAAAGTTCAAGCTCCTTCCGAAGCCTAGCATAGCTTTCCTGGTGGCTTTGCTCTTCAGCTCTGTTCCTTTCCATAGTATCTTCAGACCGCGCCAGCATGTCCTCGAGTTTCTGATCTGACTCTTGGAGCTCCGTGAGGTTATCCTTCAAGTCATCAACGTCTTCGCGGCGCCGTTCAGCTTGATAACGCTTGTTTTTCAATTCGTTAACAATGCCTTGGAATTCCTGGGCTTGCTTGGTGTTCTCTCTTGCGCTGTCCAGCGCAAATTGCATGTCTTTCGTAAGCTGCTCGCTTTCGGAGCGTAGCTTTTCAATTTCGTCCTGAAGTTGCATGGACTTTTTCTCTGCCCTTTCACCTCTGTCCTTCTCCGTCTTGTACTGATCCTCGAACATCTTGTGCTTTGCCAAAGCGATGCCCTGGTTCTTTCTGACGACCTTGATATTCTCTATCGCTTTGGTGTACTTGAGAGCTTCGAAAATCTCATCGAACTTCTTCTTGAGCACCGAAGGCTCGCTCATGGGCCATAACGACTCGTCCTGGTGGCAGAATATAACAGAATCCAGAATGGCCTCAGATACTCCCAAATACTGGGGCATAATCTGGTCCAACTCCGCAACCCGGGAAGATATCGTAGTTCTCTCGCCATCCTTTATCATCAACAGCTGGCCCTCTAAGGTTTTCTGTGATCTCGTAGTTTTCTTGACCGTGAGTTGTAAACTTCGAGTGACGACCAGTCTGGCGCCTTGCGTGCCCTTGAAGGATAACTTGACTTGTGCAAGAACCTCCTTTTCACCACAGAGCTTGGGGTCGTGAATGAAAGCTCCGCCTTTGCTATTCGGGGGGAGTTGTCCCGTTGTAGCGTACTTGAGACACTCGATAATCGTTGTCTTCCCTGAGCCATTGTACCCCACGATGAGCGTTAATGGCGTGTGGAACTGTATCGTCTCGCTGCGGATGTTGTCGAAAGATCTCACCCTGTCAATATGGGTCAGCTACTGGCACCATGGGAGGTCCGCAGTATATACCCAAGGATGGACAACTTATCGATTTTTGCTATAATAAACTAGTTAGCTGCCTGGAAGGCTGGCCCAGAAGCCGTATGTACATACACCTGTAACCCACTATTAGCGCGACGTCTTCAGCTATCTAGGAGAGGGTAAGCTTTACATCTTGTCTATCTGGCAGTTCTGCCGCCACAGTAGCTATGTTACATGCCCATGGAAGATTTGTTGTTGGGGGACATGGAGGCCGATATTGGGAAGTCAACGAATGGACGCCCTTTGATACCGTATAGTACGTACATAAATGTATGCAAGGGTGAGACGGAACGCGACATCACGTGATATATTAACGCGAGGTGGGGGGTTGGTCTCAAGGTGATGTCCCAGCCTAACTTCCCAAGGGTTGACAGATGTCGGTGATTCTTACTATAACATAGATGTATAAGTTATAGCATGTTTCATTTGTGAAATGCCCCCAGATGATTCTGGGGTTTGGTAATATTTAAGTCAACTTGTGTGCGGGTTCACAACCCAAAATGCCGCCAGAACCAGCGCCAGCCATTGCTATTCTGGCTAATGATCCCTCGACCATGTACTATGGAGGCCAAGATGATGGAGATTTATGTGTGGGTATTCAAGGCACCGAAAGGGAACTTCGCGTTCAAAACTTTAGCAGAGACTAATTACCCTTTTAGATGATCAATGAACCGCCCATGACCGATACGCTTGAAGAGAACCACGTCCATAGCCTTGGAGATCTCCCTATTTTTGAATCCGGAGATCTTCGCCTTGTAGACCTAGGTGTCCAAGCAAGCCAAGATGGTAAGGGGTGCTTTCTTCTTGAATATGACTGCTCGAAAACAAAGTAACAGGGCTTCAGATGAAACCAGTGCTCCACAAACCTACAATGAGAACGCAATAAACGTGACAGGCGCCGGCGCCACATCCACGTACTTTGCAACGCAATCCTCTCAAGTAGGAAACATCGCAGGCAACGAGTTCACCAAAAATCGAAGTTGGATGCAGGAGATCGTAGAAGAGTTGAAAGATCTCATTCACGTCCTAGCTCCGGATGGTCGCGTGCTCTATATTTCAGACAGCGTCAAGCAACTGACAGGATATACCCCGGAAGATATAATAGGTAAATCGATAGTAGACTTCATACATCCAGACGACAGTGCTATGTTTGTCCGCGAATTTAACAATTCCGTCACAAGCGGGGATGCTCTACGGGTTTTCTACCGGTTCCGCAAACAGACCGGCGGCGACTACGCGGTTCTTGAATGTCATGGCCAACCGCATTTAACCAGCGGGACTACTTCTTCTAGTCAGAATAACTCCTCGACGTCTTGCAACGGTTTCTTCATGGTGTCGCGTCCGTACCCAAGCAAGAACGCCGCTCTGCTGGACTCCTTCCTCGAACACAAAATTGAGAATGAACGCCTCATGAAGAAGATCGAGGACCTACGCCGCGAAGACGCGGAGGAGCAAGATGACTACCAACCTCAATACAAGAAAGAGTATGAAGGACCTTGGGAGCAATACTCCGCACGGGAAAGCAACGCCGCCTTGCCAGTTGGAATGGGCCATTCTTCAAACTCCGAACTTCTTGCCATGCCCCCCCCAGCCAACACCACCTCCTGGCAGGGTCATGAAGATGCAAGTTCAAGCAGCAAACCAGACTCTGCGGAGGAAAAATCCGTGGTCTATAAAGGGGCAACGAATGTCGAAACTATCGAGATGTTAACCGGGCTCCGCTACCAAGACGGAGAACGCAGCAAGGGTATTAGCACCGGCGATGCCTCTCCCACACTTACTCGTGGGGATTCAGGCGCCACTATGCAAGTTGATAAGGACGGCAGGAGCGTGGACAAGAAGAAGAAACTCAAAACTGCAGACAAGTATATCTGTACGGACTGTGGTATGCATACACCAAGAGTTGAACCGTATCGATTCCATTCCGAACTAACTGACTTATTAGGTACCCTCGACTCGCCGGAATGGCGCAAAGGCCCTGAGGGACCAAAAACGCTGTGCAATGCATGTGGTCTCCGTTGGGCGAAGCAGGAAAAGAAGAAGTCGGGGGGGTTCACTTTCAATAATGGCGGTGGGGACATGCATTTATAATCTATGAAGAGGATGGATATTACGGCGTATTTAGGATATCGGCCTGAACATGACCCGGAAGTCATTTTCTAATAACGTATGTACGACAGACTGATAGGGACAGCTATTCAAGGGGATAAATATAATTATAAATTTAAAATCAATATGCATTCGTGCTCGTCAGATCCCAATAGACAGTAGCTATACATGAGCCTACACACGAGTATTCCAATCCTTGCTCTCCCTCCTAGGATCAGCCTGCAAATTTTCAAATTCTCTGGCGCGCTATGCCGTCACGCAAGGATTGAAACTATCCCGAATCTTCCAACGCCCAGGGTATGAACGCCATGATATGCCACAATGGCCCAGGACGTGAAGATCTAAAACAAAAGAAAACAGTGGCTGCGATTCGTGCAATATACAGTCCAGACCCAGAAACACCATGCGTGCCCCAGATCTCAGCCTAGTCGATCGTCATTCTGCTCGGCTGTGGTGCGACCGGGCCTCCGTGCTTCATGTCAGGAAGCTCTGTGAAATTGTCCGTCTTTTCGTCCCCTCCGATAATCTTTCTCCTCGTCACAAATGGCTTGAGGCCCTTGTCAAAGTTGTGCATGCAAACACATGCGTTGGTGATTGTCAACAGAATGAGTATAATAGTCAAGACCGCAAAAATGGTGAGGGATGTGCGGGCTGGGCGGTACTGGGCCTGACGACTAGGTTGATATATGCGTACCAACTTGAAGAGGAAATATGCGAGTGCGGCGAAATATAGCAAGATGTTGATAATCATGCCGATTTTGATCTCTCGGCGGGTCCAGATAGCGGCCATGGCGAGAATTAGGATAGTAATCGGAATCGCGGCAATGGTTAGGTAGAATTCCACGTTTTGGCTGCTCGACACAATGACGAGAAACTGTACAGTAAATCCAAGGAAGAAGAAGAAATCGAACTTCAGGAGTGCGATGTAAATCTGCTATGCGTTAGTTCGGTAGACAGAGATGGATATAAGGCATGTTCCGTACCTGGAATGTCAAGAATCGTCTCTTCATGCGAAGATCCGCACTGATATGCTTATAGATGGTCCAGGCAAATTCGCCGTACAGCTTATAGGCAATAGCTGACATTACTGCTGTTCCCAACCCAATAATGACCGGGACTGCAACCAGGTATGGGTGTATAACAGGCCATAGCAACTGGCCCTCAGGGAGGTAACTTGGGCTGGACAGGTACAGATCCCAGACGGCGTCTTTGATCTGGCTAACCTGTACGGAGGAGTAAATCAAGATGCCAAGGTTATACAGACAAAGTCCGATGACCTGGATAGTGTTCTTCAACCGCAGGGAGTCGTAGACAAGGACCAGTTGATAGATGAAAGCGAAAATAAAGAGCGTGAGATAGGTCGGTATGACTTTAACTTTGGCTATTGATGGTAGATCAGGAGCAAGTGCGTTCTGAAACTTTGCGAAAATATAACTGCATTAGGAGGTCAGTCAGAATCTCAGCAAACCACCAAACACTCCTCACAAAGACTTACGACTCCAAGCCCAGGACCACCGCGGCCTGCACAATTGTTACCACCATGAAGGCCCATGTCCACGTCGTGTTCGGTATATACATGTTGCCTTCGGGCGTGTATCCGCGACCAGAGGCTCTACGGCGCTGGCGATCGCCAATATAAGGCGTGTATGCTAACTCTTCTGCGAGGAGAGAGTTTTGAGGCTCCTCTCGGTAGGCCACTTCGCCGGTGACGGGGCTCTACGAGAGAGCTCCTGGCTGATAGGTAGGTATAGGGTAGAAGAGATGGGATCGGTGGATGAAGCGGTTATTTCGATGTCAATGAAGGGTTGTTTGTTGTGTTGTGTTGGGTTGAATATTGTCGACAAGTAAGTCGTGTGTATGTATGTGTACGGGCTTTTCCGTTACTTGGTGCAATGGGTGCATATGGGCCCTACATGGGACGGTCGAGGATGAAACGCAGATGGTTGTCGTGTGTTACGAAAGAATCGATGGAGCAGGCGGTATGGCGGTCTTGGTGCAGGCCCCTGGCGATTTCTCGTAATGCGGGCGATAAAAAGAGGAGGTGACAAGAGAGGAGTCGTGACTAGAAAATGGTGCTGTATGGGGGTATAAAAGAGAAAGAAGGAAAGAGCTGAATGAAGTTTGGTAGTGAGGGAATAGAGAATAGAGAAATAAGGATTGTGAGATGCGTATTCGCTAGAAGGGGTCTGATTTACGAATGAAGGATTTGGGAGGGGTATCTTCTTCAAACGATGGGTTCTTGTTGGATCTACACGGATCCGACACAGTAAGAAGGGCAGGAAGGGTGGGAACTGGTAGGGAAATAGTAGGGGAAATGATAGACATGGTAGGGATAAACGGTTTGTGGCAGGTAGGAGAGGGTAGGAGAGGAGACCCAGACCACACGATGATAGGTATAGGGTACATTGTGTTTGAGGTAGTGAGACAGATAAGACACATATTAGATAACTATTAGATAAGTACCATATACATGCGCATACGCGTACACGAGCACGGTACCACAGTAAGTTTATGGTAAGTTTATGGGGGACCATCAAAAGTGTGGCTCAGGGCTGAGAAAAGTCAATAAAGTCAATAAAGAAGTCAATGCTTGGGGCTGTGCAGTTAGTTGTGATGGTGAGAGGCTGTGTGGCTGTGCCAACGGGAGAGTTCACTGCCTCCGCGTTTACCATGGTCAGTATAGGAGTCTTTGATTGATGCCAATGCAGCTCTCATGGTCGAGAGGCTGTGTGGCTTGACAAATGAAGAGTCCACTCACTGTCCACACAATAACCCCGCGGTTTCTATAGGTTGGGCATTATACTGGAAGAGTGAGTGTTATGTGAAGCTCTCAGGGTCAAGAGGCGGCTGTGTGGCTGTAACAAATGATGATGGGCATGCCGCTCTCACGGTCTAGACGCTGTGTGGCTGTAACAAATGAAGAGTCCACTGTCCAGGCAATAACTCTATACTCTAGTTACCATGATAAGCAAGCAGTTCTCACGATCCAGTCCTCACCGTCCAGATGCTGTGTCGCTGTAGCAAATGAAGAGTCCACAAAGCCCACTGTCCACACAATAACCATGATGGGCAAGCACCTCTCCTCACTGTCCAGACGCTGTGTAGCTGTAACAAACGAAGAGTCCATTACACACGCACAGTAGCTCAGCGGTTACCGTTTGAATCATAACATTCTTTATGCTATCCAGTGGTTCTCACGCCGAAGAGGCTGCTGCTGCTGTGTCGCCGTGACAAATTAAAGGGTCCACCGAGAGTCCACAGCATACATACACAAAGAATATTTCGAGGTTACTTTGGGCATGATAACATTCTTTGCCACGGGCAATAACATTCTCTATGAGCATCATTAACATTCTGTGTTGTGAACCATCCAATACAAATACTACAATAGTCTATTCAGTCTCCTGTAATCTATGTGAAACCTCAAATTATATATCACTCTTCTTCAAGTCATGGCACCAGGCCATGTTCTCAATGAAAAGGTTCCCAAAGGGAGTGCAATCAAAAATTCCGCGATCCAAGACCCCGAAGGATATTGGCCGATGCTTGAGTCCCCGATGTGCAATGGAGCTCTCGCATTAGGGCCGAGGATATTCATGAGCATCCTGGCCATCACAAGGTAAGTATGAAGAAGAAAAGAAGAGGTTTATCGAAGGGGGGAAGCTGGATATTTATACCCAGGCAGGAGCTCCCTGGCGCGAGCTAAGCGAACCTGAAATATTCTGAAAAGGGAAATTGAACAAGTGCAAACACAACAAACTTTTGCTAGCGCGTGTTCAACACCCAGTACGTACTACCGTACCTAGTCTAGTCTAGCGTCAATAGCTGGACGGACCTCCGACAAGGCTGAGAGAACATACTCTACTTGCCTTGCCCCATAGACAGACTCCCACCGCCTTGCGCCTTGCCAACACTCTCTGCCCCACCATACAGTACACTTCCGTCTCCAACCACTGCTTCAATCGCCATGGACGCCATGGACTTGACTGATGATGATGTTGCCTTCTTGAAGATATGCTCGTCCGGCGCACAGATAGACTAGTAAGCTTGCCTCGTCTCTGTCCGTCTCGCCACTTTACTGGTCGCGTTCCTAACATTGCCCCAGTGCCGTGTGGCCAGCTCTGGTCTCCCGCCTCATATATAGGCTAGAGAAGGTATGTATCATGCATGCCCCATGATATATGATGCCGTGGCATACTTGGAGACTTTATTTGCTGATACTGTACCGTTGCAGGTCATTCCAAGCCAGTTCCCAGTCCCGTCAGCGCCTCGATCGCCATCAAGTGTCACAGCTTCCCCAAATACCTTACAAGCACAAAAAACACCGCCGTCGCCATCAGCAGATAATTCGAGTCAGAGTGTGGCAGACTTAGCTCAATCGGCAGACAAGGAGAACATCACCCCAACGCCCGCGCAGAATACCAGTACCTTCGACCCAAACTCAGCAATTGCGACTAGCTCCCTCCATCCTCAACTCGACTCCCTCCTCAGTTCTATAGTCTCGACTCTCAACACTCACTTCACGTCATATCCTCCCCATACTATCCAGCGGCTGTCAGAGCTCATTCTTCAACCAAAACTCCACTACCGCAGCCTGCCTGCATATCTACACGCGTTCGATCGCGTCGTCCATGTTACATCTGGCGCACATTTATACCCCCTGCCAGCACCAGTGCCCGATGCCAATGGCGCCAAGATCCTTACCAACGGTATATCCAGTGGCCCTGACCCAGAATCAGTATCCTGGGGTAATTCAACACAAGTCCAGCCCAACCTCGGCAGCGACGAAAGCCTGGGTGGTGCTTTGCTGACTCCAATCTCATGGATCAAATCGATTTCGGCTGCGAATGGAGAGGCCGCAGCTTCTGATATGGAAGGCGAGGTCAAGACGGAGAGGACGGAAACTATTGATGGCCCGAATGGAGCTGGTAGCATCGAAACGGTTTCTGTGTCGGTGAATGGCGTTTCATCAACCACGCTGGCTGCTGTTGGTGACAGCAACAACAACAGTGAGAGTGGACTACGGGCCGAGGGTGGTGTTACGCAAGGAGAGCTCTTGCGGCAAGAACAGCGCGCAGGGGTAGTACCTGCAACTCAACTCGCCCACATGCAGCCGCATCCCAATGGCGATGGCGAAGAAGATGAGACGCCGCATGTCCGTGGCCCTGAGGAGATTGGTATGGAGGATATGGGACCTCAAGGCTCGGGGAATAATCTGCGACATGGCATACAGGGCATCGATGTTGAAGCCGCGGTTGGGAGGAAAGTCGAGGCCTTAGAGGGCGAGGAAACTGAAGAGAAGCCCTCTACCCCAAAGAGGGAGGCTGATGAAGAGATTCAGGCTAGTAGTAAGAGGGTCAAGGACGAAAATGATGGTGATGAAGATATGACGGGCGCTACTGATGCTGGGAATGATGAGAAGTAAGGACGGGAGGAACCCACAGGTTCCATTTTCCAATTATTTGCGGCACATCTGTTTTTATATGAAGTGGCTCCTGGGTATGGGAAAGGTCGCCTCAAATGACTCATGTCTTCAGCTCGTGCAGTTTGAATCGGATGACATGGAAGTTATTAGATTCCATGGGCGTTTTAGTTACTATGCGTGGGCACTTGCACCATTAGGGATCTTTGAATTGTATAATATCCATTAACTTGTTCTACATATACATATTGTTACAGTAATCTACACAGGATATCCGCAATCAGCTCTTGTACGAATCCTTCCCAAGACCCACAACATTCTTCAAGCTCCCAAACGCAAGCACATCGCTAATACGTGTCGCTCCCGACATCAACATGCACAACCTATCAATCCCACATCCCCACCCACCCGTAGGCGGCAACCCCCACTCCAGTGCTTCCAAATAACTCTCATCAATAACTGCCTCATTCTCCTCATCCTTCCACTGCACCTGCTGAACAAACTTCCGGCGCTGTTCAAACGGCGAATTCTCCTCCTCATACATGTTTGCAAGCTCCTTGTGCTGCACAAACAGCTCCACGCGAGCGGACACGAGCTGGTTGGTGGCTGGATCGCGGAAGGACTTTGCGAGGGGTGCCATGCATGCGGGGTGGTGTATTATAAAGGTCGGGGCGTCGCAGGAGGGCTCGAGGTATATCGAGGCGAGCTTGTCGAGCATTCGGGGAAGGGTGGGGGATGAAGGAAGGGGCTGGGAAAGTTCGGAGAATAGAGAGGCAATTGCTTCTGCTGCGTTCTCGGCTTCGAGGTCTGGTAGCTTGCGTCCGATTCGCTGCTCCAGGTCGGGTATAAACTCAATCCGCTGAAAGGGTGCTGTGAATAAGTTTGTATCCAGCGGGTCCAATGAAGTGAGTTTTGATGATATGAGCTCGTTCACATGGCTGGCAAGCCCCGAAAACAGGTCCTCAGTCATCTTAATGAGCTCCTCCAGGTCGGCAAAAGACTTGTAGAATTCGCAGGTTGTAAACTCGGGGTTGTGCGTTGCGTCAAGGCCTTCGTTTCGGAAGGCAGGGCCGATCTCAAACACGCGGTCCATGCCGCCCAGTATCAACCTCTTGAGCCATATTTCAGGTGCAATTCGAAGTGAGAGGGTCTTTGTTGAGAATTCCGTGGCCACCGTGTTAAAAGGGCGTGCAATCGCACCACCAGCATCCTCAGCGATGATTGGTGTCTGAACCTCGAGGAAGTCATCTGCTATTAGGAAATTGCGTAGATACTGCACGATATGAGAGCGGAGTTTTAATGTATCTGCAACTTTCTGGTTGACCAAAATATCTGCGTGTCTGTTCCTGATCCTTGTTTCCGGGTCGTCGAGGGTGTTTGGCAAGCTAGCCAGCGCAGGTGTGAGGATGACGGGGAGTTTCGTGGCATTGATAGATAGTTCACCTCTCTTTGTGCGCGTGGGCACACCTGTTATCTCTATGGAATCTGTTAATGGATGCAAAAAAAACAGCGATTTTCGAGAACCATACCGACTATATCGCCTCGTCTGGCAAGGTGGTAAAACTCCTTAAACTGCTCTGCCTGGACGTCATCCTCGGTCTGAAGACGACGCAGGTTCACCAATCCTTGGACTCTGTTCCCGTCCTGAACAACATCGAGGAATGCGAGCTTGGTGCCCGCAATTCGCGAGGAGTATAACCTCCCTAATACAATCAATCAGTCATGATGGACACAGGTGCTACGACGACTCAACATACCGCGAAGGGTCACATTGTCACTTTCTCTTGATTCTTCGGGATTCAGCACGGCATATCGTTTCTTAAACTCTGCACAACTAATTGCATTTCTATCTGGCTGGATTCGAGGGTATTTTAGGGCATTTGCATTTTGGAGCTCCTTCAGGCGCTGCTGAAAATCATCGCTTCTCTTGCCAATTGAAGTTCCTTTACTTTCTTCTGTGGGTGCACCAGCCTTGGTGCTATATGTGCATGTAGACCAGCCCGAGGCGCGGCTTGGTGACCGTGAGAGTCCAGTCAGGTTCCTGCCTGTGGAGTAAAATAATATGTAGGCATCCTTCGTCGCGAAGGACAGGTCCCTGTGCGTCCGCGGATACAAAAACTTGAGCAATGGTCTGGCAGTCATCCTGTTGTAGAAAGTGTTTGTTAGCAAAGCACTTTGAAGTCTTGAATGGACGAATTGTAGGCAAAAATGCAGCAAAATATCAGGAATTGAGATGTGAGATCAACCACCGTGAGGTGTCAGTCGCAACGGTTCTAATGTTATAAATGGTTCATCATATTGAATTGACGGGAGAATAAATGAAAAAACTTTGACAACATACCTGTATTAGTTTCAAATCATTGCGAGGTGGTTGTAGAAATGTTCAATTGGGAGAGTTGGTTATTCGCGGAGAAATGTTTTATTTGAAGCTGTGATTTTTAGCGGCTCGGTTCAAGCTTCCAGGTTCCGGGTCTTGGCGCAATTATTATCGGGAGCTAATAAAGTTGCGTATGGCCATCAAGCCTGAACATCATCATCAACGTCAATTCACAGCCTTGCCGACACTCTTTCACACACAATACCAAATCCCCAGACTACTCCTTCGCTTTTCAAGATGTCTATGTTCGGAATCGGAAGGCCGCAGCCGTCGTCGGCTGAGAAGATCGCTGCCGCCGAGCAGGAGATGGACCTCGTCACAGACATGTTCAGCAAGTGCGTCACGTCCCAGGAGCACACTACCCATTGTCTAATTTGACGAACCTTTACTAATTGCATATCCAGGCTCTCGCGCGCATGCATGAAGAAGTGTATACCCAACGATTACCGCGAGGGTGAGCTGAACAAGGGCGAGGGTGTCTGCATCGACAGGTGCGCCGCGAAATTTTTCGATGTCCAGATGAAGGTTTCGGAGATCCTACAAGCAGAGGCACAGGCGAAGGGTGCTGGTGGTGGACAGGGTCCGGGAGGAATGGGCTTTGGTGGGATGTAAGAATATGATGTGGCAGCATGACAAGGGCTTATTGGCACTCGGGGTGATCTGGTTACTTCGGCTTTTGGGATTAGACGCCTTTGGAGGCAGGGGATATATGTCTCCTCCAGGGCTTGTACGTCTTGGATTGTGGGGGGTCTCGGGGAGTGTTCTCTCGGATCTCAGCACTATTGTACTACTATATGTAAAAATTATGACATTGTCGAGCTCATTTACTCCTCCGATTATGTTTATCTTGACCCATCTGCTCGTGGATGCCACCCGTACTGGTGTGGGATATTAGAGTAGAGCATTAACTCTGTGGTATTATTGGAATCCACGTATCAGCACCTGTAGGTGGCTGGATTGGGTGCGTTTTATTGTCCCATGGCTGTAGATCCCATTGTTGCTTTCAATATGAGCTACACGCCGCTTCTCGCTACCTTTTATGTCAAGGGGATGGTTATATGGTTGTGACACGGTGTCGATATTGTACGGATGTTAAAATCTGGTATATATTAATTATCGGGGTTGATGGATTTGTTGGAGGGGGATTATTATACATGCCCATCTCAAAATGTAGAACCAAATATTCGATAATCACCCAGAGGACCATTATAATGAAACCCTTCTTTTCACCAAGGACCATAATACGACAGAACGAAAGAAAATACCTCAGTATAAACCAATGGTCAATTGTATCATTAAGTGAACTATATTACATCGCCTGGCTATGCATCCACCGTGTGTGGTCCTATTCCAATACCCGTAAATGTCCTCACTGCCCAATGCAGCCAGCCCTCAGTCTGTAGCAGCTGCTCCAACTCCGTAGCGTGAGATTCAAGGTTGTCAACCTGGGTCTCAAACTGAGCGACGCCATCTTCAACGTCTGCAACCTTGGACACAAGTGCATTGATCTCATATTCCAACTTGGCCTCCAATACCTCAATCTTGTTTGTTCCCTCCACAAGGCGAGCGCGTTCTTCCGCCAACAGATCCTGCGAGCTCTCCTGGATATTATGATAATTCTCGCTGAGCTCGTAATATAGTCTTTGAAACTCCTCTTGGTCCTCCATAGCCTGGGCTTCGAGGGCCTCGACGCTTGCAACCTTGGATTTTACCCACTCGCTAACATTGATGTTGAGTTCTAGGACTCTATCATGTAGTCTATTCTCGTCTTCGGCCACATATCGTGGGCCAAAGGTATAGCCTGTCCTGCCCGCAGGAGCACTTATATCTTGCCACTTCAAAACAGCCTCTGATACGTCACTGAAGGACAGATGGCGGGGCCATCGTGCCTCGTTTTGGGTCTGCTCGTATACAGATTCCACATTGGCAACGCTCCTGCGCCTGTAAATGAACATGTTATTCGGACGGCGCTGTGTAACTTGGGGTGGCTCATCTAGATCTGCATTACCGCTGGCGGACCCATTGATGGAAGGTTCAGCAGTGGCGACTTCGCCATTGACAATCGCCGGCTTGGCAGGTGGGGTGACTTTCTTTTCAAGCTTTGATGGTAATTTATCAGCTTGTGATGTGTCTGATCCTTGCTGAATATTGACTTTATTGTCACTCGAAGGGGATTCCGAGTCTCGTACTCTGGCCGATTCCCGTGCTATGGCCGATGGAGTTGTCGTTAACAGTGGATACTGGTCCTTCCGATATCCGCCCTGATACTCCTCAGGCTTGGTTTTCCACGAGAAAGCCTTTCCCATGTTCCCCGGTGTAGCGGAAGTTCCAGTGTTGGGATCGAAGTTTGCAGTGCCAGGGGTGAGATAATAGCCACCCTCCCCCTCTATTCCCTCATCTTTTGAATGCCTGCTAGCATGGCCCCTTAATCCAACAGCGTCCTTTATACGCCCAAAGCCAGAGCGTGCATCATTCATTTTGCCTGTCACGCTCTTGAACACTGTTTTGCGGAGCTGCGGATCCCTCTCGTTTGACGGTTCAGACAGACTAACCGCCGATCCTGGAGATCGAACTGGATAAATGGAGTTTGCGGTCTTCTCTCTTCGCAACTCATCGTCGTCCTCAACGGGGGTAGGTTCATTTTTCCTGTTGGACCATACGTAACCGCCAGACGTATCCCGACTGAAAACCATATTTCCATTCTCGGGCAATGATTTCCCGAAGTTGTCTCCAGTTCCGGTCCTCTTTTGTTTCCCATACCATAGCCATTTTGAACGGTCGCCATTAACAAGTGATACCAATCGGTCGATGTCTAGGGTCTCTATGTCCCCAATGCCAGCCTTGTCACGCGCTCCAACCATACCCATCATCATCTCACCGCCCTTTCCACTGAGCTCGACCACTGTGGACTTCACAGCCTTTGGCACTGCCCAACCTTCACCAGCTGCGGCCTTTGCTGTGCATCGGCGCAAGCACGCAAGAGTCTGCCTATCAAGCCTGCGAGTACGCTCCAACTTTTGAGATTTTTGAAAGTAAGCGATGCCGCGTTTTAGACTGGTGATGTCGAAGGCATCCTTTGCGACAGGCGCACCGCAGTAATTCAGACGATTCCGAGCACCCATCAGCATGCCAATGAGGGCGGCTACCGTTGTTGGACCAAGGATGCCATCGGCTGGCTCGATATTATAATATTCAGACCCAAATTCAGTCCACCAGTCGTTGATGGCCCTTTCCGTAACGTCACAAAGTAAACCATCTGCGTATTCTTGCTCTAACTTCCCAAACATCATCAAAGCAACTTGACAGAGCTTCACCAACTCAATGACGGCACTGTACAGGTCGATGCGGTCGCTTGTCTTGTACAGCTGCTGGAATTTGGCTTGTGTGGCGGCCACTGGCTGAGCGAGACTCAAGCCGGACCGTCCTGAGCACCCCAGCCTCTTCAGATTTTCATTGACAATAAAATCCTCTCGATGGCTCTTGATATCGCCATCTGGCACGGGAATGACGGTCAGAGCTGAAGGGAAACCACTCAGATTTGTGACCATAAGCATCCCGAGAGGTGTTTCTTTCGGCCTTGCGTGGAATTGGGATATTGCCTTGAAGTAAACCCGGAGACGTGGAGACCAGGCATCCTCATTGGCCGGCACACCCAAGACTCCAACCAGAACGGTATGTGTAGGGTCTCCTGTAAAAGTCGTTATGACGAATGTGGGATGTACGCGAGAGCATGCCCATTGCTCAACCAAGTATAGCTGGTAGCCTTTAAGCTGCCCCCGGCGCTCCAATACAATCGTTGACGAGTCATCTTCGAGATACCTTTACTAGGTTAGCAGTTGACACAAGTATTATCGCATCTTTGAGTGACTAACCTGAACGCTATGGGGTCGGTAAAGACAAATCGTCGGTGGGACCCAGTAGACCCCGACTGTTGTATATTGGTTTCTGGAGTGCCACGGGTGGCGTTGCCGTCAAGAGAAGCTGGCCTAGGACTCTTTGATGAGCTAGCCTGAACTGAAGATGTTCGAGAGAGAGTCCAGTCTTCCTCACGGTGGAGCCGAGCGTCTGATTGCAAGAAAGAACTGGGTGCCATCTTTTTCGTTATGGCGGTGTGCCCAAGTCTGGGCGTTCGCCGTACTCAGCGAAGAAATTTCCTGTGAGCCTAGTGACAGGCCGTTCATATCAACGTCCCCTCCTGCCACTGTCGGTTGTAGAAGGCTCAGGGCAAATGCTGAATAGCTCCTATCCGGATCATTGTACAAGCATGTGGTCCGGCAGCGGAGACATGAATGCTTCGGAAACCTGTGCAGTACGGACACGAGCCACCCAGCTTTAATGGATGTTCTTTTGGTCTGGCAAAAGCTCAGCGTATGGAACTGGATCGTAGAAGAACTCAACAAGAAAGGCGTTGAGTGTTTGGATATTGCAATGTCGAGGTCATGGAAGCTTCGAACTCGATTTGACGTACGGGTAGCATGTGGGGTACGTACCGGCGGGAAGCTTCTTATCGGCGTCTGCGGCATGACACCAAGGTTCCTCTGACCCCAGTAGTGCGGAAGACGTCCCGGATCCAGAGCGGGTCCACGATGACCAGCATGCCATCGACGACTGAGCTCTTGCAACATCAAATACAGAAGTTCACTGTCCTCCGACCATACGCTGCACAAAGGACCTCACTTACCCTTCAGATCGCAGGGTCATATGGCCCGATGACATGTATATCATCTCTTCAAACCCTCGAAGTAGATGAGACCCTAGGATCCCGACGAAGGTGAACCACTGTGACGGTGGGGTAACCATTTCAACATGGAAGCGCTTCAATTAGAGCTTGCCCGGCTGCAGAAAGACGCCTCACTATCACAGAGTATTGAGGATGTTGACAAAGTCTTGGAGCAGCTGTGCAATGCACGGGAGGCAATTGCAGCAGGTTAGGACCACCATCACAGGCACTCTACGTCAGCACACCGCTGACAGACCTCCAGACTCGAACACTGCATCAATAACCCTTGCCAAGTTGCAGAATCCATTTAAACAGGGACTGGATAGAGTCACAGATGACCTTAAGAAGATATACTCTGCGCATAATAAATATGGAAAGGCGTTGGATAAGGTATGGAACCGGTCGTGGCACTGATGCTCAAGCTAACTCTTGATCTTCTAGAACCTATCGCAGAAGTCTCTTCCATCAGAAACCCTCTCGACCGATTATGATGCTCTTGCTTCACATCCGACCCTTATCAACCGGGCTATTGCCATGCATCTTCTTCGCGAGGGCCAGTTCGGTGTTGCTTCTACATTCATCGAAGAGGCGCACGCGAGCCCACCAGAAGCAAAGCCTACCCCAGGAACGCCGAATCCATATCCCGGTGATGAAGAGGAGTTTACATCCCTAAAGTCTCAAGAGCTACAAGCGAAGTTCGCGAACATGTACGCCATATTGGGACACCTCCGAGAGAGGAACTTGTTGCCAGCCATTGAATGGGCTAGGGAACATAGTTCTGAACTGGAGAAGCGAGGTAGCAACCTTGAATTTGAGCTTACCAAGCTACAATACGTCTGGCTCTTCCAAGGACCTCAGGTGAACGGCCTACCGAACGATTCACGGAATGGTCTCCTCGGGGCTATTACATATGCACGGGAAAACTTTGGGCGGTTCCAGGCTCGCTTCCTCCGCGACATCCAGCAGTTGTCTGCAGCCATGGCATTTGAGTCGAACTTGCAAGACTCGCCGTATCGTCTCACTTTTGAGACCGACAGTGCCTGGAGCGAAGTTGCACAATCGTTTACGCGTGAATTCTGCTCCCTACTTGGGTTATCTGCAGATTCACCCCTCTACATTTCTGTCACGGCTGGGGCCATTGCGCTCCCCACGTTACTCAAACTGGCGAATATCATGAAGGAGAAGCGGACGGAGTGGACGACGCAGCACGAGCTGCCCGTTGAAATACCACTGCCAAGGTCGATGACTTACCACGCGATCTTTGTCTGCCCAGTCAGCAAAGAACAGAGCACTGAGCAGAACCCTCCAATGATGATGCCGTGCGGCCATGTCGTCGCCAAAGAGAGTCTGCAGAGGCTGAGCAAGGGCCAGCGGTTCAAGTGCCCCTACTGCCCCAGCGAGAGCTTTCCAAGGGACGCAAAGGAGATATATCTATGAGGGAGACCCGAGGTATGGTATGGTGGCTATTCACATATATATGTGTAGTATGAGGCATTGGGACAACTTACTCTACTCAGGGTAAATCCAGGGCTAGGCGTTTGGTGACAGGAGATATAAGTGGACCAAAGCGCCCACATACTCCGTTCACACACAGCCCCGCAACAGAGATCCAAAGTGATGGAAGGCTGTCTAAGGTGCCGGTTAGCAGTGCTTTTGCAATAGTTGAGTCAAACTCAGATATGCGGCCGGTGGGTTACTATAGCAATGCTACTCGGACCGCATGGACCAAATAGGGCCTTGGCGAGATCCGCTAAGAGGAGTCCGACATGTCTCAGCGCCCGAGGGTTGCATTTTACCAAAGTACATACTGCAGGCAGATATAAATATTATTGTTATTGTTTTACTTTTTTTTTTGTTCGGGCAGCGCAGTCGCAGAGTTACAGCGCCGTGAAATATCATCTCCGGCACTGTAATCAACCCGCCGTGCATCCGCCGAACGCGCCGACGGTCTGCCTCACAAATGCCTAACCTGGGCGAAAAGGGGCAATCGCTCGGGCGAGTGAGAGAGTACAGTAAGGCTCCTCCGCGCGGTCTTTCATTAGATTGCAGATCCTGGGTGGGGCGGGCGCATTTTTGTGTCTTTTTCTCAACGCAACGACCGTGACCCATACACTTTGTACTCTTTTTACTGCCTGTTAGGGGAAGATAAAGTACTTTTACAGAGAACGAGCGAAGGGCAAGAGAAAAAGTTCTCCGCTAGGTGTCTGGGCGATGGATTACGAGGGCAGGGAGGGGGGCACATCATTTGACTGGCGGGAGGGCATCTCTCTTGCAAGATTCCCTCTTTTTTTTTTTCACGTGTGTGCCACCGCGCCAACAGGCTTGGAGTGCGTGCTGTGCACCGTGAGTGTGCGCCGTGTAACTGTGGCAGTAGCAGGGGTGTGAAGGCGATCGGCGCGTTGATGTGCAGAGTACCAGTGGATGAGAGCATATGAGGGAGGCGGGTTTATGTAATTATTAATGAACGGCATAGCGCGACGACGGGAAAGATGAGGTGCTGGTGGTCATGTGTGATGATGTGAGGTAAGTGGCGATTGTGTAGTCGTCGTGGGTGGTGGATGGGGGTGGTGGGATGGCGATGGATAGTGGTTGCTTTGTTGCTTGGGAGGAGGAGTTTGTTGTGAGTCTATCAGCGGCGGCATCTCTCGTCGCCACAGAGTATAGTATGTGGAGTACCATGGGATGTTATGTACTGTGTGTGTGGTGTATACCTGATAAAAGGTGCATGGCTCCAGTCTGAAGTTAGAGTAGTTAGAGTAGAGTGTACATGGTCCTTGGTGCTCATGCTCGTGCTTGTGTTCGTGAGGGTGGTGAATGGTGAATGGTGGATGGATGGCCTAGACGGGGGGTATCAGGATCGTCAAGGATGGTGCATGAAGAGAGGTTGTTGAGCCGTGGAAGAGGTGGGAAGGGAAGGGCTCGATCATCCTCGTCCTCCTCCTCGGCACTGCACCTGTGCTGCATCGTTGGTGCGAGACTCTAAAAACGGTCATGCGCCCCTTCAATAGATAACGGTGCAGTGCAGTACAGACAGACAGTGCAGCGTACAGACAGTTCTAAGTATGGCATAAGTATGGCATATGGACTGTATGAGTGAATATAGTCGTCGATGGCTGTGAAACCCCTAACTCACATCTCCATCTCCATCTCCGATACACTCTTGATGCACTCCAGATGCCATACAGTGAGCACATGCACTTCTCACGTTGATAAGACAGTAATCAGTGAATATGTGGGTGATGTGGGTGATGTGGGTGGGTGCTTGGGTACCGCATACCCGTATAGCACGCGTATGGGTACATATGTCGAGTATAGTGTTGCATATATTAGTATACGGTAGTTGTGGGAACGGTACTTGAGATGGATGGGATGGCTTGGGATGGGTTAGGGTGGGATGGGTGTGTGTGGATGGGAATGGGTGTGTGGATGGATGGGTCGGCAGGTGGGTGAACGAGGGTCTTGCCGTACTCCGTACTGACTGTACTACTACACTAACACCTAACTAACTAGCTACTGTAACTAACTACCAATACAAGAATAGAGTGAGGTGAGTAAGTAAGTGAGTAAGTGAGAGGCGGAGGAAGAGGAAGAGGATGACAGAGCTTCTTTTCAGGCTCGAGACTCAACTGTTTCTCCCTGCACACTATATCCAGTATATCCAGTATATCTAGCAAAGCATGTCTCTACTACACATGCCGTGTCTAGAACCCAATTGCTCGTACGGTAGGTACTATACTCGAATAGAGTGAGTACTGGAGTATTCCACTACTTTACCTCTACGACTTCTACTACTTCTACTCCCTCTTACAACCTCTACTACCTCTCTACTCGTACCGTAACTCCTAAAATATCGATAAATTGGTAAACAGCTAACTGCCAATCTCCCACGCCACATCCCACACCACATCTCATACCACTCCTCGTCGCCTACTCGTCACCTACTCGCCGCCCTCAACCACGCTGTTACTCCGTAGGCCACGCCCATTCCACCTCCGTCCCACCTCTCAAACCGCCTCATACACCACAGAAGAGTACTCACTCTCCTCTCACCTGTGGAGTAGAGACAGTACTCGAGAATAGCCAGGCGAACATTCGATCTTCGTATCAGTGACCAATCTCCCACGCCCACATTAAGCCTATCCACCAAGTCCTCGAAACCCCGATATTTCTCCTGATCACCTCCTTTTATTGTACCTCCTCTACTCCTTTTTCTGCTTTCTGTGGATACAATACACCTAAAGTATCCACCAAAGTTAGAGTCAACACGGACGGCGGACCTACGCGTCAATTCATTGGCCTGGACCAGACTTTCGAGACCACTGACCATCACCCACAGGCCACCACCGGCCATCACAGGCCACCACTGTGAGGTACTTCACACCATTTACCACCACTAGACACCACCAAATCACCCCACCGAACCACTAACCAGGTGGATACCTCTCTATTAAATTCTGTCTAATTTAGCATCCATTTAACTTAATGCGCACTATCCCTCAAACGGCAATCTCCTGTCCCACATCGGCCCTAACCACCCCTAGCCTCGTATGCTTTTTACGCTTTTCGGATCTTTTTATCCTCTTTTAGTCATTTTGCCCCATTACGGACCCATATAGTTTTTCGTAATTTCCCCAATTTCCCTCCGACAAACTCCTGACTGACACCTCGACCTCTTAGCCTGACAGGCCCAGCTCCATAATCCCTGTCACTACCTTCCCTACCAAAGCCCACTACTCCTGCTCTCGTCCAATCACAGCCCTCCCTCGTTGCCAATCTAATAAAACCCCGTCGCTTCCGTTACTTCGTTACATTTCTTTCGCCATCCACCATCCCTTCTCTCGCCATTCAAATACTCCCCCTCGCGTACTTCTTCCCAAATTTTTTTTTTTTCTACTCATCCCAACCTTTCTTCCTTACCAAATACCCTTTATTTACTCCCATTTCCTCTTGGGCAGATCTTATAATCTCTCTAATCCAATTCTCTTCAAACACCATCACAATGTCTGAGATCCAAAAGCCAGTTGAGGAGGTCGTCGCCGTCGTTGAGGCTGCACCTGCTGAGGTCGTCGCCGCACCTGTCGAGGAGGTTGCCCCAGTTGAGGTCGCCCCCGTCGAGGTTGCTGCTGCCACCACCGAGGAGGCCACCGCAGAGGCCGCTGTTGAGACCCCGAAGAAGGAGTTTGAGGGTGAGGGTGTTATCGGCTACAAGGCACCAGGTGGTTTCATTAAGTAAGTTATTCCGCAGATCGAAATCGTATGATACGAAATCGAATCATTTTATCACATGTTCCACAAATACTAATTCATACATCAGGAAGCTTGCTGGTTTCCAGAAGCGTTTCTTCTGGTTCGGCACTGATGCCGTTGAGGTGAAGAGCCTCTCCAACTACCTCCGTGGCGAGAAGCCAGAGGCTGGCAACCACAACGCCGCCTGGGCTTCCCAGACCGGAAAGGGTCTCCTCTACTTCAGCAAGCAGGCTGGAGAGAAGAGCGCCCCAGTTGGCCTCATCAACCTCGTAAGTGATACACAAATTCACGTGCTTTACACTCAAGACATCGACTAACAAATATTCACAGGCCGATATCACCGATATCAAGGAGGATGGTACCGTTGAGTTCTCTTTCGTCAGCCACAGCCAGAAGCACGTCTTCCAGGCCGCCAACCTTGTCGACCGTGACAGCTGGGTCGCCGCCCTCAAGGAGAAGTCCGTCGAGGCCAAGGAGAGCACCGAGGCCATCACTGGCAGCGAGGGTTACAAGGAGCAGCTTGCCAGCTTGAGTAAGCCTGTCGTTGTCGCCGCCAAGGTTGAGGACAAGAAGGAGGAGAAGGCTGTCGCCGCTGAGGAGACCAAGCCCGAGGAGGTTAAGGAGGTCGCTAAGGAGGAGACCAAGGAGGAGAAGAAGGCCCGCACCAAGAGCCGCTCTGCCAGCCGCAAGCGCAACTCCATCTTCGGTGGATTCAACTTGGGAAGCAAGAAGGAGGAGGTCGTCGTCGCCGACAAGGCTGTCACCGAGGAGGAGCCAGTTGCTGAGGCCGCCCCAGTCGAGGCTGCTGTTGTTGAGGAGGCTGCTGCCCCTGTTGAGGCCGCTGCCACTGAGGCCGCCGTTGTCGAGGAGGCTGTTGTCCCAGAGACCCGCCCAGCTGCTTCCAAGCGCCACTCTTCCCTCTTTGACTTCAAGTCCCGCTTTGGATCCAAGAAGGCTACTTCCGAGGTTACCCCAGCTGTCCCAGCCAAGGATGATGAGGTTGTGACCAGCACCGAGGCCCCAGTTATCCCTGCCGTTGAGCAGTCCGAGCCCCTTGCTACCAGCATTGCTAGCCCCGCCACCGTCCCCGCTGAGGAGGTTGTTGCCGGAGAGCCCGTTGCTGAGGTCGCCCCCGAGGCCACCAAGGCTGAGAAGCGCAAGTCTGCCCTTCCATTCGGTCTTGGACAGAAGAAGGAGAAGGTCGAGAAGGCCCTCGAGGCTGAGGTCGAGAAGGCCGAGAAGTCCCTCTCCCCCTTCGCCAAGCTCCGCCAGACTGTGAAGGGCAAGGCCTCGCCAAAGGCCGCCGAGAAGGCTGCTGAAACTGAGGCCGAGACCCCAGCCGCAACTGAGGCCGCCGCCGAGACCACCGTTGAGGCCGCCGCTGAGGAGCCCGTCGTCGCTGCACCAATCCAGACCACGACCCCCGTCGTTTCCGCCACCGCCTAAACGATAAATTAATGAGTCCTCATCTCCGTCGTTCTGGATCGCATCTCGTTACCATACCCACGATACCACCTTGATTTTGCATCAGGTCTGTTTTGTCATTGCATTTTCTGCTTGTGTTGATACCCCTATACCCAGGCTGTTTCTCTCATCTGCCGCTAGGGCACACTCACTCCATAATACTTAATATATTTGAGATTGTCCTGTTATATACATACTTCTATATATGATTGTGATTGCATTGTAATTTGTGAATGCTAGTTTGGCAATATACCCAGCTGTTCAGTTTGTAAAGGTAACATCAGTTACTTGTAACATAATCTTGTAAAAACGACCCACGTTGAACCTGCGGCAGCCGGTTATGGATTAGGCGCTTATAATAAGTCAACTCAAACCACCTGTTCAGATCATCTATAATTATACAAATTAGCACTATGCTATATTATATTAGATAAATTATTGCCCATCAGTTCTACGAACTGCACTTTACTGTATTAATAGGTATTAGGAGAAAATTCCCACACCAAAATTGGCCGAGTGTCTAAATACTCAATGGTATTTTTCCAGCTCATTATTCGCACAAGTCTTCTACAAAGCTTTGTGCGGCACAAGTATAATCTCAGTTACCTTCTCTTCATAGATATATATATATTCAACTAACCCACAGTTTACTCGTTGCAAATAACCTGTAGACTACATACGTTATACGGACCGAGCCGCCTACTCCAAAGATGCATTGGCAAAATTGCCTTCGCAAATAAAATCAGTTTCACACAGGGTAGAACTATACAAGGTGAGTATGTCTAGGTTAGTTAGCCATAACCACAACTCCTGTGCGCCATTTATGGAATTATAAGCATCAATCATTGCTGCATTATATGCTCTAAGATTGATTTATCACTAATATCTGAACTTCCACTCGCCCTACACCCACCACGTACTAAGCGCCTTGAAACCACATGCATAAATGTTATAGAGGTTAACACAAGACAGGAATGCTAACAGGACAGCAGATCTACCTTTAACACACCTGCATTTACAACCAATTAGGCACATACAATGTTTCAGGCTAGATGGCAC